TCTTATATTGTGGCAGGATTGTAAAATGGTACATCCGCCTTGGAAAACAGGTGGGGAATTCCACTCTCAGGAATCTACCCAAGAGAAATGAACACACGGTCACATGAAGACAAGTGCAAAAGATCCTAACAGACAGAAAAAACCCCAAAGTCCACCAGCTGGCAGATGAATATAGACAAATGTGGCGTCCTGATAGGGTGCAATAAACAGGACAAAAGACTTACACATTCTACACCGTGGATGGTCCACAACCGAAGACTGTCCTGTCTGATTCCACTTACACGAAGTGTCCAGGAAAGGCAAGTTTCTAGCTATAGAAAGCACGGCTGTCTGCCAGGGTCGAGGGGAGAAGCAGGTGGTGGGAGCGGGTGTCAGCCACAGATGGCTCAGGGGAAAGTCTGGAGTGGTGATGATGCACCTCCACAAATTTACTAAAAAATCACTGAATTGTCAACTTTCAGTTGGTAGATCAATAAAACTGTAAAAAAAGTTAGTTTGTCTATGTCATTAAATATTTTTATTTGAGTCATGAAAAGTTTTCATTCATCCCAGGGCTCTTTAGTTAATACGTATTAATACTCATTAATTGTGTGCAGGCACTCCCATGACACAGGGCAGCACGGGCTGCTCAGTGATCTGCTCTGTAGCTGCACCACAGTTTTCAGATCCGTTTCAAAAAGGTTTGATATTGTAAAATTACCACGGTAAAGTCCTTGTAACCAAACCTTGGCGCACATCCAAGGTTGTTTCCTCAGGATAAATTCCTAAAATTCACCTCGCTCAGCCAAACAGTCTGGAGGCTGCTAAGGTCCAAGGCGTAATTCACAGCACTCTCCGAGTGCCGCCCAGCTCCCCCTGGGTGGGTGGGCAGTGCTGCGTCCTGCACTCTGTCATTTCTTAGGTTCATTGCTAATTGGGTAAAAGTTTCAAAATAGCGTCATTCCTCCCTTGTGATGGTGCAAAAACTAAAGGAAGCACCAAGTCACATTCACAGGGGTCTGGTTCCTGTAGGTTCCACTCCACCCACGGAAAGGATAGGGGACAGCAACGGGTTGATACGGAACCTCCTAATCTCAGGTCCATGCCTCGAGTGAGGCAAAACAGGCACTGAGACACCGCTGCTTGGAGGTAGAGAAAGGTTTATCCAAAGCGGCCAAAACAAGAAGGCCAGAGAATAGAGTCTCTCAGACTCGCCTTAATGAAAGAAGGAAGCAGGGGGCCTTTATAGGGCTAAGGGACTTGGGAGGTGGAGTTTCGGGAAACAAAGGGGAAGTCCATGTTTCTTTCACTTCAGACAAGACCGCGAGTGACTAGACTTCTTGGTACCAGCCCAGCGACAGCTACGGGCTGGTTATCTGGTGGCTGTAACTTCCTTGAAGGCATCTTTTTTTTCTGTAAGACAAGCTCATAAATCCTCGTGACCACTGAACCATCCCTCTGGTTAAATAAACAGCAAATTAACAAGCTATAATAAAGCATGGGCTGCGAAGCAAGCATTTGAGCTCAACAAATACATCTAACGGAGACTGAGGTCATGTATTGACTTCTTTTCATCTGTGTCTGTGTTAGGAACAAGATCGGGGGGGTAACCATGTTCTTAGGAAATATTTGCAGTGACTCTCAGGTACCCAGTTTCAGTGTCTCCAGCCGAGTTCCTGCTGTGGGAGACTCTACAGGACAAGCGTCTCCAGTCCTTCAACAGGACACTACAGGGAGCAAAGAGAGGTCAATCCTTTTGATTAAGACACATAGCAACTAACTGCAATGTATTAAGCTTAATTTGATCCTGATTCAAACAAAAAGTAAAAGAACTCACACTACAATCAAGGAAAATACCGATTGGATCTTTAATGATATTTAGGACTTCTGTTTACTTTTCTTGGTTGGTATTCCAGGTAGCTTCTGCTCTGTAAGAATTTACTCCAGGGGCCAGCCCGGTGGCAGAGAGGTTAAGTACACGCATTCCACTTCTTGGTGGCCCAGGGTTCGACAGTTCAGATCCCGGGTGCAGACATGGCACCGCTTGGCAAAAGCCACGCTGTGGTAGGCATCCCACGTATAAAGTGGAGGAAGATGGGCATGGATGTTAGCTCAGGGCCAGTCTTCCTCAGCAAAAAGAGGAGGATTGGCAGCAGATGTTAGCTCAGGGCTAATTTTCCTCAAAATAAATAAATAAATAAAAATTAAAAATTTAAATTTAAATTAAAAAAAAAAGATTAGCCCTGAGCTAACATCTGTGCCAACCTTCCTCTATTTTATACGTGGGTTGCTGCCACAACATGGCTGACAAGTGGTGTAGGTCTGCACCCAGATCTGAACCTGAGAACCAACAAAGCAGAGCGCAGCAAACTTAACCACTACACTATGGGGCCAGCCCCTAGCCCCGCCTCCTGGTCCTCAGGCCCCTTTGTCCCCTCCCACCCTGCGTCAGGGGAGGATTGTGTGGCCAGTCCAGTAGGGCAGAGCGACTGTACTGCTGAGATTAGGTTGTAAGACATCTCGGCTTTGTCTTCAGTGCTTGCTGTTTTCGTTGCTCTTGTTCTGTCTCTGTCCGCCTGTCTCTCTCAGAGGCCTCATGTGGGGGAAGCCAACTACCCTGTTGTGAGTAGCCCCATGGAGAGGCCAGAGCTGTAGGTGGCAGAGAACTAAATCCTCCAGCCAACAGCCCGCGAGGAACCGAGCCTCCTCCCTACAGCACCAGCGTGAGATGTGCGCCAGCGTGAGATGTGTGCCAGCACATCTTCAGAAACCACAGCCTCCTGAGGGACCCGGAGCCAGAACCAGCCTGCTAGGCTGCTCCCTGAGCCTCAGAAACCATGCAAGATAATAAACAGTGGTTGTTTTAAGCTGCTAAATTCCACGATACATTTTTGCACAGCAATAGATTACTAATAACATGTATGTTTGAAATTTTCTATAACAGGGTTTGGGTTTTTTTTGAAAGCACTTGAGTTATCCAAAAGCAGACTTTTCCTCAACCAGCGAGTCAGACAGCAGTGCAGCGGGACAGTCTGCTGTGGCCTTCCGAGTCTACAAGGACAAGAAGCCTCAGAAGCAACGTGCGGAAGGACCCGATCAGAAGACTCTGCTTTTGGCCAACTGAAGCTGAGCTGTGTGCACATAAAGCTGATGGGGCAAGTCTCAGTGACAGAAAACAAGCAAATGTTCCTCAAGAATCGAGAAATTTCCAAAAGATAGCAAAGTCAGTATTTCACATTAAGTTCAGTTGCGAAAAATGCCCTCCTACGTACAATGCAATTGCGTGTACATGTGTGTTTGTGATGACTTCTGTCTTGGCCTGAGTTCCCTGCCAGGCAGTGGAGGCCAGACCCAAGGGCCCCGCCTTTGTGGAGCTTCACAGTCGTTAAAGGAGGCATGATTTCACTATCACGTTCTTACAATTCCACATACAAGTGCTACGGGGTGGAAGCCGGTAGGTGCACCACCCCCAGCAGCTGGTGTGCAGCCTTTAGGGGTTTGGACCCCATGAGGAGAAAGAGGAGTGCTTGCTGGGCTGGGCCTGGGGTGCTGTGGGCTCAGGCCAGGCCAGCCCTGTTTTACGAGGCCCCTCCTGGTGCCACAAAATGTTCCTTGGTTTCCTTCTTGGGCAAATGTCTGAAAACTGCCAACAACTGGAGCTCACAAATGGAGAATTCTGGGATCTGTGATGAACGGGAGACTGAGGAAGCCTTGTTATCTCTGCCAGGAGCTTGGGAAGTCATGAAAGTCAAGGAATCCCTCAGGGACCTGTTTCTTCCCTGAAGTGATGCTCATGGCAAGGCAGCAAAATGTGCTGGTCCCCGAAGAAAAGGTGATGTAGTCTGGGGAAAAAAGCCGGGGGCTGCAGGCCTGGGGCAGCCCTGGGAAGGTAGCCACAGACCTCTTTGCAGAAAGGGAGTGCTGGGGCCTGAGTGTGCTTCTGGCCCTCGAGCCATGCTCACCAGCAAGGGACCGGGGGCAGAGGGCCACCTGCATAGCCTTGGACAGGTGACAAAGCCATCAAGAGAAACCCCGGAACACAGGTTCGGGCCAAGGGTGACCTGGACACCGTTAAAAAAAAAAAAAACTGCAGGCCCAAGGTGGAATCATTTGCCCCCAGGACAGCAAACCAAGACTTAACTACAGTTTCAGTGGCTCCCAAGAATGTGACCTTAAAGCGATCAGACCGGAAACTCTTCATCAACACTGGGGAGGCCACCTGCCTGGTTAGACCCCTGTGGCCCTTCCATCAAAGCAAGCTGCCCTTGCCTGAAAGCATCTTTTTTTTTTTTGAGAAAGAATAGCCCTGAGTGTTATAACATCTGCCAGCCCTCCTCTTTTTTTGCTGAGGACTGGCCCTGAGCTAACATCCGTGCCCATCTTCCTCTACTTTATATGTGGGACGCCTGCCACAGCACGGCTTGCCAAGCGTTGCCATGTCTGCACCCAGGATCCGAACTGGTGAACCCCGGGCCGCCAAAGTGGAAGGTGTGCACTTAACCGCTGCGCCATCAGGCCGGCCCCTGAAAGCATCTTTTCTTTCCTTTTGCTAATAACTTTCCCGTCCCGCCAAGTTTCTGCCTATAAAAATCTTTCGTACAACCCCTGAGCGCCGTCCTGTTAAGTGGGATGCTGCCTGATCCATAAATCCTTGAGTAAAGCCAAGCAGATCTTCAAATTTCCTAGGCCGGAACTTTGGTTTTAACGCCACCCACGGCGCGTCCTTCGAGCGGTGGGCTGAACTGATCGAACGTCTAGTGTTCACTTCCAGGAAGGCCACGACGTGCGCGGGGCGCGCGCGAGACCGCCACCCCGCCACTCCCCGCAGTTTGCGGCCTGACCCGTGGGGACGCCCGGGACCAGAGAAAGCCGGCAGCAAAGGGCGCAAAACCCCCAACCAGACGGGCCTTCGCAGGGGTCCCGGGCCAGTGCACCGCCCACGCGGGACGCTCCCACGAGTCCGGCCCCGCAAGATGGCGGCGGCGCACTTCCGGCAGCCCCCGCACGCCCGCGCATGCGCCCTACCCCGGCCCGCGCGGCGCGAGCGGAAGTCTCGTGACCCCGGAAGTGGCCTGCCGGGCGCGCGCGGGCGGGGCGGCGACGTTCGTCATTCCGTGCGGGAGGGAGTGCGAGAGCTGCGCGGTCGAGCCTCCGGTGAGCGCCCGCGGCGCGGCGGCGCGGGCGGCGCGGGCGGCGGGGGCAGCGGGGGGGGACGCGGCGGCCGCGCCTTTGTTCACCCCGCCTGCCGGGGGTCTGCGCGGAGCGGGGGCGGGGGCCGCGGTGACAGCGGGCGGCGGCCGGGACGCAGGGCGGGTCCCGGGCGCAGGGCGGGCCCACGTGCGGCGCGGGCCGGGGGCGCAGGCCTCCTTTGTGGCCGCCGCCCGTGCCCCGAGGCCCTTCCCCGCCGGCGTGCGCTGGCTGGGGCCACACTGACGCCCCCTCCCCCGGTCGCCGCGCCCCACCCCGCGCCGCGCCCGGCCCAGATTGCGGGGCCCTGCGGAAGTGCGGCCGGGGAGATCACACTAGAGGATCCTGTCGCCTGCGGCCGCGCTTGATGGCGTTAGGGCGTGAGCTTTCTAGAGGAATTCCAGAGGAAGCGGCAGGAAGGCCTGGGAAAGCAAGCGGGCCCCACCCTGCCTGCGGCGGCCGGCGGCCGGCGGCTCGGGATTCCCCGCAGCCCTTTGTGATATCTGGTCCTCCAGCGAGTCCCAGCTGCCAGGCTGAGCCTGTGGGGGAAGACTTTGGTTTTCTTTCCGGGGCAATCTGAGGTCCGGGGTGGGCTGGACCCTCACCCACCTCCTACACCACCCGGACTGATCCGAGTGGGTTCTAGGTACTCCTCAGAGGTTCTGAGGGCTTGCAATGGGATCCTCAGCGGAAGGAAGCCCAGCGGCTGTCTCATGCACTGCTCCTCACTCTGAGAGCACAGCTCCAGACTCTCCTGGGCCAAGGTCCAGAAAAAGGGTCTTGAAAATACTGGAGCTGTTGCAGCAGTTCCTAAATTCTGGGTCACAGACTGTCACCATTGGAGAGAATATCGGCAGATATTTAGGGTCCCCTGTGCTCTTTGGGACCTACCTGTGGGACTCAGGCTGGCCCTATCATCTGAGCTGTAGGAGAGAGCCGTGTGTTTGCAGGGTGAGGCAGAACTGACCTGTGTCGTGCACGGAGACCTTGCTTCCAGGTTAGGACAGGTTGGAAGGAGTGTGCCTGGTCAGGGAGACTTAGCAGGAGGGGTTCCTTGGAGCCAGGGCCTGGGCAGCTCAGAAAGAGCAGCAGGACTTTAGAGGTGACAGTCGGGGCTCTGCCAGCAGACTGGGGTGCTACTGCCCCCTTGGGGGCAGGGAAGTGTGCCTGATCTCGCTGAGGAGCAGGCTGTGGGTTCCATTTAGTCCTGGGTACTGTGCCTGGGTTTAAGTCGTCTCTGACTGCCCCAGTGGATCTCCTGAGGTGGGCAGGGCAAGGAGGCAAGTACAGCCCCACTGGGCTCAGGAGCCTGTGTCTGGGTCTGGCTGCAACCTGCTCTCCTGCTCCAGAAGGTGCATCTCCCCTTGGGCTCAGATATGGGACCTGATCACCTGCAGATGACCGTTCAACACAACCCACCTGAGCTGGCTGCAGGGTCCACCATGGGGAAGGAGGGGGGAGACACTGTGGGTCCCTCCAGGCTGCCACAGCCCACCTGGCCCACAGGTGTCCCACACCCAGCGAGAGGTGAGCATGGCCGAGCAGGAACCCACAGCAGAGCAGCTGGCACAGATTGCAGCTGAAAACGAGGAAGATGAGCATTCAGTCAACTACAAGCCCCCAGCTCAGAAGAGCATCCAGGAGATCCAGGAGCTGGACAAGGACGATGAGAGTCTGCGCAAGTACAAGGAGGCTCTGCTGGGCCGCGTGGCCGTGTCTACTGGTGAGTGGGTTGGGGTGGCACCCAGAGGGACATCTGTCACTCTTCTGGGTTTCCGCCCCTGCTCCTTCCTGATGGCAAGTTGTGGGCACGTGGGAGGCCCAGGGGGTGGAGCTCTAACCTGCTGTCACTCCACAGACCCCAATGTCCCCAATGTTGTCGTGACCCGCTTGACCCTGGTGTGTAGCACCGCCCCAGGCCCCCTGGAGCTTGATCTGACAGGTGAGTGGCACCTCTGAGGTCCCTGGCTGGGGCTGCCTGCTTCCCCCAATCCCCTCGCTTGCTGTCTCTAAAAATAGTTTCCTGGAGCACTGGCACCCTCTCGTGGGGAGCACAAGAAGGGCAGCCAAGCAGTCTTTGAAAGTGCTAGCTTTGGAGTGGTCTGGGTTCTATGTCGGGGGTGTCAAGGGCTGGGTGCGCAGGGGCAGGGGACAGGGGGAGTGGAAGGGGCACCCTGCCAGGGCCCAGGAGGCAGCAGGCCGTCACAGATGGCAGATGCCAAGGTGAGTGGCTTCCCCTGCCGGAGCCCCCTAGTGTGGTGTTCTCCCAAACGCAGGCGATCTGGAGAGCTTCAAGAAGCAGTCATTTGTGCTGAAGGAAGGCGTGGAATACAGGATAAAAATTTCTTTCCGGGTAAGGCAGAGGCTGCCGGGGGGCTGGGAGGGGCTAGGGCTGGAGAGCCCAGCTAAGCCCTATCTGGGGTCCCTCTCTGCAGGTGAACCGAGAGATCGTGTCTGGCATGAAGTATATCCAGCACACATACAGGAAAGGCGTCAAGAGTAAGTGAGGGTGGGCACCAGCAGGAAGGAGATGGCCGCCACTTGGCTGGCCTGTGGCAAGGGACTGCAGGATCAGGAGGGAGACAGGAAAAGCAGTGTATGCCCTCGGCCCAGCTCTGCTCCCTGGCGGCTGCCCGGGCGGACGTGAGCCAGGCCCAGTGATGACCGACCCACATGTGCCCTGCATTACAGTTGACAAGACCGACTACATGGTGGGGAGTTATGGGCCACGGGCAGAGGAGTATGAGTTCCTGACCCCCATGGAGGAGGCGCCCAAAGGCATGCTGGCTCGTGGCAGCTACAACATCAAGTCGCGCTTCACAGATGACGACAAGACTGACCACCTGTCCTGGGAGTGGAACCTCACCATCAAAAAGGAGTGGAAGGACTGAGTCCTGGGCCTGGGAGGCGGGCAGGGCAGACAGACAGACGGACACACACACGCACGCGCCCCACCCTTACCACCCCACAACCTCCTCCTAACCCCATACCAAAGTGCTGACAGGGTCCCTGGCCACGCTGCCACCATTCCCGCCTGGTCTGCTTCCTGGCCGGGCCCAGCCGGAGCTCCTCCGACCTGTTCCTCCTGACCCTCCCCAGCCTGCAGGCCCCAGCCTCCTCGGTGGTCTAGTGGTCTCGTGTTGTTGCTGCTGCTTCCTGTGCTGTGGGGGAGGGAGGCTCCAGCCCAGGCCTCTGCCTCCCTTTCTGTATCTCTCCAGGTTTCCCCCACTTGTCCTAACCTGACCTGAGGCTCTGACTTTTCCAAGGGAGTGGGACATTGAACAGGCTCCGTGGGGTGCTCAGGTTCCCCTAGTCCTTTGCGGTTGCCCCAACTCGTGTTCTATCCCTTCTCCAGGGTGGGATGCACGATGCGGGACTTTGTGGGGGCCAGTCATCCCCCAGCTTCCACCTCCCCCTGTCACTTCATCCATCTCCATCAGTAACCGTCTAACCATGATGCCTTAACATGTGGAACGTGTGCCGTGGGGGCCGTCACTAACCTCTAACCCCCGTGTCTGCATGAGCATGTGGTCTCCCCCAGTCTGTGCCCTGTCTGCAATCCCGGTGGCCCAGAGAGGTGTGTGGAATGTGCTGCTGCTGTTTCCCCACCTGCCAGGGCCTGGCCAGCCCCTTCCCCTTCCTCTCCCCTGGCCAGTAATGTGGGGACCGCTCCAGGGGCTTGGGGAAGGCCAATCGCCAAAACTCAAGTTGCCTCCAGTCCCATCAGGGAGGCCAGGTGTCCTCACAACTCTGCCTTCCCTGCCCCAGTGGGCAGTGCCCGGAGCCCATGGCCCCAACAGAGAGCCCTTGGTGGACAAAGCCAGCGGCCGAGCCTTACTTGTTCCACCTGGGCCTGCCGGCCTGGAATCGTGTGCCTGGCCTGTCAGTATTTATTGCCTCCATATGTGCCGTCCTCTGGGCCGGCTGGCCTGCCGCCTCTGCCCCCAGGCTAGGTGCCACCATCCCCGGCAGGCCTTCCCTGGACCCAGCCAGGACAACCGTGGGACCAAGCGCGCACAGTCGGAGCCGTCCCCTGTGCCTCCCTTCCCCTCCCTGGTCAGGCCCGGGCGTAGAATGCACAGAAGCCTGTCCCTGCTTCTCCTTTTCTGACCGGGAAATAAACTCCCCGAAAGGAGCCAGTGTTTGCTGCTTGTTTCCGGGTGGGGGATGGGGGAGCCTGGAGAGCAGCAAAGACGACGCGGCACTCCCAGGAGGGCCAGAGGCCAGGAGCCAAGTGCGGTGGCCACTGCCCCTGCAGCTGTTGAAGGAGAATGGATTTAAAGTCCTCTCTTGGTCACACCAGCCTCACCCAGCTCGCCCGCAAGACCTGCGGTGCCTCCTGGGCGGTGCAGACCCGGAGAGCTGGGGGCTGCACAGGCTCTGCAGGGGGAGGGCGGGACGCGCCCTCTGTCGTTCGCGCGGCCCCTTGCGCCCTATGCGCAGGCTCCGTCCGGAGGAAACGCCCCGACCCCAAAGAAGGGGTACCTGGCTTGGAGCTCCCGAGCTTCGCAAGAGGCAGTTCTTGGGAAGAAATGGGATGACCGGGTCCCGAGGGATCTCAGGAACAGCAACCCCAAGCTGTGGGTCCACGGGGTGGGGGAGGCGCCCCTGGGGAGACTGACCTCATCTTCCCTCGAGGCGTGCATGGGCGAGCCCGCTGCTGGGGCGGGAGGGCCGGTGGAGTGGGCGGTGTCCAGCCGGGCCAAACCCCAGTGCTTCATAGCGCCGGGCAGGGCCGGGGGGTCCAAAAGTGAAACAGGCTAGGTGGGATGCACGAGAGGATACCGGGGACCCTCGCTGCGTGCAGGTGCAAAAGAGTGGCCAGGGGAGCCCTGAAGGGCTGCCAGGGGCCAGGTGCACTCTACCGCGAGTTCAGCTGACCACCAGGGTCTCTGCAGGACCTTGGGGTGGCAGGGATGGTGCTACCTCCTCTCTGAGCACCACCCCCCAGGGCACCCAACGACTCTGACGCCCCCTCCCCAGCCCTGAGCTAGGAAAGGGCGGATGGGTTGCCCAAGCTTCAGAGGGTCAGTTTCAGAAACTCCCAGTTCTCTGGCCTGATGCCAGTTACAAAACTTGCCCTTTCTCTGTGGTCTGAGCCAGTTAGAGCAGTGGTTATGTGTCACACTTAAGCAGTTGGGAGGAGGCTGATGTCCTAGAGCCCTCCCCTGGTCATACCTAGAGCGTGCCACTCTTCCCAGTGCTTAACAGCAGGGTGAGCCCTGCCAGGAGCTTATCACCAGCTGGGGTGGACCCAGAGATGCCCTCTTGCCCCAAGTCAGTGACCGCATGCCCGTGCCAAGATGGCTCTCATAGGGCTGGTCACCTCCTCAGCTCTCCTTAGCAGGTACCCTGTGGGATCCTGGAGGCTGGGCATTGTGCTGGGTGACATGAGAAAATGGCATTTCCTGCAGCACTTGGCCCAGACACAGATCCAAGAGCAGCTTCAGGAAGCCGCTGCAGACCCTAGTTTTTGATTCTGCAAGGGGCAAAGACTCTAACCAGCCTTCTCCAGATCCGGCCTGGCCATGCCCAGGGCACAGGCTCAGGCAGGGGGAGGCACTGAGATTGCACGGCTCTAGGCTCCGATGCCCAAGGTCTTTCCAGCTAAGCTCAGGTGGGGCTGCCTCTGAAACGTCCCTACCTCAGGAGGGATGAGGTGCCTGGGGAGCAGCTCCCATCTCAGCCAGCTGGTGGCAGACCTGGGGCTGGCCATGGCCACTTCACCTCTCCCAGTTCGCTTCCTAAAAGGTTCAAACCTAGGGTCAGCCTGTGCTGTCAGCACTTTGGTTTACTGGGCAAGGGCCTTCTGAGGCTCCTTCTGGCCAAAAGCCCTATTATTTTTGCTCTTGACTTTGCCCAGCTTTAGTTAGACCTGTGAACTCAGACCCCAAGTGCTGCGTTGTCCAGGCACACTGCCAGCAGCTAGGACTTTGTTCTGGCTCCTCCCCTGATGAAGGAGAATGTGAGGTGGCACCGGTGGCCCTGCATGACGTGTTTCTTGGGGCCCAAGTCTAAGCTGATCCTGCTGGTCCCACCCCGAACCTGTCTGTACAGCCTGCTGCTACCAGGCCTGGCCTCCCCACCCCAGAGAGCCACTCCCTGCCCTCTGTCCATGACCCTCAGTATTTCCCAAGCTTCTCCCTCCTCAGCCACCCCTGGATGGACCATTCTTCCACTGAGGAGGGTGCCAGTGGATTCTAGATTAGGACCTTGGATGTGACCAACTTGTCACCAGTTACTGTGACTGACAAGAGTCTTCTCATGCCCGACATAGCCCCCCTCCACAGTCAGGGTCCTGCAGGCCCCCAGGGCCAGGCTCGCCTCTGCATCTGCCTCCTAGCTCTCCAATGTGGGGGCTGCGTGGCCCGTGGCACAGCCCTCTGGGTCCTGCTGCTGCTCAGCAGTGGGAACTTGCAGTCGGGAGCTGATATTCCATGGCTGAGCAAACACTTCCTGGGGGTCCTCCCGAGGACACGTTGAAAGGGAGTTGCTTTATTCTGAGAACTCTATTTTTGAGAGTAATATTTATCAAAACATTTCATCACTCAGTAGTTCAACCTGTATTTAAAGGGTACTTTCTCTGAGTGTTGGGAGACTCCTGGAGGACGTCCTGAAGTGGTTGTGCTGGTCCAGAGAGATGCCAGAGCCACAGCCACAAGGACGGGCAAGCCCTGACCTCCAAGGGCACACTCCAGCTCAGGGCCTAGGGCACGAGCATGAACTCGGCCCCACTGCCTCTCCCGAGAGCTGCTCTTGGAAGGCGTGCAAGTGGGCCTGAGGAAAAAGGAGACAGACACGGGCCCTCCCTTCAAAGCCGAGGCCTGCAGAGGTGTTCCGTGAACTCGGCCTGTGTTCTGAGGGGCTGGCTGCATCACGACACCTCACCCAGCTGCTGACCAGCCCCACAGAGCACAGGGATCTCAGGCCACCTCCAAACCAGGCCTCCCCCGAGCTTTCCAAGAACCCCACTTTGCTGCTCCTGCATGGGTCGGTGCATGAGGCTGATGCAAGACAGGCAGAGAGGTGCCTTGAGGAGAAGGCGCATCACTGCTGCCAAGACATCAAAATACCATGTCCTGTCCAGGCCCGAGTCTTGGTTAGGCCCTGGGTTTCACAGAACACTGCCATGGCTCTGGCCACCTGGGCTGCAGAACAGGGACCCTGTCATCACCTGCATCAAGGTGTGTTCCAACTGGCCTTGGTTCAGCTGTGGAGGCCCAGACTCAACCAGACTGAGGCTCGACCACAGCCACAACTTGGATCTCTACCTGTGTCTGGTCTGGTCTGGTCTCCCGTTGGTCCCAGTGTTCTCATCTTTTGTAAATCCGTTACTGTATTGTATGCTTTTGGGCTAAGCTGCCTGCAAACTGTCACAAACTAATCCACATTGTGGTATCTCAAGTCCCTGCACTCTGTCCCCAGCAGCTGGAAAGACTCAAGACCCCAATGTTTAGGCGTCTAAACTCTAACCTCACAAGCGCCTCTGAAATCTAGACATTTAGACAGGATACAAATGTCCCTTGTCTCAGGCCCCAAATTGTGGTAAAACAGGGTCATGGCAATCACTAAAACGTTTAGAGATAGGGTAGCAGGCATGAGGCAATCCCTACTCGTCCCGAGAGCACAGGGCAGTGTGCTCACAGCTATCAGTTACGAAGAGTCATCATTCACTGGGCGAGCTCCCAGGCCAGGGCCCCACTGAGCTGGGGTGGAGACTGGTGCCCGCCAAGGCACGTGTTCACAGCCTTTCTATGCCAAAAGTTCCAGCTCCTATAAAGTCAACCCTGAGAAGACGACAGGTGTCCCAGCAAGTACAACCACCTGACTGACACTTGGTCTACTGGCACTGGAGGAGGGACACACAGAACCCGGTCTTGACCTTCAGGAATTAATGGTTGAAAGAGTTCCACATAGGAGAGATGAGAAAACATGCCCTCAAGAGCAATGTGTCAACAAGTGCAAACTCTCAAAAGTACAAATGCTTTAGTGTTTCTGAAATCGGGATGTTATTACAGCCGTGTACACTTAACATGGGAGTGCTTCCCTTTTTCCTGCCAAGTTATTAAATTGATGAGTCTTAAATTCAGTGGTGGCAGCGTTTCGTAATGAGGAAGTGAACGCAAATGAAGAGGAAAGGCTCCTGGAGAAGAAAAGAGCGTTGGGGAGGCGGGTGGCCAGGGCAGCCAAGGGGAAGGCAGAGGTGATTGAAGACTCTGAGCAGAGAGGCAAAGAGAGAGCTGATCCAGCTAGAGCAGCGCCAAACAAGAATAAAACGCAAGCCGCGTATGTTATTTTAAAATTTATAGAAGCCACGTTAAAAAAAAACTCAAAAAGAAACAAGTAAAATTAATTTAAATGCCTTTAACTCAACATACACAAAATATCATCTTGTACATGTAACAAAAACTATTAAGGGAACATCGCACAGTTTTTCCCCCGAACTCAGTCTTGAAGTCCCGTGTGTGCTGCACCCACAACCGGCCCGTCTCCATCGGGCCAGGTTTCAAGTGCCCAGGAGCCTCGGTGGCAGCTGGCGACTGTCGTGTGCGAGGCGCGGGCCTGCGCGCAGAGCCAGGGGGAGGGCGGCGTGGGGCCGGAGGTCTACTGCCCGATCGCCGGACGCGCAACTCGAGGGGCAGCTCCGCGGGATGCGGCGCAGTGGGACGGAGGGAGATACCGCCGGGGACGTGTCGCCTGGAACCTTACATGCGGCGGGCGCCGAGGGCTCCCCGGCGGCCCGCTCAGCCCCAGCACAGCGTCCACCTTGTTTCCGGACCCCCTCGGTCCCTCCGCCCCAGCTCCCGCTGGAGCCTGGGCTCTCGGTTCTCGGGCCTGACTGCAGTGACCCTCCGCCCGCGCCTTCACGGCCCCATCCCATCCGGCCTCGGTCCTCGCCGCGCCCCGCAACAACCCCCTCCCGGGCAGGAGGCGCACGGGCCTCACGTGCGCCGGAAGTTGCGTCAGCCCAGCTTCCGGCCCGCGGAGCCGGGGGGCGGTGCCAGTTACGGATACGCGGTCCAGTCAGAATGCAACACGAGGGGTTTCCGAGGCGCAGGCGCGGCTCCGCCCCCCGGCTGGGGACTCCGCCCCACTGCCACGTTCGACGGAGGATCGCGCGGGGTGCACGCATCTCATGGCCAATCAGGAGCTGCCGAGCCCGGGCTTCCGAAGGTGGCAGCCATTCCAGACCCGCGGAAGGTGGCGGGGGAAGTCACCAGTCACAAGTCGAGGGAGAGAAAGTTCTCCGCCGGGAGCCAATGAGAGGCTGGGGAAGAGTGCGAGCGCGAGCTCCTCGGCCAATCCCGGGCGAGGGCGAGGGCGGCCCCCGGGGCGATTCCGAATCCGGGGCCGGGGCCAATGGAGGTACCCAATCCGAGCGCGAAGGAGGCGGGCCCCGGCGCCCGCGGGCCAATCCGGGCGGGCGCGCGCGCGCGGCAGCCGGGTTTATAGGGGCGGGGCGGGCTGCGCGCGCTCTCGAGGCCTCGCTGTCCGGCGGCGCCAACTGAAGCGCCGCGCCCGCTGCCGACATGCTGCGCCGCGCTCTGCTCTGCCTGGCTCTGGCCGCGCTGGTCCGCGCGGGCGCCGCCGCCCCCGAGGAGGAGGACCACGTCCTGGTGCTCCACAAGGGCAACTTCGAGGAGGCGCTGGCGGCCCACAAGTACCTGCTGGTGGAGTTCTGTGAGTGCCGCCCGGGCCGGCCCGGGCCTCGCCGCCGCCGCGGGGTGGGGACAGAGGGGCGGAGAGGGGGCCGGCGCGCCGGGGGACAGCGGGGGCGCGAGCGGGATCGAGGGCGCAGGGGAGCCGGAGGGGGCGCAGGGGCGGTAGGGCAGACTCAGTGGGGGCCGGCGCCGCCGGAGGTCGGCGGGCCAGGCGCTCCTCCGCATCCTCCCTCTCCCGGCCCGGCGGCGAGTTGGGGTGCTCGGGGCTGTCGGCATTCCAGCCACCCCTAGACGCGCTGACTCCCAGCCCCTCGGGAGACTCATCCTCGGGCTGAAACTGTCCACAGGCCTGCTGTCAGCGTCCCCGCGCTGCCAGTGTTCTGGTGGCATCCCTCCTGCCGGAGCTGGACCCTAAGGGCGACCGCGGGCGGACAGCCAGGACGTGCCTTTGTACCTGACGTCCGCAGGGCAGGGTCCCTTTGCTAGCCGAAGAAACACAGGGTGGACTTCTTCAGAGGCACGGAGGGGAACCACAGATACAAAGGAACATGTGGGGGTCCAGCCCCCAGCAGCTCACCTGGACCCATCCCCAAAGCACCGGCTCCTGTGGGCACCGCCTTCCACCTGTGACAGCTCCCTTCTGTTCGTGGTGTTCAGCCAGAATGCAAAACCTTTGTTTGCGTTTGTGTTTGAGCCCTGATTATCTCGGGTGGAAATCTTAGGCCTAAGGTAGCTGCCAGCCTTAGTTGAGACTCCCGTTCCCACGGTTTAAAGCGTCAGTTTTAAGTGTGTCTCAGGGCAGATGTGTACAGATGTGTGCCGCATATTCCTGACTGGTCTTACTAAGTATACAGCTGCTGCGGCATTAGCTTCTTAACTTCTCTGTGTTCCTGAAGAAAATTCCAGGGACACGTCCGCCCCAATAGCCTGTAGGTAATAGGAAGTTACTACTGATTAAAGAGTTTGTCTTCCTGTGCCGCCGGTGACAGAGCAGGGTGGGGGTTGGTGTTGGCTTGTCATTCGTGGCCTCTGTCCCGATGTTGCCCAAGAGCCCCGACCTGTCAGCCCAGCCCTGTGCTCGCTGGGGGTTATCTTGGTGAGCAGATAAGGCTTTTGTGGAGGGAAGTACTGAAGGAAAAAGGAAGGGAAGTCGTGAGACTGGGTCGAGTGCTGCTTTCAGAGTCCTGCTTTCTTTTTTCAGATGCCCCTTGGTGTGGCCACTGCAAGGCTCTGGCCCCCGAGTATGCCAAAGCAGCTGGGAAGCTGAAGGCAGAAGGTTCTGAGATCAGATTAGCGAAGGTAGACGCCACTGAAGAGTCTGATCTGGCCCAGCAGTATGGTGTCCGTGGCTACCCTACGATCAAGTTCTTCAAGAACGGAGACACGGCTTCCCCCAAAGAGTACACAGGTGTGACTGCAGCACTGCCCTGAGTGCCTGGGGAGAGGGCTGTGCCCGCAGGCCTTGGAGGATAGACTGAGAGGCGAGGAGGCCCCGTTCAGAGGCGTCGAGGGGAACCCATTCTCAGTCTTCAGCCTCTCAGGGTTGTGTGAAGAAAGTTCTTTATCCCAGAAGAACCTCTCAAGTGGAAAGGGACATCTTAGGGTGGTGGCTCGCAGGCTGAGGCTTGTCCTGAGATTGACTAGCGAGGAGAGGGAGGCTGGGGCTGTTGTGACCACATGGAGCAACAAGTGTAGTGATTGCTGACTCGAGTGTGCCAGTCACCAAAGCAAGTGCTGAGGCTGAGAGCAGCCGGGTAACGGCCGGCGTCCCCCACCTGTCGTCGCAGAGCTCAAAGTCAAGCTTGCTTTGGGGCTAAACCCCTTTGTAGTCCAGTCAGCACCAGTGAAAAAGGAGAATCTTTTGTCTATAAAACCAGTTCCGTGGCTCATCCATCAAAATCTTCTGGAGCAGCCCGTCTTGTTAATTCTGACATCAGCAACTCTGGTCTTCTTGCTAGACTGCTGATCTCTTGTTCCCGTTTTTGTATTGAGTTCTTGAACCAGAAGTGCCTTGTCCCAAGTTACTATGATCCCGTCGCTAACACTCAGGTTTTGTAAATGAGACAATTACTGCTAATTCCACCTGTAACTCATGACTCAGCTTTTTGCTGCCACTTGGCAGACTCCTTTTAAATGTGAGATTCAGCAGTCCTTCCCAAGTTGGACCAGGTGGTCAGACCTGATGAGGGGGACAAAGAGTAATTAGCCTCAGTCCCCGGAGCAGCCGGCATCCTCCTCGTTCGTCTGCTTTAGGTGGTGTGCAACTTCCTGATCCCTTTGATCTTAGTAGTCCTGGAGGCGTGTGGGGCAGGCCACAGCGAGGAAGCAGACCGGCCTGGGTGCCTGGGCAGGGCAGAGCTCAGCCTGTCTTCAGAGGGGAAAGCTGGCACCGAGGCTGACTTACTCACCAGACTTCTTTTTTTAATTCTACGTCTCTCGTTAAGGTGAAATGTAGTGTGAGACCACTGGGGGAAGGTGTGAAAATTTAGACAATGCAAAGGGATTAGGAAAAAAAGACTGAAATCTTGTTGCCCAGAGGTACCCACTGCCTTTTCCCCTCCTTTAAACACAGCTGCAGTCTCTCCCATACACAGAAAAGCCTTCGTAGCCTGGGAATTTGGACAGGTGTGTAGACAAGATGCCTTTTCTGTGGCAGGAGCACATCTTGCTCTGGTTTTGGCAGAGAGCTGAGATGAGGATGGGTGGGGAGGTGGGCGCACCCCTGATTTCAAGTCGATCGTGCGTGTGTTTGGGTGCAGCTGGCAGAGAAGCTGAGGACATCGTGAACTGGCTGAAGAAGCGCACAGGCCCTGCCGCCACCACGTTGCCTGACGGGGCCGCCGCAGAGGCCTTGGTGGAGTCCAGTGAGGTGACGGTCATTGGCTTCTTCAAGGTAAAGGCTGCAGAATCACCTTGGGTCTTACTCTGTCGTTGGAGGAGGGGTCCCCATGGCCTGGCACTGCCGTTGCCCTGCTGCTGACCCGGGCAGGGGTCTTTGGTGTTGATGCACATGGCCACCTCTGGTTCTCCTCTTCTCTAGGACGTGGAGTCAGACTTTGCCAAGCAATTCTTGCTGGCCGCTGAGGCCATCGATGACATACCCTTTGGGATCACGTCCAGTAGTGATGTGTTCTCCAAGTACCAGCTGGACAAGGACGGGGTCGTCCTCTTTAAGAAGGTGAGTGGCCACGGGCAGCTCCGCCCAGGGTGGTGGAGGTGCTGCACTGGCCGGTGGTGTTCCTGTCCCTGCGGCTGCGGGAGCCTCGAGACCTGCGCCTGGTGGCACTGCCGCTGGGCCGCGGGCCTGACGACTTACCGAGGGCCCGTTTTGCAACATTAGACCGGAGGCACACTAAGACACTGGCCTTCAGCCCTTCAGCTATGGGCCCTTGAAATCAGAGCTGCTTTGGAGTGTTAGCTTTTTTAAAAAAAAAACTGGCGAGGGGCCGGCCCGGTGGCGCAGTGGTTAGGTGCACATGTTCCGCTTCTCGGCGGCCCAGGGTTCGCCGGTTCGGATCCCGGGTGCGGACATGGCACTGCTTGGCAAGCCATGCTATGGTAGGCGTCCCATGTATAAAGTAGAGGAAGATGGGCACGGATGCTAGCTCAGGGCCAGTCTTCCTCAGCAAAAAGAGGAGGATTGGCGGCAGATGTTAGCTCAGGGCTAGTCTTCCTCAAAAAAAAACTGGCGAGACGTATGTAAGGAAGTTTGCTATTTTAACCACTTTTAAGTATATGATTCCATGGCATTAACTACATTTATATTGTTGTCCAACCATCACTCCTGTCTATTTCCAAAACTTCTTCCTCACCCCAAACAGAGGCTCTGGAGTGTTAGCTCTGGGGGCGCATGTACCCAGCCTGTTCGCAGAGCCCTGCCCTCGGCCCCTCGGCCCACTGTACTTGCTCTTCGTGGAGAGCACTGGTGCCGGGCATCTTGCCAGGATGCAGGCAGGATGTGTGTCTGCATGGCATTACCTAGGGGCGACAGGTTCTCTCTCTTATCTCAGCCCCCAGACAGTGGGAATGGGGCCTGCTGAGCGCCATGCTCTTGGAACATGGCTGTCCCTGGACTGGGCAATGGTGCGTTCATGCCATTCAGTAGCACTGTGCAGAGTGGAGGAGGAGCCAGAGGGTGGGCGGGGGGCGGAGGGGTAGGAGGCACATCTTCAGGGGTGGGGACACGGCCTTTCACTCCAGTCCTGTTTGGTCCCTGTGGGGAGAAGGTAGGTTTAGAGTTACATTAAAGTAGTAACCATGTGGTCAGAAATGGCCTGAGGCTGTTGTGTGCGCTCGCCACCAGTGGAACAGCTTGACGGGCCAGCCACGGGACTTGGAAGATGAGGAACTGGTTAGCTTTCTGTGGTGGTTTCGAGGCATCTAGCACCTTGCCAGGGACTGTCGGGCGGGGTCGAGGCCTCTCCCAGCAGCACTGCAGAGGGCTGGGAATGCCCAGGGGGCTGGGGTGGTTCTGGGACTGCTTTCTTTCTGTGTCCTTCAGCTCTTTCTCTAGTCCCTTCCTCGAAAGAACACAAGACATCACGCACGCTCCCTTAGCTCAGTGGACCTCCTCAGTGTTCCCGAGAGGGACTAGGATTGCTGAGCCGGGAGTCGTTGCAGAGGTGCCTGCGAAGTGGTAGTGAGACGTTTGGTCAGGAAAAAGCCGTGAAGCGAGCCGGGCTCGTGGTTTAAGTTCCATGCGCTCTGCTTGAGCGGCCCAGGCTTGGTTCCCGGCTGCAGAGCCGCATCACTCGTCTGTCAGCAGCCATGCTGTGGCAGCGGCTCACAGAGAGGAGCTAGAACCCTTAAAACAACCGTGCGCTGTGGCTTTGGGAAGGGAGAATCTGTGACGTGTTGGATGAAGTTGAGTGAACAGAAGGTCTTGGGGTATTAGAGAGGGAGTTGTGGGTCATGTCCTGAAGTTTAGGTTGAGAGAATAGGGGAGAGTTTCTCTGAGCCCTGTTGAAATTTGTAAACCCGCTGTTGTCAGTTCAGTCCACATGGTTCTTTTCCACCATTCTTAAAATCTCAAGTGACAGATCTCACACTGGCTCGGTGGTTTTGGTGGTCGTGTGTCCTTGAAGGTTAGAATGATTGTTTCTTGTTCTGCAGAGACTCTCCGGCACGGCAGCTCATCTCCGTGTGCTTTTATCGGCCTCTATTCTCTGGTGTCTGTGCAGGCTGGGCACAGCCGACTCCCAGGTCTGGTGCCAGTGGGTGGGCAGCGCCTTCTCTTCCATCAGTGGCTCGGCATCTGTTCTTGCACAGCGTGGCCGCCTCGGGCAGAGCCTGGCAGAGCCCATGGACTTTGTGCTGGCTGGGTCAGCAGAGGTCACAGCTGCGCTCAGATCAACAGGCTCCCCGGACAAGAGGAAACAGCTTGGGTCTGGACCCTCCAGTTTCCGCTTGCTGTCCCCCTTTCTCGGCTCTACTAGTCATTTTTTTGGCCTTTACTCAGTCCCCTTCTTCAGGTTGTTCAGCCCAGTTCCTCACAGCAAGGGGTCTTCCTGTCTGCCCAGGGGCCGTGGTGCCACCTCGCTGAGCCAGGCGCTGTCCCCGGGGACTGGGCAGGCAAGCTCGAAGGAGTGGCCCACTGCTGCTTGCTGGGCAGGGTGGCGAGGAGGAGTGGCGGTGGTACCAGCGGGACTGGAGCCGTGAGTCCCACCTTGGGTCACTGGTCACTGGTGGTTGGACCGTCGGTGTGAGAGTTGATTGTCCTGTGCCCTTGTTTGTCCTGGTCTTTACTTTGTTTTTCTTTTTTGTTCTTTGAAGCCAGGGGGCGAGGAGTGGACGTGGGGCAGGCCTCTCCTCCCCCGCCTGCAGCGTCAAGCCTTTTTGTGATGTTGTCATTGTGGCCTGGCGGGCTGGCCTCTGAGGCTGGAAATGGGGCGGTCCCTGCCCAGGGACTCTTGCGGCTGTCCCCAGCTAAATGAAGGCTGGCTGTCTTTCACTAAAGTAGACAGTGAACACAGGGTCATGTGGCACCATTACTAAGAAGATCGCATCCCGGGACAGGTGCAGTGGCTCTGCTCTTCAGGCTTCTGGGTGTGAAGTTGGGCAGACAGTGCCCACTGCGTGGGGGGCTGGAGACACAGTGCTGAGGAGTGGGCACTAGCAGCCTGCTTGCCTCCCTTTGTGGCTCAGCGTTCCCCCTGGGGCCACTGGGCCTGGGCCAGCTTCTCATTTTCTAAATGATGCGCTCAAAGGGCCTCTTGGCCTCGGCTTTTCTATCTTGTTATCGTTTCCACGTTCTCAGGTTTGGGGCAGCTAGAATGTGGTGGCCTGGGGGCCGTGCCTGGACTCCTAGCGCTGGCCCGCGGTCTGCTCTGTCGCAGCCCCGGGTGTCATGGTGGAGCTGAGGGTCCAGCTCTGATGTAACATTGCGGGGAGTGGGAAGTGGCCACCTGCTTCTGTGGAAGGTACTTTGGGGAAGTGTAAAGGAAATGAGCAGGAAGGAAAGGTGTGTCGTTTCTCCCCAGATCAGGGTGGAGAGTTCAGGGGCAATGGAGCGCTTGTCTGAACTGCTCACCGAGAAGGCTCAGGCCTGCAGTCAGCCTTTCTGGGTCAGCGTTGTTTCTGCCCTCCCCGTCCAGAGCCGAGGCTACACGTCAGGCTCCATCTGTGTGGCCCCAGGACTTCTGGAGCCCTTACATGTTACTAAGGATTCCAAAGAGCTTTTGTTTATGTGGATTATACCTATTGATTTTTATTGTGCTCGAAATTAGAACTGAGAAGTTTTTTAAAAACTTGTGGGGCTGGCCCAGCGGCATAGTGGTTAAGTTCAGTGTGCTCTGCTTCAATGGCCTGGGTTCGCAGGTTCGGATCCCAGGCGCGGACCTATACCACTCGTCAGCCATGCTGTGGCAGCGACCCACACGGAAAATAGAGGGAGGGGCCAGCCCCGTGGCCGAGTGGTTAAGTTCATGCGCTCCGCTTTGGTGGCCCGGGGTTTTACTGGTTCAGATCCTGGGCATGGACATGGCACCACTCACAAGGCCATGTTCAGGTGGCGTCCCACGTGCCACAACTAGAAGGCCTTGCAACTAAAATATACAACTATGTACTGGGGAGATTTGGGGACAAAAAGCAGGGGAGAAAAAAAGGAGTGGCAACAGTTGTTAGCTTGGGTGCCAATCTTTAGGGGGAAAAAAGAAAATAGAGGGAGATTGGCATGGATATTAGCTCAGGGCTAATTTTCCTCAGCAAAAAAAAACAAAACTTGTTCATTCTAAAGTAACAATAATAAACCTGTTACATGTTATCAAAAATAACATTTTTATAAAAGTTAATTTTTTCCAGATGACATTTTAGTGATAAGTCGTCTTTTAGATTTCTGCGGGTCTCTGATGTCTTTCTAAATGGAAGACAGCAGGTTTCTCCTGGTTTGCCTTCAGTTTGTGGCAATGTCACCATTGTGCAGCCTGCGTCAAACTGAACCGCCCACTCAGGAGGGAAGGTCAGGGAAGGCACGTGCCATCTGAGTGTGCTTGTGGAAATCCTTCTGACCCCGCAGCTGCGCTGAAAGGGTCTCAGGCCCGCAGGGGTGCGGCCCACACTTTGAGAGCGCTGTTTCGGGACATGGAGATGAGGATGGTAATGTGTATAAAACCCGCGTCCCTGGGGCCTGTTAGGGACGCGCGGTGTGGGGCCTGGTGGGGCGGGGTTGGGCCAGCTGCTGTGGTCTGTCCGTGGGAGGCTGCCTGCCTGTGCTCCTGGGGAGCCTGCGTGCTCTCCTTGGTGACGTGCTCTCCTTGGTGACGTCGCTGTTGCTCAGTACCCAGGAGGATGCTGGTCGCTGCAGCCCTCACCGGCTGTGCTTCGTGGACAGAAGCACGTGGGTCCTGCTCCCCATTCCTCTCAAAACCCCAGACAGGGAGGTCAGGCTGCCAGGCTGCCGTGCTGGGCCAAGCCCAGGCTGGCTGGAGGCCACAGGAGGCTGCTGGGAGTGCTTTGGCGTGCCTCAGTGCTCACGGCCCTCTCTCTGTCCACAGTTTGATGAGGGCCGGAACAACTTTGAGGGGGAGATCACCAAGGAGAAGCTGCTGGACTTCGTCAAGCACAACCAGCTGCCACTGGTCATCGAGTTCACGGAGCAGGTGTGGCTCCTGTGCTGGTCCTTCACCTTGAGAGAAGGGCTGGTGTGGGAGGGTCGTGAGGTCCCAGCCCTGGGGACCCCCACTTACAGAGTCCTCATTGTTGCTCCACTGAGAGAATATCCTATGTCAATAGTTTAGCTCGTGGCTCAGACCCAGTGACCTATGTTTATAACACAGACAGCCCCCAAGATTTTCGGAGGTGAAATCAAGACACACATCCTGCTGTTCCTGCCGAAGAGCGTGTCTGACTATGACGGGAAACTGAGCAACTTCAAGAAAGCCGCCGAGAGCTTTAAGGGCAAGGTGAACTGCTTTCTGGATGGCCTGGTCTCGGGGGCCGGGCTGTTGGGGAAGGGTTAGCCAGGTCATCCTCTACTCCCTGTCAGTGGTCGGTCTGGCAGTCCCCGAGTTTGAGTCGGAAGAGAGAAGCTTCAGTGGCACAGGTCTGCTTCCAGGCGAAGCAGTGAGGGCAGGAGCAGAAACGAGGCCTCAGACCCTCTGTCTTCCCAGTGCCGCTATCAACCTGCCTTTTCTCCCCCAAGATCCTGTTTATCTTCATCGACAGCGACCACACCGACAACCAGCGCATCCTCGAGTTTTTCGGCCTGAAGAAGGAGGAGTGCCCTGCCGTGCGCCTCATCACCCTGGAGGAGGAGATGACCAAGTACAAGCCGGAGTCGGACGAGCTGACAGCAGAGAAGATCACAGAGTTCTGCCACCGCTTCCTAGAGGGCAAGATCAAGGTGGGGGCGCCGTGTCTGGGGTGGGGTCTGCACTGGCCTCTTGGCCCTTGGTGTCCAAGCCTTCCTGTGGCTGCATCCTCAAGGGGTCTGCAGACTCAAGCATAGAATCCTGAGGACAGCCCCCCCCCCCCCCCCAGCGGTGTGAAGATGGCTGTCCTAGTCCCACTGCCTGGGAGCACAGAGCAGCCCTGACTTGGTGGGCTTAGTCCTCTCCTGAGGGCCATGAGCTGTTCTGGTCAGCTGAGGGCAGCCGTGGGCCTCTGCCAGGGGTGGGGCCTCTGCCGGGGCAGTGGGGCCCGTGGCAGGCCGGCCAGCCCTGACCCTGCTCTGCTGCCCTCCAGCCCCACCTGATGAGCCAGGAGCTACCTGAGGACTGGGACAAACAGCCTGTCAAAGTGCTGGTCGGGAAGAACTTTGAAGAGGTTGCTTTTGATGAGAAAAAGAATGTCTTTGTGGAATTCTGTAAGTGAAGCCTCTTTAGCTCCCGGGTTTGTCTGCCCTCTGGAGGCCTGGGTTGGGGTGGGCGGGAAGTGGCTTCCCGGCTCAGGGAGACTCAGAGCTGCTTTCTCTCAGACGCCCCGTGGTGCGGTCACTGCAAACAGTTAGCTCCCATTTGGGATAAGCTGGGAGAGACGTACAAGGACCATGAAAATATCGTCATCGCCAAGATGGACTCGACGGCCAACGAGGTGGAGGCGGTCAAAGTGCACAGCTTCCCCACACTCAAGTTCTTCCCTGCCAGCGCGGACAGGACGGTGAGCCGTCCACACGGGGCTCGGCACTGGTGACTGCGGGTGGGACACTGGGCCCTCCCAGCTCTGGCCTCTGCCATCGAAGGGTGCCGGGCACAGGCGGGTGTGGAGGAGAGTCGGGGCCGCGGCAGGGCCTGCCTTTCTGTGGAGAGGGGAAGGCGCTGCTTTGTCTGTCAGGGCAGACCAGCTTCCCGACTCACACTCTCCCTCCCCCACAGGTCATCGATTACAACGGGGAGCGGACGCTAGACGGCTTTAAGAAGTTCCTGGAGAGCGGTGGCCAGGACGGGGCAGGGGATGACGACGTAAGTGGTGGTCACCAGACCCCGGCTGGCCTCTGAGGCTGCACCCTGCGGCCCGTGGGCCGTGCTCGCCTGGGCGCTGCTGGAGGCACGTGCGTGCACAGCTCTCCCCATCAGCACTTCTGCATGCGGAGGTTTGGGAAGGTCTTTAAGGGCTGGTGTTTGCCTATAAGATCTTTTCAGGCTCTTCCCACACGGGTCCCTGCTGACTTGACTCAAACGTTTTTCCCCAGCCCATTGGCCAAGGCACTCTGCAGGGCATGAGGCAGGGGCTTGGGCATGTCCAGGTCAGCCGTGGTCAGCCATGGAGGGCGGAGGGGATGTGATGTGTGTCCAGGCCAGGGGGGCATGGCAGGGGCGAGGGCTGGTGACTAGCAGGACATTTGAGGCAGGGAGCAGAGGGAATGGTCATGCAGGCCACAGGGCATGCCGGAAGCACCAGGGAAAGTAGAATGGGGAGTGGATCTGCTGAGGGACCCGCCCTGGTTGCCGAGTGGGTGGGGTCCCTATTGAGGAGTGCCTGGGAGGCCGTGGTTACTGGCCCCACAAGCCCTGGGGGCTGGGCGGGGTAGACGTGGCACACCAGCGGCTTGGTCTTCACGCTGGAGCTGCCCCTGCGCTCCCCATGGGAAGATGTGACCTGGAATCCCAGGCTCCCCACAGTGCAGGCTCCATGCCCATCCTGCCTCATGGGCAGAAGCCCCTGCACCTGCTCAGAGAGACCAGAGCTGGCGGCTCTTGGCTGCACGGCCAGCTGGTCCCTGCTGGGCGAGGTGTGTGCGGGGTTCATCTTTCATTTCCTTCCCTTTTCCTGCTACATCCCAGGATCTAGAAGATCTAGAAGAAGCCGAAGAGCCCGACCTCGAGGAAGATGATGATCAAAAAGCTGTGAAAGATGAACTGTAATGCAGGATACCAGACCTGGGCACCCCAAACACGACACCTCTCCGTGGGCTGCACCCCAGCAGCACAGCCTCCGGAAGCCCACAGACCCTCACCAGGAGGAGGGAGCATTGATCGGAAATGCAGGGAATTTTTCTGAAGCAACACTTCATTCTAACACGTGTAAATTTAAACCCGTCTCGTCTTTTTGCTTTTCAACTTTTGCAAAGGGATTTATCTCCAGGCCAGCCCATCTTGGTGGGCCCTTTTTTTTTAAAATTGTGATGTACTTTTTCGTACACAGTTTTGTCCAGAGTACTTGCTGAAGTGTTTTGGAATCTCATGCTGGCAATGTCTCCTTCCCGTATCACTTTAAAAAAAATTCCATCTGTGGGATTTTTAGACATTTTTGGACGTCAGGGTGTCTGTTCCACCTTGGCTGGGCCTCCCAGGAGACTCGTGTCCCCTGCTGGGGAGGGACCAAGCCAGGCTGGATGGGTCACTCTCAGCTCGCGCCAGTGTTGCCTTGACTGAGCGTGGCTCTTGCATAGTTCGGTTAAACGGAGACTTGAGGTCTCTGTTCTGGGGGGCACCCCACCACGACTGGAGGTGGGTGGTGGGTGCCGGCTGAGCCCAGGACAGGCCTGGGCAGCCCCCCTCCCTCCCCAAGCCAGGCTTCTCGTTGCTCTGTGACGTCCAGGGTGGCCTGAGGCCTGCACCAGGCAAAACCAGAACCCTGTTTCCAGGCTGGAAGAGCCCAGCATGCTTGAGCCGAATCAGATGTTGATAGTTCTTCAGGCATTTCTACCACAATATTGGAATTGAACACATTGGCCAAATAAAGTTGAAATTTTACTACCTGTGGTTGTCTCTGCATTACAGTATCTCTAGGCCACAGGGCGGGGGCTGGAATTCCACCTCTGAAGACAGGAGGTGGGCTTGGAGGGAGCCGCTCTTACCGGGACACCTCTTCCTTAGAGCGCGGTGTGGACACAGAAGCACACACGGGTCTCGCAGGCTTGGTTTGCTGGGCTGTCAAGTGCTTGCAGCCTGGGGGCAGCACCTGCATGTCACCATGTGGAACAGCTTGGTGGCGCTGTGGGGCTGGTTTACCCACGATGGCTGTTGCTGGTGTGACCCTCCTTGGGCATCTAGTCACAACGTGGCTTCTGCTCATGTGCTGCAGCAGGACATGGCGGGGCTGCACGAGGAGCCAGCCCCGGCCGGAGGTGGGCAGGGCTGTTGTACAATAGTGGTCTCGAGCTGCCGCAGCATCTGACAAGAAATCAGCTGTGTTCACACTTTAAGAATGGGTATCATCACATAAAAAGAACCTGGTGTTTAAAAAGCAAGTCTCCTAGTTATTAAAATGTAATTTCACTTCCAAAACCACAGCTTGCTTGAAGTTTGCTAGAGAAAAGTACAATTAGATCGATTTTTTCCACAAACTCAAAGTTGCTGGCTGGGCTGCAGTATTGGGCTGATGGCACTTCTGAGCCTGGATTAGTGACACCTCTAGGACCTTCGGGGCCCCAGGGAGCTCTGGTGCCTGTGGGTCCCTCTGAGAGCGGGAGAGGAGCCCCACAGAGGGGCTGACAGGGCTCAGGTGGGTGTCCGTCCCTGACCATGACAGCACGCCCAGGGACTTGCCATCTGTTGCCGTCTGTGTGGGTCTGCAGGAGAAGGTGGGACCAGAGGGCCACCTGACGACATCCTGGAGGGAAGGGAGGAGGCGGAGATACAGTCCACCCGAGGAGGTCAAGGACAGCAAAAGGTCAGGTTTCCCAGGAGCCCTGCCTTTCCCTCCACACATCCATTCACTCTCCATCTCTGACTTGCTCCCTGGAGTAGGAAGCCTGCATGCATTACCCAATTCCCGGCCCCCACAGTTCTGATGCTCACTTGCTGGTTGGAGCTTCCAGGTGCCAGGGGCATGGCCAGCAGGCAGGAACGTCGCAGTTGCTGTGAGCGTGGTTATGTTAGTGGTCTTGGCCCAGGGGGAGGTGGGGGTGTCATCTTCTCCATGATCACAGCCACGCTCCCAGCCAGAGGCCTGTGTGCTGGCTCTTGTTCTCCCCAATGCTGTCGCCTGCCATCCAGGCCCTCAAGCGAGGGCTGCTCCTGCCTCTGACCCAGCTGCACAGTATACAGCCAGCGTGCAGTGAGGACCGGTGTTAGCATCCTGGGCAGCACCACCCAGGCCCGCTTATCCACACACCCTGGTGTCAGGGCGCTGCTCCTCTGGCTCAGCAGCCCAGGCTGACGGCCACCCACGCTGGGCTTCCTTCCCTGGTCCTAGGGTGGCCTGTGCTGGCGCTGGTTTCTCATCAGTCCATTCCAAGGTCTGTGTGTGTTGTGCCTCGGTCCTGCTGACACGATGAGACGTGTATCCACGGAAAAGTGGGCTCGGGCACTTGGGGGTTCTGTTGGAGGAGGTCACTGGCGAGATGTTAGCTCTGCTCTCCAAGACGTGACCATTTTCCCCTGGGGGACACATGGCCTCCAGAGGAGCGAGCGCATTGTGAGCTGAGAACAGGGCTGTCAGGAGTCACACCTACAAGGGGTGGGCTGTGCCCAATCCTGGGCTTCCTGCCCCAGCAACAAATGCGGGTGACCCTACAGACCACCTGTGTGGAGCAGGGCTCTCCACACAGAAAGCTGGGGCCAGTCACAGCTGCCCAAAGCATTGCTGTCATGTGCTCTGGGGCTGGGGGGGGGGGGCGGGGGTGCAGCGAGTCAACGATACCTTTCCCCTTTGCCGAGGCAGCTGATTAGCGCATTCCTGGCCCGAGTTTGCTGGAAGGCTGCGGGTGGAGTCCAAAACCTGGCAGAGCTGGTGGATTAACGAGGCGACTTTGCAGGCTCTGGGGTAGGCGGTTAAGGCTTAACAGCCTGGAAGGTCCCAATCTCTCTCTCTTCCTCCCTCCCTCCCTCTCTTTTTCTTTCTCCTGTCTCTCTCTAGGTGGTAGGAAGCTACTGGCCTGGAACCTAAAAAAGCAGCTGCTGGGCCCGTGCACCAGACTCTAGAGGTCCTCTGGCCTCAGAGCCTGCCCCCAGAGCTGCACCGACTCTCCTCACAGACCCTCCGGCAGCTTGTGTTTCCTGCTGGACACAGGGCATTGGTAGTTGCATTCCTTGGACTTTTCCAAGTAAGCTTTTCGCATTAAATATTTTTGTTTGCTTTGGTCCTCTCGAAAGCAGAAACTTGAAATCCCGCAAACCAGGTCACTTCACAGGTTCACACGGGCAGACATGGGTCAGGGACAAAGCTGCGTAAATACAAATTTGGTTCTGACGTGGTTGCTTGAAATGTAGGCTCTGCAAATGGTGGCAGGTTAGACTGCTTACTTCTGGTTTCTGATGAAAGGTTTCCAAGGTGAGACACCTCAGGTCATGTCCATGGTTTGGAGGGCACCGTTCCTGTGTCCTGGATAGAATACCTTTCAGGAGTCTCTTGTGACTGGGTGGTCACTTCTCTGATCCAAACAGAACCCCCAAAGCCAAATTCCCTGAGCTCTTCAGCTCACCTTTAGTAGGATGGACCAGAGGGTCCCTCTTGGGGTCACCAACAGGCTCACCCCACTGGTCTTGCCCTGAACTGTCTCTAGCCCGAGGCCTGGTCACTCCCAGGAAGGGCCTGGCTGTTGGTGGCAGCTACATGCAGGGTTCTTTCACCTGATCCTCTGAGTGGGGAGAGAGGACAGAACTTTCCACAACATCAGAAGAGGCAATCTTCACATCAAAGGAAAGTTCTGTCTCCGTCTACAGTGCAGAACTTTCAGTCTCTGGGCTTGGTGTAAACAAGCTGGAAGAAACCGTACCTGACTCCTCCCAAGTGACCAGGAGTTATGACTGCCCAGTACTGTCTTCTGAACCCCGAAATGCAGGAACAGTGGGAACCGCCCCTCCTCAGGGCCCCTGCCAGGGTGGAACTTCAGTGTGAAGCTGGTGGCTTGAGGCCTGTGGGGCCGGCCCTGGCTGGTGGGCGGGGGCTGCTGAGGCAGGCTGAGAAAACCCCGGCAGGGCGAGGAGTCTGTCTTAGGCAGTGCTCATTTCTCTGAAGCATTTGGCCCAAGGCTTTGCACCTACAGAGTGTTGAATACATTTGTTGATTTGATTTTGTTGGATCAAGACCAGTCTGGTGATGCAAGGGCTGCTGGTGACCGAGCAGCCTGCCCCACCCCTGGAAAAAATGCTGGCCAGTCTTGGTTCTGTCCTCTTTCAGGCCTTCAGGGACAACCCAGGGAGGTCTCGCTAGTGTTACAGGTTGAACTGCATTTCCCCAATATGTGTATACTGAAGGGCTGACCCCAGGATCTCAGAATATGGCCTTATTTGGAAACAGAGCTGTTGCAGATGTAATTAGTCAAGATGAGGTCACACTGGAATAGGGTGGGCCCTAATCCAATGGCTGGTGTCCTTATAAAAAGGGGAAATTTGGACACAGACATGTACACACGGAGAACGTCTTATGAACATGCAGGCAGAAATCAAACTGATGTGTTTACAAGAACACCACAGACTGCTACCAGAAGCCAGGAGATACGACTGGAACAGATTCTCCTTCAGAAGGAACTCACTCCACTGATACCATGATCTTGGAGTTCTGGCTTCCAGAACCAGGAGAGAATAAATTTCCTTTGTTTAAGGCCCACAGTCTGGTACTTTGTTACAGTAGCCCTAGCAACCCAATACAGCCATCTTCAGGTACTGGGGACATGCCCCTGACCCCATAGGCATGCTCCTGGCCCAGCCTGGGCCCATGGATGTGTCCGTGCGCACACCTTGTCCAATGCTCTTCTCCCATTGAACTTGGAGCCCCACCTCAGACCTGAGCTGCTGCAATGAAGGCAGCTGGACCTGGCCCAGCCTTCTGGAAGGTCTTCTTACAATTCTACTGGTTGCATTCCTACAGGTAAGTCTGCACTGGACCGGGTGCAGAGGGCGCACACCACCCAGGACATGATGTCCCATCTTTGGGGAGCAGACTAGATGCCATCTTAAGTGTGAGCATGTGTCCTTAGCAGTAAGCGACAGGAGCCTGGAACCTGGAGAAGTGGGAGGGGCAGGGGTGGAGAGGAACAGAGCATCGTAGGGAGGGGCAGCAGAGGCTTCCTGATGGGCAGAGCGGGACGGGCTGAGCGGGAACTGAGGCATTCAGACTCTATCCTGAAAGATTTCTGAGCAGGAGGGCAGTGCCATCAAGGCCTATGTTTGGGGAAAATTGTCCTGAGAGTGATGCGAGCCATGACGGAAGGTGACAAGTGACAGGGATGGCAATGGGGAGGGCCGGGCCTTCTCCACAGCATGGTCAGACCGTGCTTCCTCAGATGTGGGCAGCCCCTCGCTTCCGGGAGGGCGAGACAGCCATCCTCCTCACACATCACACCCTTCTCCCCAAGTTCCTGGGACTGTGTGGGGGAGGCGCATGGGCCCTCTTCATGACCTTGGTACCTGCTGCCTTCCTCATGGGCCCTGTCCTTCTAGTACCTTCTCCTGCCCTCTGTAAGGCACCTTCTACGTCCAGCTGCGGGGTAGGGAATGGTAGCCAGGAAGGATCTGACCCCTCTGGCCGGGCACGGCGACAGGTGGGCTGAAAGATGAGCCACTAAACATGATCCTGAGCGCCGGGCGGGGAGCGGCTCGGTTTCAGGCCCTCATGGCGCGAGCATGACTGCGCAGCTTTATATAGCTCCGTGGACCTATATAAATGGGAAGTGCCCTTGCCACAGAGGGAGCACAGGGGCACCGCTGGGGCTGCACTGGAGGTCGTTGTCAGCTAGAAGAGCCGGCAGGTTAGTCTGGTCCAGGCCAGGCACATCCTGCCCCAAGCAGTAGGATCCCACAGGCGTGGCCCAGGCCACAGCCCCCAGGATGCCCAGCAGAACTGTCCGCTATGCCCGCTACAGCCCAAGGCAGCGGCGCCGGCGGCTGCTGGCTGATCGAAGTGTACGCTTCCCTAATGATGTCCTGTTCCTGGACCACATCCGCCAGGGCGACCTGGAGCAGGTGGGGCGCTTCCTCCGGGCTCGGAAAGTTGCCCTGGACACCATCCACCCCTCAGGTGAGTACCTGTGGGGCCGGCCGAGGGTCTGTGGGGCAGCAGGGAGAGGCCTGAGCCTTGACCCTGCCTGCCCTGCTCTGCCCTGGCCAGGCATGGCTGCCCTGCACGAAGCGGTGCTCTCTGGAAACCTGGAGTGCGTGAAGCTGCTGGTCAAATACGGGGCCGACATTCACCAGCGGGACGAGACAGGCTGGACGCCCCTGCACATTGCCTGCAGTGACGGGTACCCAGACATAGCCAGGTGAAGAGAGTGAGGCCAGGGTCTTTATCCCAACTCCTCGGACCTCAAGTGACCTCCAGGATGTGATCCCCCAAAAAGTGGCCCTGGTGGTATAGCGAAGAACCCTAAGGGCTTCTGGAATCTCCTTTCTGCCCTGCTGCCCTCCCCAGAGCAAATGGGAAAAGCCAGCCATAGTTTCTGAAGGGTCAGGTTTCCTCCTCCTCACCCTACCTGGAAAAATAAAAAACAGGTGGACCTGTTACCCCGTCTGCTACCCTGGGGTCGGGATGAGCACCCTCCAAGCCACCTCCCCCCTATAACCAGGGCTGCCCTTTGCACCCCAGGTACCTCATCTCCCTGGGGGCTGACAGAGACGCAGCCAACAACGATGGCGACCTGCCCTCGGACCTCATCGACCCAGACTTCAAGGACCTGGTGGAGCTCTTCAAAGAGACTAAGATGGACTGAGCCCAGCCCTGCCCTCCCAGGGCTCTCGCCCTCCCTGGAGAAGTCGGGCGCCCACCTCCCCCAGGTGCCAGGACATGCCACACCGGCGGGGCCGGGAGCCGGCCAGGACCCCGTACCTGGGCATAACCCCCGCCCCCACACCCCTGGCCTGGCTTTTTCTCCAGGTGAATTTTTTATGGTGACACTTTTTACTTTTTCAATAAATGTGATTTCCAAGCCCGTGGCGGTGGCCTGATTACTGGGGAATGGCTCGTCCTCCTCTCCGGCCGCTTCCGGGGGTCGGCGCGTCCCGCTGTCCTCGCCGGGCTGGGGGTCCCCGGTGCAGCGCCGGACCAGTGCGCCGGAGCCCCGCAGCTGCCGACCCTCCTGTCCGCCGCCCAGCCGGCCCCGCCCCCGGGACCCCGACCCGCCCCCTGCGCGCGCCGGCAGTCACGTGCCCCGCCCCGCGCCGGCGCGTGCGCGCGGCGGCGTCACTTCCGGCCGGGCCCCAGCTGGCGGAGGCGGCGGCGGAGGCAGAGCGGCGAGGTGAGGCGGCGGCGGGGGCGGAGCGGGCGCGCCGGGACCAGTCCCGGCGCGGCGGCGGGCGAGGGCAGGGCCCGGGCGGGGGCGCTGTGAGGAGGGGCGGGGGACGCGGCGGCGATCCCAGCCGGGGCCCGCGGCTCGGGAGGTGCGCTCGGCCGGACGGCGGGGCCCGCCTTCTTCGGCCTGGAAGCCGCCGCCCGGCGACAGATGCCCCGCTGTCCCCGCTCTCCCGGGGGAGCGCGCTCACGGTGCTTCCTGACGCAGGGCCCTCCGTCCTCCCGCCGCTCCCGCGTCCCTAGCCTCCCCTGCCGGGCGGAGCGGCGCCGGGTACCGGGCGGGAGGAGCGAGGCCTGCCCCGCCCCAGGGAGCTCCCGGGGCCGCAGCGCCCGACCCCCGCGGGGGCCGCCGCAGGAGCGCAGGGCTGCGGGGCGGGCAGCCGTACGTGGCACGCTTCCCGTTATAGTGCGACCCAGATTGTGAAGACTCCGAGGAATAGGAGGTGCAAGAGTCGTGTCCCCCGACCTGCCCCACGGAGGCCTCTCAGAGGTGGTGGTCTTCTAGCCGGACCCCCGAGGATGAGGAGGATAGTTTGGGGCAGCGGGCACGGCTTGAGCAAGATGTCTGTGGGAAGCAGTGAGCCGACTTCTGGGCGGATGATGTCGACAGCTTTTAAAGAGGGGTAAAGGCGGGGGGAGAGGGGGCAGGAGCTGAGTCCTGGAGGAGGAGTGCTTGATGTGGGGTGAGTGAAGGATGGCAAGATTTCCAGATGAGGCGGGAGGGGGTGCACACACTCAGGTCTGCTGCTCCGGAAGGGGGCCCGCGGCCCTCACCCGGGAAGGAGGGCGGCAGTGGTGCGGTGCTTGGAGGCTTTGCCTGGGGGTCTTCAGCGGACCGCCAGGCCCCTGTTTGGCATCTAGTACAGCACTATGCTGCTGGCAGCTGTTTAGGTCGAGATCACGTTTTAGAAATCTCATTGGCTGCAAGTACTGGGCTGTTGAGAGCCCCAAAGACTCAGAATATGCCAGGGAAGTGGAGTCTAAGAAACTCCACTCCATTCCAAAGGAACACGGAATGACCACCAATCGCATCATTGATTCCAACTCTGGAATATTCCATTGTCACTTTTCCAGACAACAAGGTAGCATCTCCCTTCCTGTCTTTAGGCGTATGGCAGCCTGTGGGAAAAGGGTTTGAGACTGGAGGCTGGAGGCTGGGCTTCAGGTCCTCTCAGGCCCTGCGTCCCCCCGAGGAGGTCTCTGAAGCCCTTGTTTCCCGTGGAGGAGCAAGGTATTACATAGATCCATCCAGAAAGACTCCCTTCCTGTCTCTGAACAGAACCGCATGGATATCAGGGGATCCAGGAACTTTCCAGGGGGATGCAGGTGAGGGCAGAGGCGGGCTCTGGGGTGCTCAGGACTGCTGAGCTGTCTAGGCTCGGCCCTCGCTGCTGTGGCCCTGGAGGCCCAGAGGTTGGGAGCCCCATGGGGTCCAGACCCTACTCTGCTGGGTAGCAGGCTGCTTCACCCACTGAGCCTCTGAGAAGGGGATCGTCGGGCTGCCCTCTGGCTAAGTGTGGGACGGGAGCTGAGCCCTGCAGTTAGCTTTCGGCAGGTGTTTGCTGGGCCGGTGGTGCTGCTGTGATTTCACAGTACCTGTACTTTCTGGGTCTACATGGCATTTTGAGTGGGCTGGCTGTCCATTCGGTTTGTCCAGAACTGTCCAGGCTCATACTTTGCAATTAGCAGCATCCCTTCATTCTCAGAAGTGCCTAGTTAGATGATACGTTCCTTCTCTCGTCACCCTGTCCATCATAACACATCAGATAAGGAGTCACAGAGATCTCGTTTAAGGTGATGGCTTCACGTGGTTGTGCTTGGGTCCCTGTCAAGCAGGAGGGCCTAGCGAGCATTCTTGGGGGCCGCTCTGGCTCAGATGAGGACACTGAGGCCCAGAGAGGGCAGAGACTTGCCTGGAGGTGGCAGAGCAGGGATAGACCCTGCCATGTGCCTAGCATGCAACCTGCTGGGTGCTGTAGGCTAGGCAGCCCTGGACAACAGTCGAGGCCTTTGGAGTGCACCGAGGGATGGTATATGGTTCTTTGTGGTGATGGCAGCAGCAGGCAGAGGTGGCTCTGTGGCAAAGACTGTGTTTGGGGATAGGCCTGGGGCCCAGCAGCCGGTGATGCCTGATGAAATGGATTGGGTCCAGACTGGGCTTCATGGCAGTAGAGGGCCCGGTTGGTGTCCAGTTGGGGAGTGATTTGGGGAAGGGTGTTGGGAAGATCATGCTGGTGTCAGCGTGTAGCAAGGATTGGGGAGGATGGTGCAGGAGGCTGTCCTGCCATGGGGGTTGGGGGGTGGGCATTGGTGAGGGGTGACTGGGAACAGGAAGAAGAACTGAAGAGCACATTGATGGGGGCTCTGGGTGGGAGGTCCCTGTGCTTGCCAACAGTGGGACCTGGGGGCCATGGGGAGACTGTCATTGTGCCATCAGATCTGAGACACTAGTGATTGAGAGCTGCGCCTCGTCATGGTCCACTAAGAATGGAAAAACGCTGTCAAACTTTGACATGCTAGCGATTGCCAAATGCAACCCAATTTCAAAGCTATTAAAATATGGAAAAGGTGGGGCCGGCTCTGGGGCCCAGTGGTTAAGTTCTCGCGCTCCGCTGTGGCGGCCCAGGGTTCAGATCCTGGGCGCGGACATGGCACCGCTCGTCAGGCCGCATTGAGGTGGCGTCCTACATCCCACAACTAGAAGGGCCTGCACCTAAGATATACGGCTGTGTACGGGCGGGTTTGGGGAGATAAAGGAGAAAAAAAAAAAAAAAGATTGGCAACAGTTGTTAGCCCAGGTGCCAATCTTTAAAATATGGAAGAGGTGTCTTAAGAGTTGATGGGATGCAGTATATATGATGAGATTTTGAGCTCGAGTTGAAGAAATAATTGTGCTCGATAATCATTGTGAGCAAAAGAGGACAGGAAAACAAGGGGAGGGAGGTGGTTTGGGACATCAGGCATGAGGTGCTTGTCACACACTGCCCCACCTGCCCGCCAGGTGGCCTCTCTCACCCAGGGTGTGCGACCTGCCCTCTCTCTGGGACGCTGCCCTCCTCCCCACCTTTACCTGCACTGCTGAGCAGTAGGTCTCTGTCCTGCCAGAGTCAAGGCTCCGACCTGATTGAGGCCCTCCATGGTTTGCTGGATCTTCCTACATGTCCCTGGCACTTTTCCAGGCCTGTGCCATTCTCCCCAGTCCACTCGTCACCTGGCCTCTCCACCCTGGCCTCTTTAGTGGCCCTGCTCAGTACTTTCCTCTGGCAGCAAACATGCTCAGGTTCCATCTGCTTAGCGACACGTGGCTGTCAGTCCTGGCCTCGTGCCTCCCTTCGCAGCTAAGCATCCTAGATGTCATGGGTGGCCTGGTCTTGGCTGACCGGCCCACTTCCTTCCCTCGCTCTGCTGAGACTATTCCTGCTGAGGCCGGTGGAGATTTTCTCATGCTGGTCCATTGGTCACGTCTTGGTCCAGCTGCCCCTGGATGTCTCCTCCCCCGTCTCCTCTTCCCTCGCCCCCTCCTGTCCGTACCTCTGTGGCTCGGTCTTCTTCCGTGGCTGCTCCCAGCAGGTACGTGTCCCCAAGCTCTGTCCTCATTCCCTTGGGGTCCTTTTGCTCAGCGTCAGTGGTATGATTTGCACCCTGTTGCCGTGCTTCATGCTCTCAGCGGTGTCGTCTTCCGTGACAGAAATACTCCCGGTGTATACTGCCCCCTTTGGTGGCTCTTCCCTTTGGGTGCCTATGAGTGGTGCTTCTCTGGCTGCTCATGTGCACTTCTGGGTGGCCATGTGGCCTTTTCCCTCAGGTATGCACCTAGGGCTGGAATGGCTGTCATGGGGCATGCATATTTATTAGACTTTTTAATGGAAATTTCTTTTGGGGTCCGAATTGGGGGTCCAGCTCCTTGGAAGAGCCCAGGAGGAGATAAGGGTGAGTGAGCTCACTGTCCCTTCTGTCTCCAGGGGAGCAGCAGTCCCCTGGCCTCTCCGGAAGCTACTGGTACATCCAGGAGAAGCCTCAGTGCTCCTAAGACTGCCAGGTGGCAGGGTCTCAGCAGGGCTGGGGGCAGGGCCAGCCCAAGGCACTGGTGGGAAAGACCGTGGAGGGAGGCTGAGTTGGAAGGAAGAGAAGCAGGACTTGGAGGTTTCTCATCTGGAAAGACCTGCTGGTGGGACACAGGCCATTGAAGTCGGGCCTGTTGGGGTGTGACCTTCCCCATCGAGAGGAAGCAGATGGTGGCTTATTTTTAAGATGTCATTTTATTTGTCCATTGCATCCTGAGGATGTGAGGGCCTGGGGTGGTGCTGTCCAGGACGCCAGAAACCTCTTTACTGAAGTGGGATGTCCGTGCAGCAGACGCCCGGTGCCAAGGACACAGTCCCAGCCCCAGGAACGGGGGTGCCTCCACCAGCTCCTGGTCTGCTCAGGACGCCCAGCCAGTGGGGGCGGTGTGGGGCAGGTCCCCAGCATGGAGACTGAGTGCTCTGGGGGGGGTCCAGGACTCAGGTCGTGGGCACGGCTCCCTGCAGGTCAGCTGCTCTGGGGCCAGCTCAGGCCGGGCCTCAGGACTGCAGAGACAAAGGGGAGCAGGTGAGGCACCCAGAGAACCCCAGAGTGGCTTGTGTGTGTGTGCAGCCAGGGCAGCGGGAGCCAGGAGGGGGCAAAGCACCTGAGTTAGGCCTGAGAAGGAGAGCAGGGGACCCCAGGCTGAAGGCACAGCACCCATAAAGGCTTGGCGGCCCCCAGAGGCTGTGACCAGAGAAGGCTAGGCAGAGGCTTCACTGGGAGGAGAGGCCCTGGGGGTGTTGGGAAGGCAGGTGCCCTGAAGAGGTGGTTGGCCGGCCTGAAGAGAACAGACTGAAGGAGAGTCGAGGGCCCTTGGGCTAGAGGAGGTGAGGGCCCGGCCGAGGCAGGCAGGGGCTGGCTCGTCCTCCTGCACTCCCTCCTGTTGTTTAATTGGAACTTCCCTGCCTCATTCCACTGCCAACAGCCCCTTGGGACGAGTGTCCCCAGGGCGCCCTCAGACCACAGAAGTCTTTCTCTCTCTGCTCTGGTGTTTGTGGTGCCCCGGGAGGAGCTCCATGGACAGTGAGGTCCCTGAGTCCAAGAAAAGAGAAGCCACTTGATGAGGGCTGGGCTTCTGTCCCACGAGGGTCCCATTGCCCTCCAGGAAGCTGGTGTCATGCTTTGTGGTGGTTCTTGCCTTTGCCCATGGGCTTGTAGTTACCTGTGCAGGTGTTTAAATGCCAAATCGTTTATATGATGGCAAGTGAGCCAGAGAGGAGGTACCCACAGTGTCCCATCCTCCTGGCCCTCTAGGAGGGACTGCAGCTGCATGCTCTGTGCGGTCGGGTCCCTGGGTTCCAGGGGTAGGGGGGAGGCTCTTGTGTTCAAAGCCACCTCCCAGGGCTCCCCCTGCCCTCAGCACCTGAGGTTGCCCTGCTCTGGGGCAAGGCCAGGCATGGGACTGGCCCTGTGCAGCCAGCTTCCTCACTCTGTGGTGTGTGTCCTCAGCCAGAGAGGGGATACTGTCCAGCTGGCCCCTTTGAGAGTGAACCTAAAAATAGACCCCCAGCTAGGGCTGTAAAATCCCCTGGGCCAAGAGAGAGACTGTAAACAGACAGCACCCCAGGGTCTTGGTCACTGGGTCAGAGCTGGCAGTTTCCTCTCGGCTCACACCCCTCCCCCAGCCCTCCCATCCTGTTGGATTCTGTGTCCAGGGCACCCACTTGCTCACACCCTGGCCTTGGGGACCAGGGCACCTTGGGCACGCTCATGGCATCCACTGGGCCTCAGGCTCTGCTGGACTCCTCACCATTGGGAAGCGTGTCCCCATTTTACAGATGGGAAACTGAGGCTCAGCAGAAACAACACGCCAGGCCCTGCAGGCAGTGAGGGCAGAGTCAGGGCTCAATGGGATGACTGCAGCCGTTTCTCACAGACCCACACTCTGCCGTGAGAGGCGTCCCATGACGCGGGAATGTCAGCAGAGCTGCTGCTGCCATCCCGACATGCCTGCCTGTGGGAAAGGGGCTCCCCAGGCAGCGGAGCTCCAGGTGCCAGCCTGCCCGGAGCTCAGGCTGCTCTGAGTCATGCGTGTTACTGGCCCCCCGGCCCCCACATGGCTGGTTCTGCCCACATCCTTAGCCCGGATTGTGGCTGGACCCCCTTTGGGGGGACCCCCTGGTAGGCAGTGAGGCCACAGCAGTTTGTCTCAGCTTAAAGGAAGAGGTGGGGGCCGGCCCCGTGGCCGAGTGGTTAGGTTCACATGCTTCACTTCAGCGGCCCAGGGTTGTGCCAGTTTGGCTCCTGGGCACGGACATGGCATCACTCGTGAGGCCACACTGAGGTGGCATCCCATGTGCCACAACTAGAAGGACCCACAACTAAAAATACACAACTATGTACCGGGGTGCTTTGGGGAGAAAAAGGAAAAATAAAATCTTTTTTTTTTTTTTAAGTTTTTGAGACTCAGTTGGCTCATTCTTTCTTTATTTTAAAGATTTTATTTATTTCCCTTTTCTCCCAAAGCCCGCCAGTACATAGTTGTATGTTCTTTGTTGTGGGTCCTTCTAGTTGTGGCATGTGGGACGCTGCCTCAGCGTGGTTTGATGAGCAGTGCCATGTCCGCGCCCAGGATTCGAACTGACGAAACACTGAGCTGCCTGCAGCAGAGCGCGTGGACTTAACCACTTGGCCATGGGGCCAGCCCCAAAATCTTTTTTTTTAAAAAAAGGAGGCGGCAGATGAGCCCCGTGCCTGTTCCCTCTCGGAAGCCTCTCTGGAGAGGGTGACGCTCCGACCATTCCTTTGTTCTGGGGCTTCCCTTTCAGAGGCCGAGGGGATCCGGCAGTGGAGTGCAAGGACCAGACACCCCCGCAATGACCAGGTGGGTCTTAGGCAGCAGAGTGACCTCTAGTTGGGGCCAGTTGGGGGGCCCACTCTGCCCCCTAGCCCCTGCTAATGTGGCGGGTTCCCCCCAGTTCCCCTGTCTCCAGAGTCGTCTACAACGGCAAGAGGAACAGTAGCCCCCGCTCTCCCCCCAACAGCAGCGAGATCTTCACCCCAGCCCACGAGGAGAATGTGCGCTTCATTTACGAAGGTACGTGGGGCACCCCCAGCCAGGGCTGGGGCTCCAGGGAACTCCCCAGAGTCCCTCTCCTGCCCCTCCAGGCTGCCGGCTCCACCTTCACTCTCCCCCAGCCTTCAGGGGCCAGGCAGGTGGGGTCACGGGGCCTGTCTGGTGAGGAGACCTGGTCCTGGTAATGTGAGCAGTCAGCGCTGTGGTGTTCCCAGCTGGCAGCACCCCACAGGCAACATTTCGAGCCATTCGAGTTTGCTTGAGGAGAAGGGGCCTGCCCTGGAAGACAGACAGACAAGCAGTATACCTTGGAGGGAACCCAGGGCTGTCCCAGAAGTGGTGTGTCTGGGATGTGTGAGCATGTGTGCATGCATGTGTCCTCGACGTGTGTGTCGGGGGGGCGGCCCTCAGAAGAGCCAGCTCTGTACCTCAGTGGGTCACCCGTGCCTCTGTGACCACAATCCCTGTCATAGAACAGACAAGGGGGAGGTCTGCTAGAGTAGTCGGGCGGGGGAGCCAGGAGGGGAGTGGTCCAGGCAGGGCTGCCCAAGGGAGTGGGGTTGTGCTGGGGGCCAGTTCAGGTCAAGCGTGAGAGATTGGCCGGCTGAGGGAAGGGCTGCAAGTAGGCTCCGAGAGGAGAGAAGGACTCAGGGCTGGCTCGGACACTGGCTGGGACTCTGCTCGATGCCGACTGCCCAGCCCGGCTGGGCCTCTGACGCGCCCCCGCCTCCCACAGCCTGGCAGGGCGTGGAGCGAGACCTGCGGAGCCAGATGTCAGGCAGTGAGCGGGGCCTGGTGGAGGAGTACGTGGAGAAGGTCCCCAACCCCAGCCTGAAGAGTGAGTTGGGGGCTGATCTGGGAGGAAGGAGCCCGGCCAGGGGCTGGGGTGGCAGGGAGGCCTGCCTGTTGCCTGCTTCTGAGACAGCCAGGCAGGTGGGCTGGGTCCCAGGGCTTCCAGAGGGGGTGCAGGATGAGGGGCCCTGACCCTGCGTCTTCACTTGTGCCTACCACTGACTGCTCTGATCCTGACAGCCTTCAAGCCCATCGACCTGAGTGACCTGAAGCGCCGGAACACGCAGGACACCAAGAAGTCCTAAAGCGTGCCGTGCCCCTCCCCTGGCCTCTGGGAGATTGGGGTGCAGCTTGATGTTGGTCTCCTCCTCTCCTGTGGGCCCAGCTCCTGGGAGGGGGAGGGGGCGGTGCTCCCGGTGGGCCACAAACCCCAGGACCAGGATGGGCATGATTGATGGCCGAGGCCTGCCCCTTCTCCTCGAGCCCCCTCCTTTCCTCTCGAGGGATCTCAAGCTGCCCCCTATCATTGGGAGGGTCTGGGCCCTGCCAGGCCTTGCCTGCCCCCAGGCCTAGCTGCATCTTTGGAGCTGCCTGGCCCTGCCTGCCCCCCAGGGCCTTAACCCTGACTCTCCTCCCTTTCCCATCACCTTCCACTGCCTCCGTCCCCCTACTCCTGGCCACTTCCAGGGTCAGGACGGAGACAAGGGGGCCTCCCTTGTCTCCTGGGCTGGTGGGACTGGGCCGAGTTTGTCGTGAGATGGCCAGGAGGCAGGACAAAGGTGGCCCCACCTGTAGCCAGTGTGGGTCCCCCACCGACTCCTGCTGCTTCTGTGGCTTGGACATGTTGGGGAGCATCTAACCCCATACCCCCCACTGTCCAGCCTGGCCCTTTTCTTCCCTGCATCAACTTCAGGATGCCACCAGCTCTCAGGGCCTGGGACACTGCTGGGCGCCCCCTCAAAGGGGTCCTGGACAACCAGGCACGGCCCCCTGGTGTCTGCAGCCCTGTGGCTACAGTAGCCCCTTAGGCAGGGACATGGAGCTAACCCTGAGCTGGTGAGACTGCCCGGTGGGCCCTGGCTCTGTGCAGTGTGCTGGGAGGGTCACCAGGGCCCCTTTTTCTTCCTGTGCCCTTCAAAAGCCAAGTGTCTGCGATGGAGTCTGAGAACCAGTGAATAAAGGCAGGTGGCACTGGATCAGCCTCTTGGTGGTCTGTCATGCCCTTGTCCTGGCAGCCCACACAGGGCTGGAAACCCGAGATCACGGTCAACGCCCCTGAGCCCAGAAATTTCATCTGATTCCTGGGTTCCATCCACTAGGGGGGCTCAGGCCTCCTGGGCGGTCGTGGGAGGTGGAGGTGGGGCCTCCTGGAGGAGAGAGGCTGGGGTGTGGATCTTTTGGGCTCCCCAGGGAGGCCATTCCCTTGGATGTGAGGGCCCTGGAGGCAGTGGCATCCCTCTGCAGCCCTGGACCCACCCTCTGGATCCTTGGGGAATGGTGGCTCCGCTGTTGAGGTGGAGGAGTGGCTGCTGGGTCCCAAGAGACCCGACTGCACTTGACCTTCAAACCTGGAAAGCCCAGGCGGGCCAGACCCAGACAAGCCAAAGCGGAATTTATTTCGGGAACGCCCTTTCCTGGAAGAGTATTCTGAGGCTCTCGAGTGGCCCCACAGGCGGTTCCGGGAGGCGTCGTCTCCTGGGGCGGCGGGGGAGGCTCCCTGGGACGGGTGCAGGAAGGACGGTTCATGTAATAAACAGCCGCCGCGGCTCGCCGCCAGTGGGCGCTGGCTAGTGCCAGCCCCTGAGCCGAGTCCCTGTAAACCACGTGGCCTCATTTGCTTGCTCCCAGGGGACCCATGGGGCATTCGGCCCAGTGTTTGAGTGCCTGCTGGGCTGGGTCACCTGCGCTGCCCCCCACTGTCGGAGGCTGGGGAGGCGGTGTGGGCCAGGGGTAGGCAGTGCTGGGCTGGGGTGCAGGGAGCTGTAGCCAGAGGCTGAGTGGGCACACTGGCACACACGTCACACCCTCCACCCACTATGTCTTGGACCACCAAGGACAAGGCAGACATGGTGGAAACAAGGCCCTGTCCCCCTGTGGGGATTCTGTGAAGCAAGGCCCCCTGCCGGAGAGGTGGGGAGGTGGGCGTGAACCCAGGGCAACCCACTGCTGCACTGGTGACTTTGAGCAAGTTACTGAGTCTCCGGGCCTGCTGCCTCAGGTGGAAATTGGTACCTGCCTCCTGGGCGGCTGCCCAGTGCTGGTGCCTGCTGCCATCATTAGTTACCTCGTGCACGGCCTGGAGTGGACACTTGACCTGGGCACAGCAAGCACAACCCACAAGACCTCACGGGGAGTTGGACGTCTGCTTCTGGTGGCTGCAGTCTTGGCCTTGCTGCAAGCCCTGGGGCACCTCACACTCACACTGCTGCCCCGCCTCAGTTTCCCCATCTGTAAAGTGAGGGTGTGTGCTGCGGTGGTCCAAAGTCCTCTTCTTGAAGGAGTGCTGAGGCCCCCAGGCAGCACACTGGGGAATGTCTAAGGAATATCTTGCTGCATTCCTTAAAAATCGACTTGATTTTGACTCCAAGCCCCCCCTGGGCCATTCCCCCCTTCTGTGGGGCTGGAAGGTAGGAGTGGGGACCCTGACCTCAGCTTCATTTTGGCCACACTGGGCCCCAGAATCTGGGCCTCCCCTCCTCACAGCCACACTCCCTGGTCTCACCACTAGTGGTGGGACCCTTGGCCTGATACCTAGTCCCCCGACCTGTGCATAGGTGGGTCCATGAGACACTCCTCAAGGCCCCTTCATTCCTGCTGTCCCTGCCAATTTAACTTTTCTGTGAGGTGGAGGCCCTTGGCCTGGGGTCTTTCCAGGAACACCTTGGAGGTGGGAATGTGGTTAACAGGCCACATGCCAGGAGGGAAGACTGATGGGGCTCTGGGGGCAGGGGAGGAGGAGGGAGGAGAGAGTAAGGGGGAGAGTTGGGTCAAATCTGTGGACGCGCCCCAGCTGGGCCCGGAGCCCCAACTTCACAGCAGACCCGCACTCTCGTGCCGCTCCTTCCCTAACACGGGGTCCAGATGTCCTGTCTGTGGGTTCCACCTAATGGGTGAGGACTGGTGTGGTCACAAAGGGGGTCTTGGTGTCGGGAGAGAGGGGGCAGACGGGCGGCTCAGGGATGCCAGCTGGTGGAGAGGGCTGGGCACGGGTGCAGGGTGGGTGGTGGTCCTCCTGGCTGCTCTGCTGGACTCATGGAGGGGCGCTGCCACCTCCTCATCCGAGGTGCTAGGGACACTCACCAGAGCAGTGGGGCTGCCCAGCTGTGAGTGGCTGGAGACCCCTCTCTCTCCTTTGTACAGTGCGGGCAGCTGGGGAGATGCGGCGGGCATCCTGGAAGAAAGGGTGTGCTCACTTCACCACAGCCTGCTCTAGGTGCATGCCTGTCACCATTTGCTTTCATTCAACGTCAACAACTCTGTGGGGCAAGTTTTATCACCCCAATTTTACAGATGAGGAAGTGGTGACTTCCTGTAAGAGACTAGCTTATTCTGATTTTTTTTGAAAGATTTTTTAATTTTTTTCCTTTTTCCCCCCAAAGCCCCCCCAGTACATAGTTGTATATTCTTCTTTGTGGGTCCTTCTAGTTGTGGCATGTGGGACGCTGCCTCAGCGTGGTTTGATGAGCAGTGCCATGTCCGTGCCCAGGATTCGAACCAACGAAACACTGGGCCGCTTGCAGCGGAGCGCACGAACTTAACCACTCGGCCATGGGGCCAGCCCCTTATTCTGACTTTTTAAGCTTTTATTTTGATCAGAATTTTAACTTAGTCAATTTTTATTGAGTATGTACTCTGAGCATGTTCGTGTTTACTGAGTATGAACAATAATTCCCTAATACCATCAAGTACCCGGTCTGTATTCCCCTAACGTCCTAAATAACATTCTAGGTGGGTTATGGACTCAGGACAGGAAGGCAGAGTGCATCTGGGGCAGCTGCTAGACAGGTCCCTAAGTCCTTTTTAATCACAGGCCCATCCCCTTCCTTCCATTTATGTATTGAAGGCCCCTGGGCACTTGATGATGGAGCTTCCCATATTCTGAACTTGGCTGGTCACATCCTTGTAGTGTTAACAGGCTTCTCTGTGTTCTGCATTTCTGTGAACTGAGGCGAGAGATGGAGGTTTCATGGGATTCATAGGAGAAGCCTGGATATACAAGGATTGCTCTGGCTACTGTGTTGAGAATGGGCTGCTGGGTTCAGGGTAGAAGCAGGACCTGTCAGGAGGGCTGCCTCAGTGAGCCGTGGAAGGAGGAAGCTGGGTCGGGGGCAGTAAGGAGCTTGAGGTGGACGTGTGGAATTTGAGGTGCCAGGTAGGGAGCTCAGTCTAAAGCATGGATTTGGGAGGGCCACGGGGCTGCAGATACAGACTGGAAGTCATCTGAATATTGATGTTTAAAGATGGATAAAGAAGGGAGGAGGGTGGGACCTGATCCCTGGGCACTGCAGTCAGGGAGAGGAGGAGGAAGCAGGAAAAGGACTGAGCAGTGGAAAGCAAGGTCAGAGAAAGCAGGCGGGGGAGGATCTGGGGCTGAGGGCTGCCCAAGTGTCCTGCAAGAGGCTGGAGCGGCTTAGAGAGTGGCCCTGCAGCCCTTAGCCTTCTCCCACCCCTCACCCAGAGGCAACCACTTTCAGCTCTTAAGTCGATTCTTTGGTTTGTGTTTCTATTTCTAAGTAGCATGCAGGAACTGTTATTTCTTGATCTTCCCATTTTGTTTTCTCCCCCACCCCCACTATGCGCATGCACACTTCCCATCCACCACCCTCCCTGGACAGTTCTTTTTTTCTCTCATGACTTTGGTTACATCAGTGTAGACTATTTACATTATGATGTCTACGTTTGTATTCAGAGCTGAGCCCTGTGGTAAATTGTGACTGTTTTTTCTTTTCTGCCCAACTTCTTGTTTTCCTTGGAGTTATTGATTGCCTTCTTTTTTCATTTGCTTAGTTTTCTATGTACTAACACGAATTAAGTCCAGGTCATCTAAATCTCCTCCCAGTGTGCTCAGTCACTTTGATCCCCTTGAGAGTGTCTCTCCTGGAGCCTTCTGCCCTGCTTGAGGCACCCTCCCCTCAGGGACCCACCCTGTGTGGCACACAGCTGCCATCCTGGGGCTGCCCCTTGGCTCTCCTAGGGTTGATTCCTGTTTATCGTAGTCCATGTTTTCCTCTTTCTTGGTCTCCAACCTCATTTTAGTAGCGTGTACACACACACACACACACACACACACAAGCTGGGCCATACCCACACTGGGGGTCCATACTGGGGGATGGCCTGAGGGGAGGGACTGGGGTGGAGGTGGGAAGGGAAGTAGAGATGGGGGAGGGGCAGAGGGCCTGGAGTGTTCATCTTTATGGATGGGAAGTGATGCTTTGTGGGTTCTGGGCCCTGAGTTAGAAAGTGGGTTCTCCCACCCATCCCCCCTCCACCCCACCTGCAGAGTTGCCTGGTCAGAACCAATGTTTATCGGCTAGGCGAGTCCAGCCCCTGCCAGGCCTCTGCCTCCGCCCCTGACTCCACCAGCTTGCTCTAGTTCCCTTGGGGACAGGGACAGAGGTGAAGGAGTACAAGGGCAGAGGGGGGTCAGTGTGGGGAGGGCTGTCAGGAGGCCCCTAGGTGAGTGGCACACCCCCGGGGCAGTCACCAACCCTGAGCTCAGCCGGCGTGAAGGAGAACTTGTGTCCTGCCTGTGCTTGCTTGTGCCCACACAAGCTCTGGGCGTGAGGGCTGGCAGGGTGCCCCTGTGGCAGCGGCTCAGAGGAGAGTCTGGGCCTGGGGCCTGTGGGGTCTGGGACAAGATGTGGCCTGAAGTCTCAAGGTCAGGGGCCTCAGGCCTCCAGCTGCAGGGTGGCCCTGCCCACAGGTCCTGCAGAGGTGCAGCTGGCTGCACTGTGCCCCACCCTGCAGCCCCCGCCAACACAGTAACACTGGCAACCCACCTGGGCCACAGGAGAGCCCAATTTCCCCTGATGGCTTCCCGCCCCTCCCTGAGGACCCCTCGTCACTTCCCTCTCTGCTGCATCCAGGTCTGCAATGGGCGTGGGTGGCACGGGGTGAAGGCCCCTGAGGAGGGCCCCAGTGCCTGGCGGGTGAGTAATTCTATTTACCTTTCCTGAGAGGCCTCCTGTCCTCTCATTTGCTCCAATTAGCCCGGCTCTGCCTGAGCAGCTCCAGCCCACGTGGCCGGGCGGGGGACATGGCCACCTCCCCCAGGGCCCAGCACTTGCCTCCCACCAGCTCCTGGGAGCAGGGACACCTGGCTGACCAGCCGGGCTGGCTTGTGCTTTCTCCTCCTGTGGCCCCTTCCTCCTTTGACAGCGCCCCTCTCCCCATACACACCCCACCAGGCATCACGGGACTGGCCGCAGGGGGTGCTCTAGAGGGGGGCCCACAGTCTCCACATGGACTTCTGCTCCTGCACCTGCCTCCACTCTCTACACCAGACACACTGTCCCCAGATGGCAACTTGGACCTCAGGGTGCACCCCAGACAATCAGGACCCCTACTCCAGCATACCGCCTGGCTCTTCCGATGTCCCATGCTTATCTCTTTCCTGGCGAGCATAAGCCTTCACTGCCTGCCAAGCAGGGTGCCCACCCACCAAGCCAGGGACGATGTCCTCACTGCACACAGCTGCCTTTCCGTGCACACCTGGCGCAGCAAGGACTGGAGTGGCCTGGGCCTCTATGCTGAGTGGCCACAGCAGGGCCATGCAGAGGTCCTGGGAAACTGCTGCTGCCTTCACTTGGCCCATTTCAAGTTTGGGGGTCGACTTCCCTCCGCTTCAGTCTGCTGCATGGCCTGCGAACCGCTGGGGTGGCTAGAGCCAGGATGAAGGAGAGACCAGCAGAGGACAGCCGGTGCTGGATTGTCCGGCAATGCCCTTGCTGGGCCTGAGTCCAGCCCTGGCTGCGGTTCCAGGGGGAGCCAGGGGTGTCTGTGTGGGGTTGGTAGTAGGAGTGTGATGCTGGTGGTCTCCCTCGGCCATCACCCCTGTTCACATTCCTCTGCTGGCAAATGGTGAGATTCTGGGTGCTGAGGGCCAAAGCTAATGGGGGACCATTCACTCTGGCCCAGGTTGGGAGTGAGCCCCTCCTGAACCAGGATGGGAGGATGGCTCTGGTGGAGACAGGGAGGGGCACCGCCAGCCACCACTCACACATTGGGGACCATCAGGGGTTCCAGCTCCAATTCATCTGTAAAAGGGGGCCTCCCAGAGGCAGCACACCAGCACGAGGCCCCAGCCACACTGCTCTTTTTCTACATGGAGGCCCTGGGCCCAGCCTGCCCCTCTCCTGCAGCCCAGCTCTCCAGGGTGTGCACAGCGGCCACTACTTGAGCTCTTTATTGTTGGAGGACACACATTTCCTTGAATACTGGACACACCAACACACACGGGGACACGCAGGCATGCATTTGAAGAACAGCTTATACCCCTACAACACTCTGTCCCCGACCCCGGCACAGTGCAGGTGTGGGGAGAGGAGGCCCTGCCCCTCAGACCACCACCCTGGGGGACACGGGGACGATGGGGCTGCTGTCTGGCTCCCACCCCTGCCGCCTCCGTCGGGCATCCGGTTCTGGATTTTCTGGCGATGCCCTCTCTCAGCACCTGAGTCCAGCCCCAGCTGGGGTTCCAGGGGACGTCAGAAGGGGCGCTCAGCCAACCCAGGGAGGCCGCCAGCCAAGTGGGTCTCTGCTGAGGGGTCCTGGCTGGCCCCATTGCTGCCGCCACCCCTGGAGAGCAGTAGCTTCTCGCGGGGGGTGCTGCCGGCGGGCCGGGCTGCGGTCGTGTGGCTCCCCATGTGGCACTCCTCCTGCAGGGCCTTACCCACGCGCCAGCGATGCCAGCAACGCAGCAGCTCCGACTGCACCTGGGGTGGTGGGCAGGTTGGGCCAGTCGTAGGGCCCGCCTCTCCCACCTCCCAGGATCCCCAGTCTCCTGGCCTTGGAGGGCTGCATGGTGCCCTGGGCACAGACCAAGATGGGCTCCGTTACCGCAGAATGCTGGGGTCTGTGGCCTTCTGAGGAGGGACCCCCTTCACTGTGCACTCCCTGAGGACCGGGCTGAGGCTGACCCATCTAGAGAGGCCTGACACCCAGTGCAGTGGCAAGCGCACTCAGTAAGTGCAGGTGGATGTGAAGGGCTGTACCCCTGTGCAGGGGTGGGGCCAGGCGCCCACGCTCCACTCTGGTCCCGACCCCAGGGCTGGTCCCAGAGCCCCCACCTACCTCCTTGTTGAGGAAACAGTAGAGAACAGCCACCAGCAGGCCCTGGAGAGAGGGGGTGGTCAGGGCCACATGGAGGCCAGGGGGTGGGAGGTTATGGGGGGGGTGGAGGGGGCAGGCACCTGGAAGGAGCTGAGAAAGAGGTCGAAGAAGAGCTTGGCGGAGCGCAGGGTGCCCTGAGCATGCTCGTCAGTCACAAAGGCGAACACTACCTCGTGGACCCCCAGCAGGGGGATGAGGGTCAGCGTGGACTTGGCTAGCCTGTGGGGGCGGAGCCTGATCCACTAGGGCCTCACCCTGCCCCCCAGGGCCCTGGTGTCCCCATCCCCACCCCAACCCCCCTCGAGCCCCCAAGGGGTCTCAGGGTCCGTGAGCTGCCTGACCTCCACTGCCCGCACCCACCGGAATTTGTAGTCAGTGTAACGCATCTGGTGGGCTCGCAGCTTGGCCAGGAGGATGTGAATGATGCGGATAAAGATGAAGAAGTTGATCTGTGTGTGGAGGGCACAGCTCAGGGCAGCCCTCGGGCCCCCACTTTCCCTCTTGTAGGGGGGCCTGGCACCCAGATGAGGCCTGGCTCATGTGGCCCCAGGGCTGGTGGATGCCCAGCCAAGGATGGGCACCTGGCCCGAGGCCCAGGGCGCCAGCCAGTGTCCTGGCTGAGTGCCGTGGCCTCCCTCCTTGTCCACCCAGGCAGGATGCCGTCTGTCTCCTTGGGCTTCTGCAGGCGGACAAGGAAGGAGGGGGCTGGGGGGCCAACCCCACCAGCCTCCGAATCCCTCCCTGTGGGAGCAGCAGGTGCCTCATTTCCTCACCAGGATGGCCAGGAAGACAGGGAAGCGCAGGATCCACCAGAAGCCCATGTTGTCATTGCTAGTCCAGCACCTGCAGGATGGGGCTGGCTCATGTCCTGGCAGCCTCCCAGCCCCCCACGCCCTAGATTCTGTGGGGATCTAATTAGTGTCTCGGGAAAGGAAGGGAAATGGTCATGAATGACTCCCATCCCCAGGCACCAGGCTGGCTCATCCCCCCACTGCCTCTGGTCAGAGACCCCGGTACTGCCCCCATGCACTGAGCCATACAGCCATTCCCCACAAGCCCAGCCTAGCACCATGCCTCCAGGAGAGGTAAGGCCCTGGCCACCCTGGGCCTGTCTTCTGGTCAGCTCATACTCACTGGATATTCTCGAATAGACACTTGACCACTGCCCAGGGGATGACGAATAGCATGGGGGCACCTGCGGGTGGGGGCGGAGCAGCTGTGGTCCCATGGCCCAGGCCAACCTGCCCCCACCACACCAGCACACTCACCCCAGCCAATGCTCAGGTAGAGGGTGAAGAAGCTCCTCTCCGGGAAAGTGGCAAGGCCCAGCAGGCTGTGCAGGTACACACCCTCCACCAGCAGCCAGCAGTAGTTGGCTACGATGCCATACTGCATGAACACTGCGGCTACCCGGCAGCCGGCCACTGCCTGGCCACAGGGGCAGCGTGAGCTCAAGTCACAGTCACCTGCCACCTCGGGGCGGGGAGGCCAGGAAGCCAGGTCTGGGCGCTCACCTCGTCACTCAGCCAGATGCTTACGCTGAGGTCGTCGCCGATCTTCTGGCTGTAGCGCGTCTCGAGCAGCGTGTCGATGACCAGCACAGAGCTGGCCTTGAGCACGAAGGACACAAACAGGTTCATGTGGATGTAATTTCGGGTGCAGTGCAGCTTGCTGCGGGGACAGCGGGTCAGGACTTGCCCGCTGCCCTGCCCACCGAGGGCCCCCGTGCGCTGGGTGAGTGGGCATACCTAAGGCCCAGCAGGATGGCCAGGGCCAGGAGCAGGGCCCCGAGGGAGAGGGAGTACCCCACAGTGTACATCACCTGGAAGCTGTTGTACATCTTGGCCACCTCCTTCTGCAAATTGCAGTGCCCGGTCAGGGCTGGGCGGGGCCGCCTCACCCATCCCCACCCACCCAGCCCCTGCAGCGCCCCCGTGGGCTGACCTGGACCTCGATCTCCTCGTCGTCCATCTGGCACTGGGAGGCATTTCGCCACGGTTGCCCCCGGGGCCCACGCACCCACTGCCCGTCCGGCCCACACCTCTTGAAGACGAGGCGGTGCTGCACTGGGGGGCAGGCTCTGGTCAGCACCCCACTCTGGCCGGGCCCCTCGGCCACCCCCTAGTCCCCTCTGTGGTTACCTTTGTGGTGCCAGGGCAGGTACCAGGGGCAGGAGATGTTGGCTGTGGTATTGGGAGGGGTGTCTGGCCAGCAGGAATACTTGTCGAAGGTCCTGTTACAGACCAGCTCTGCAGAGGCAGGAGCGGGGTGGGGGCTCCCTCAGCAGGGCCTGGCCCTCGCGGCCCCCTCTCGCCTCCTCTCAGAAGCCCCAGCAGCATCCTCTGCTCCTCAGCATGCAGCCTCCCCCCACAGGTCTCCCTGATCATTCCACCTCCCCTGGACCGCCCACCCCCCCACCCAGTCCAGCCTGGTCCTGAGCTCCAGCTCTGCCCAGCTACCTCCCTTGGGACACCTCGCATCTCCATTGTGCCCCAAACCCGCCTGGGGCCTCCCCTCTTCCCAGTGGCCTTCTTGCAGCACTTCCTTCTTTGGGAGCTGAACCCCAATTCAGTTGGCATCCTTCCTGGGCCCAGCACTAACTCTGTGGCTCACACCCCCTGCTCCCCTCTGCCCAGCAAAGGTTCCCTCCCTGACCTGGACAGTAGCTCAGCCTCCCAGGCAGCTCCTCCTGCCCCAATCTCTCGCTGTACCCCGAGTGACCTTCAGAACTTGTTCAGTTCGCTGTACCCTGTCCCTGCCTGACCCTCCGCATGATGGCCCGTCTCCCTCACCCTTCTCAGGCCTTGTGTGGTCTGCCCGTCCCTCTCAGGCCACCTCTCCCCACACAGTCTGCTCACTGGGCCTTGAGCTCCATTGGGGCAAAGACAGTATCCCCAGGCCCAGCAGCAGGGGAGGGTGGCGAAGCATGCCATTTCTGGGCCAATTCTATCGTTTTTTAAATTTCTCACTTGTGTGGCCTCGGGCAAGTCATTGGCCTCTCCATGACTCCTCACCTGTAAGGGGGGGAGGGGGTGGGGGGGCAATGCCTTCCCCTGATGAGAGCTTAGTCAACACTGCACGGCTGAGCGCTGGGCATGGGCAGGAGGCGGGGGTGGGGGCTCACCGGTGGGAGGTGGCAGCAGGCTCAGGTTGTGGAGACACTGGTCACCGTAGAGCTTCCACTTCTCAAACAGGAAGTCCATCACCTGAGCGGACGGGGCCTGGGGCTGGGGGACAGATGGGCCAACAGATAGACAGAGCCATGTCAGCATGAGGGGCAGGCGGGCGGTTGGAGCCCCCAGGGGCTGGGAGGGGGGACTGGCGGCATGCTCACCTGGCAGGCCAGCAGCAGCAGCAGCAGGAGGAGGTGGGGGCGGCGTGGCCAGGTAGGGGGCATGCCTCTGGGCTGCTGCCCCCCACATCTGGCTGGGGCTGCACAGCTGGGGCAAAGGGGTCTTCTTGGGCGCGCAGGCTCCTCTGGGGGCTGCCGAGTATCAGAGCAGCAGGGTCTGCAGAGGGACCCCCAGGAGTGAGGAGACCCAACGGGGCTCTGCTGCGAACAGCAAGGTGTCCTGCTCCCCACTACTACCCCTCTGAGCCTCTGAGTCCTACTGATGAAGCGGGAGCTGGGACAAGAGTAGTAGCTCATTGCCAATGATGGGTTGGGGTCCGGCCCAGGGTCCTGGGGGCTGTGCCGTCCTCCCTGGGTGGAGCTGAGTTTCCCACAGCTTGTGGCTGTCTGTCTGGCAGCTCTGACAGCCCCAGAACCCCTCCTCTCTGTGCTGGTGGCAGTCACTGTCTTGCCTGGTTGCAAAGCTGTTGCAGAGGAGAGCAGCTTCCCTAACCGCCCACTTATTCTTGGTCCCCAGGAAGCCAGCTTGCTAGGCAAGGGCGAGGTGCCAGGGCCATCCATCACTCGGCTCCCAGTGCTATGGTTATCGAGGTGGCCCCAGGCCAGCTCCCAGCCTTGCCAGGGGCCAGGAGTGTCAGGCACATGCTCAGGGTGGTCCTTGTCATACACATGCCCCTTTTCCCAGGACTGGGGTATCCAGGTGTCCCCGTGGGTCCCACCCAAGGCTCAGCCTGGGCTCCCTGGGTCCTGTTGGTCCAGCACGCAGGAGGCTGGCAGGACATTCCTTTGAGATTAGCACTGCAGGCAGCTGGGGCCCAGACTCGGGACCCCTGCCCTCGTGGTGCCTGCAGGGGGGCTGAGGTGCCTGGTCGTGGGCCGGAGCCCATGTCTGAGCCAGAGTTCTGGGGCAGCAGTGGGCCGGTAAATCCTCCTTTCATTGCTTCCAGAGCCCATCTGAATTCCATGGGGGCACCAGGGTGGGGCTTCCCTCGTGGCCTGGGTTTGGGGCCCCCAGGAGTGACACATGCCCCCCAGGGCTGTGGATGGGCCTTTCTCTGGACATCCTGGTGCATAGTGAACAAGTGATGGACAGACTGATGGACAGATGGACGACTGGCTGGCTGGAAGGCAGTGCCGGGGAGAAGCCAGGAAGAAAGGGAGGTGGGGGAGGTGCAGGCTGTGGCTGAAGGCAGAGGGTTTCAGGACACCCTGGATTTCAGCTTCCTCCCATCAGAGTCCAGTACGGCCCTCGTGAGGCGAGCTCAACCCGGGGCTCCCCTGTGATTCACTCATCTCCCCTAAGTGGACCCTGAGGTGCCATCATGCAGGGCGAGAGCTGAGTGACCCAAGGTGGGTGCCTGGATCACACCTGCGGGGGCTCCTGACCCTGGTTCTTGGGCCGTGGGCACAGGCTGGGCCTGGTGGGGCAAGACTAGCAGTCTCTGGTCCCCTGTCTCTGACCAGGTGAGGTGTCCCCGGGCCTAGGGCTGTGGGTGGAGGAGCCCAGCATGGAGGCTCTTGGCAGAGAAGATGGCAGACAGGTGAAGGACGAGGGGCAGTGCGGTGTCCCTAGCCCGGGGGTCACACAAGGAGACTTAGCTGCTCATTATGATCAGACAGCCCCGTCTGCTGCCCTGCCCCTTGCCTGCCCAGGCCACTGAGCTGGCAGGTAAAGAGAGTCCAGGAGCAGGCCTCTCACCCACTGTGCTCGGTTGCTGGTGAGGGGCGGGGAGGGAGGTGAGTGGGCAGGCTCAGGGGTCCATGGCGGCCTGACAGGGCAAGCCTGGCTCTGCCTCGACTTCCCCCTCGGAAGAGTGGGAGCTCACCTTGTTGGCCTCCTAAGGCTGTCAGGAGAACCCAGTGAACCGATGTTTGGGGAAGGGATGGGTGTGGCCACACCCAAGGCTGCTTATGCCAGGGCAGCTGGCCTCCCAGCTAGGGGTCAGCTAATCTGGGGACCCCAGAGAGAAGCAGAGCCCAGGGTTAGAGGGGAGAGACAATGGGCTGCCCTGGGGCCCCTCCTTCATTGCCCCTCCCAGACCTTTCTCCACAGCAACCAGGGCAGAGGAGTGGGGGGACTCTCCATGTCCCCCACCCCAACCCTGGTCTGGTGGGTGGGGCTGGGAATCCTTGAAGATTCCCCCCCACAGCTCAGCACCCACAGCTCACAGGCTGTGTGCCCCAGCTCAAGGCACCCCTATCCCCTCAGCATCCCCATTGACACAAGAGGCTGACAGCGATCCCCCCCCCCCCCCCCCGCTCCCCTCCCCCCCCCTTAGGCATCTGATAGAAACATGAGAAGGCGTAGAAGTGGGCAAGCCCTCCCTCCCTTTAGAGGGAGTGTGGGAAGGAGAATTCTAGACACCTCTGAAGAGGGGTTGGGTTGAGGTTCTGGGGGCCCCCCCAGGAGATGGTGACATTGTGGAGCCCAGTTCTTGTCCTAGGATCAAGGACAAATCATTTAACTTTTCAGAGCCTCAGTTTCCCTGCTTGTAAAGCGGGATCCCTGCCTCCTCATCCCCAAGGAGGAAACGCGCTCGGCCGGCCACCTTCAGGGTAGGATGGATTACCGTGTCCAGGGTCCCTCCCAGAGGCAGCCTCTCAGCCCTGGGCATAAATATTTGTTGAATGAACAAGAGGACTGAACCCCCCCCCCCCCCCCCGGGATGATGAGCAGCCAGATGCCGGGGCGCCGCTCTGGGGCTCCCGTTAGCCACAGCACCGGGACTCACCATTGTCCACTTTATTACTGTCTGGCAAGGGAGCCAGTGGGGGTGGGAAGGACCCTCCAGGGACCTGACCTCCTCCCTTCACAGACCAGGTAACCTGGCTCCCTCTCAGGCCCTGGCCTGCACCCCTACAAATGTCAGCCCAGGACTAGAGATGCGGGCAGCGGCTCAAGTGGACAGGGGCAAGGGCTCTCGGAGGGCTGCTGTCCCCCACTGCCTGCCAGCTCACCGCCTCTCCCCTTTTTCCCAGCCCTCCACCCCTCCCCCATGGATTTACCCAACTTGCCCGCCTACTGGCTAAGCTGGCTCACTGGCACATGCCTGGCAGAAGGCACCACTCCTGATGGCTTGGCCTATGTCCCACCAGTTACCACTGAGGATGGCCTAGGGACTCGCAGACCTGGAGCTGGGGTTCCAGCCCTGGGATGGGTGGATGGCCCTTCTGCAGGGCTGTGGTCACCCTGAGTTTGCCCCAGGGTCCTAATGGGTGGGGTTGAGGCCTCCCAGCCTCTGAGAGGTATGAGGTGGGGGGGTTGTTTTTGTGAAACCAGATCAGGTAGCGGAGGGTCATGGCCCCAGGTCAGGATCAGGGGTCACAGGCTGTTGACAAAGCCTGATTCCTGCGTCTTCCCCAACCTCCTGGGGGCGGAGCGGGCCTGGATTCAGGCCAGGGTGCAACTCCCCCATTAGCCCTCATCCCCTAGCACAGGACAGAAAAACAGCCTGGGCCGGTCTTCCGAGGATGCGGGCGCCTGGAGTCATTCAGTTCCGGGTGGGGGCAGAAACCCCGGGGCTGAGAAGTGCGAGTGGGGGCCGCTGGGGAGTCGGGAGCAGCGCAGGACAGTGACCCCCCCTCGCCGCGGGTCAAAGTGACAAGTGTGGACCCGCGGAAGAGCGGCCCTGCCGGGTGCTGACGCCCCTCGTCCCCTCCCAGGGGAACCCGGGCAGCTGGGATAGTGCTGGGGAGCTGGGGGCGTCCTGGGGAGCAGGAGTCCGCCCGAGGGGGGAAGCAGGGCTGCCGAGGCCTTCTGCGCCTCTGGGGGTGTCTCCGCGGAGTGCGTGTGTGCCCATGGGGGGAGGGGCAGCCGGGGGATGGGGGGTGGGTGCCGGAGGGAGGAGTCGGGAGCGGAGTGGGCAGCAGGACAGAGCGCCTGGCGGCCAGGACCCCCTCCCCGCCCCGGGGCCGCGCTCCTCAGGGAGGAGAGAACCGGGGAAGCGCTGAGACCCCCAGCCCGCCCGACGGGGCGGGACCCGGTTGACTGTCCGAGCTGGAAGGGCGCATCCCGGGGGTTGGGAACGGAAATGTCCGACGGGGGTGAGGACGGCAACACCCCCAGAGACCGTCCAGCCCACGACAGGGGTCCCCGCCGGCCAGTGCTGCGCTCCCCCATTCTGCGGGCCTCTGGGCGCGCCAGCCGGGCTGCGTCTGCCCAGGCGCTCCCGGAGCGTCCCTTCGGGGTCGGGCCCAGGGGCTCACCCGGCGCTCCGACTCCGGCTCCACGCTCCCCGCCGTTCTCTGCGCGCTCGGGTCGGGGTCGGCGACCGCTCGTCTCCGCGGCGCTGCCGGATCGGGCTCGGCGCCGGCTCCGCGTCCTCGCCCCGCGCCAGCCGCGCGCAAACTTTCCGGCGGCGACGCTGGGCGGCGGTGGCCGCGGCGGGGGAGGCGGAGGGGCGGGGGCAGGAGCGGCCCCGCGGCCCGGGGGGGGGGGGGGGGGGGGGGGGGGGGGGGCGGAGGGCCCCCGCCCGCCCCTCGGCGCAGCGCCCCAGCCCCCCCCCGTCTTCCCGACGCGCCACGGGGAGCAACGGCGTGCGCCCCGACTGCTGGCCCGGGAGACCGTGCGCGCAGATCCCTCTCCGCGGGCCCCCTTCTGGCAGACCTTTGTCCCGAAGACTCCTAACCCCCCGGCTCGCTATGCAGACCACTGCCCGGTGGACCCCCTTCCCTCGGACCCCGGGCCGGCAGACGGCGGTCGCAGCGAGTGTGCAGCTCCCCGCGGGGATAGGAGACGTGGACGGACAGGTGAGGGTGTGTGGAGGGCGCGGCCGGGGGTGGGCTGTGACTCGGCTCCCCTTCCTCTCGCTCCCTTTGCGTCCCTGGGTTCTCGCTGCTTCTTTCCGGGAGCCGCTCTGATTTTCTGGAAGGACCGACCCCCCGACTTACCCCCACCCTCCCGTGATACTTCCTGCCAGCGCCGCAGAGCAGGCTGGACTGGGACCTGGGTGGGGGCCAAGGTGCGCCACGAGGGCAGGCCGGGTGGGCAAGGCCTTCCAGTGGCTGAACCCAGGCCCGCGGAGAAGGGCAGCCCCGGGGGTGCCCCGTTAACCCCGTGTCACCTCCATCAAGCCTCCTCCGGCACCACTCATTTGACAGCCCTACTGACCCCCACTCCTGTCCCCCGCTGGCTGCCACCGCTGCGTCCCTGCCGCCATTCCTCCACCCCTGGTTCTCTTGTGGAGAAGGAGGCTCTACTCCTTCCACCCTTTTTCCTTCCCAGACTGCTGCCCCCAGACTCACCCTCGTGGGAACTCCTCTCCTCCCCACCCGCCTCCCTCCAGATCTAAAGCCGGCATCACCTCCCTGGCTTTGGGGCCCCTTCCACTCCCTCACCCGCCATCCCCAGTCCCAGCAGTCACTGCTCAGGGCCCAGTGACCTCGGGGTCACCAAACCCCTTGGATGCTTTTCAGCCTTGTCTTTCCTGGCCTTTCAGCATCCCAGGACACTGATGGTCATGCCTTGCCTTCTAGAAAGTTCTCCTCTGTGGCTTCTAGGGTGGCGCTCCACTTCCTCTTCTTCATTCCCTTACCCACTCCATCACAGAGCTCCCAGTGTTCCACCCCGGTCTCCAGGTGTCTCCACTGCCACATGCCCAGGACCCCAGTGGGAGCCCTTCCCTGACCTGCTCCCATCTCCTGGATGCCCCTCCTCCACCCACCTGCCGGCTGGACACATGGCAGTGGCCCTGTACCCTGTGAGATGCCTACAGGTGGCAGGAGCTTATCCCAGCTCTGTGCCCGCCACTGTCTGAAGACACAGGAGAGGGGTGGCGGGGGGTGGGTACGCTGCAGAGCCCCATTCTTACCAGCCCACCTGAAGCCCTGCCCCCAGAGCGGGCCTTTCTGTTTTGCTTCAGGCAAAGGCCAGAGTGCAAAGGTCAAGAAGTCTGGCTCTGCCTGTGCAAGTGCCAGGGGCAGGTGCCGGGGGAGGGGAGCCTTCTGAGCTTGGTGCCCAAAAACCCCCGTCCCTCTCCCCCCCCCACCCCCCGGCCACCCGCACGCCTCCTCCCACTCCCCTCGCCTTTCTGGGGGCTGTGCGCAGATCTAAGTAGGTATCCCCTTCTCCCTCCGCGGTTTTCATCTGGGATCTGGGGCTGTGAGTCCAGTAACCGGCACCACCTCAGGCGGCTATGAGGACCGGGGAAAAAGCTACAGGTTCTTCCTGGAGGTGGGGTGGATCTGGGCAGCCCGGGAAAGAGGTCATCCTGCTGTGTGATGTTCAGAGAGGACTTTCCCTCTCTGGACCTTATTTTCCCCTGAGGATGCTCTGGCTGGCTGGAGGCCCAGCAATCCAGAGTAGGTGCTGGGTGGCCGGAGTTGGGTCTCAGCAGGAAAAGATATGAAGGAATAAATGTAGTGTGCATGAAGTGGGACAAGGCAGGGGACCTCTGAAATATGTAGGCACAGTGGGGAGCAGAAGGGGGAGGGAGAGGGAACAGATGGGGGTGGGGGCCCCTCCCCAGGCTGGGCCACCTCTATTTACATAACTGGATTCATAAGAGGTAAACAGAGCAGGAACTGGAAACGAGGGGCCCGGGCCTTGCCACACAGCAGTCTGGGAGCCCCGGGACTGAGGAAGGCGCCTGCCCTCTGCTGAGTCCTTAAGTGTCCTGGTGGGGGTGGCACCCCCAGAGCTGTGCTGGCTCCTGTGCTCCAGGGCAGGCGGAGTGGGGGACACCCTCTGCCTGCTTCTCCCCCCACCCTCAGAACATGGGTGCCACGTGCCTGCACTGTGGGTTCTCAGTTCAGGCATTTGACCAGGGGCTATGGAGCTGGTCACGCCCACAAGGCCGGGCTCCTGCCACCCCGGGAGACCAGACAGACGCCCCACCCTCGTGTTCTGCGGGGGAGGTGATGATAAGTACCAGGGGCGGCCAGCCTGGGTGGTGCTGGAAGGAGGGGCCCGGGCTTGGTAAGGGGGCGCGTGAGGGCACAGAAAATGTGGGACGGCAGGAACAGAGGCAGAGGGAAAGGGATGGCGGCCTGGACAGAGCCCAGTGGGGGTTACAGGGCAGAGGCTCCCCGGCTCCTCAGGGGTGTTAGTACAGGCCTTTTGATACCATTTTGTGTCTGGGTTTTCTCACCACAGCTTGTGACGTGAGCATTCCCATATTGATAAGGGGTCCTCTAAACATCGTTGTGCCCAGGCACCTAGTGTTCTCTTGTGTGGGGCTGTCAGGTTTCACTCAACCCTTCACAGGCTCTGGGAGTCAACAAGGGGATGAGCCGTCACCTCAGCGAGCGGGCATCAACCTGCACCCTGGTCCTTGCTCTTGGATGTGAAGGAAAAGCCGAGAACCACCGGGCAGCTGGAGAGCTGGCGGCGAGCCGGCTGGGCAGACGGCGCAGGGGGCGCCTTCTTCCTTTGGGTTGGGTGGTTGTTTGCTTGGCACGTGCGCCCGGTTTCTCCAACACTGTTCCAACACTGAGAAGACTACCTTTTCTTCATCGAGTTACTCTAGCCCCTTCATGGAAAATCGCCTGACGGTTTATGCTGTAGGTCTATTTCTGGACTCTTCTCCTGCAGTGATCTCTGTGTCCGTGTTGACACCAATACTGCTCTCCTGTGAAGACTTCTTGAGGCTAGCTTTACGACCTAGCTGTGAAAGAAATGGAATGTTCTGGGCGCATCCAGTTGTTAAATGCAATGTAGTCTGGATGCCTGTCCATTAAATTAAGATTTTAAGCTATTTTCTGCAAATGTTGGTTTTTTTTTTTTACTTTTATCTTCTTGATCTATCAATTACTAAAGATTGATACTATGATGGTGGATTTATTTATTTGTTTATTTCTCCTTACATTTTGTCAATTTTTGCTTTGTATATTTAGAAGTTTGTTATGTGCATACAAATATAGAATTGTTTTAGCCGCTTAAAAAGATGCTATTGTTTCATAGCATATCTTAAAATCGGGTAAACTGAGTTCTCCAACTTTATTCTTTTTGAAAGATGTTTGGGCATTGTAGGTTCACGGCCTCTTCATTTGAATATTAAAACAGTTTGTCAGTTGCTACAAAAAACCTACTAAGATTTTGATTGAGATCCAGTTGAATCTATAGATCAATATGAGGAGAACGGACATCTTGACAACGTTGAATCTTCCAACCCACGACCAAGGTCTGTTTCTTCATTTGTGTCTTCTTTAATTTCTCTCATCAGTGTTTCGTAGTTTTCAGTACCCAAATCTTATGTATTTTTTGTTAGATATCTCCCTAAGTATTTCATGGCTGTTGATGCTATCGTCAGTGGTAATTTTTTTAAATTTCCCTTTCCAGTTGTTCCTCGTTGGTATATAGAAATACAATTGAGGGGCTGGCCCCATGCCCATGTGGTTAAGTTCGCGCGCTCCGCTGAGGCGGCCCAAGGTTTCATCGGTTTGGATCCTGGGCGCAGACATGGCACCGCTCGTCAGGCCATGCTGAGGTGGCGTCCCACATGCCACAACTAGAAGAACCCGCAACTAAAAATATACAACTATGTTTTGGGGGGCTTTGGGGAGAAAAAGGAAAAGTAAAATCTTTGAAAAAAAAAAAGAAATACAATTGACTTTTTTAATATATTGATGTTGTATCCTATGACCTTGCCAAAATCACTTCTTATTTTTGCTTGTTTTTGTAGATTCTCCGAGTTTTTCTATGGAGATGACCGTGTGGTCTATGAGAAAGCAGTTTCTCTTCCTTTGCTGTCTGTGGGCCTTTCCTTGTGTTCTGGCGACTTGCACGGCGGGTCCTGACCTGCCGCACGATGTTCCACAGAGGCGGCAAGAGCCAAGTCCTTCCTTTCTCCCACTCCTGGGGGAGAAGCATTCAGTTTCTCACCGTGCAGTATGAAGTTATTCACAGCTCTTTATCAGTTTGAGAATGTCCGCCATCCATTCCCAGTTTGCTGAGAGTTTTTTCTTTTTTCATCATGAACGGATGTTGAGTTTTATCAAATGTCTTTTGTTTTTGATTTTTCTTTCTTGCTCTATTGCTGTGGGGAATTACACTGATTTCCAAATGTTAGGCCTGCCTTGCATTCCTGGGATAAATTTCGCTTGGTCGTGAAGTATTCTCCTTTTTATATATTTCTGGATTTGATTTGCTAACATTTTGTTAAAGATTTTTGCATTTATGTTCACTAAGGATATTAGTGTGTAATTTTATTTTCTTGTAACAAGAAGATTGCCTGGTTTATGCTATCAGGATAATGCTGGTCTCATAAAATGAGCTGGAAAGTCTTCCTTCCTCCTCTATTTTCTGGAAGTCTGTATAGACGCGGTGTCATTACTTCCTTAGATGTTGGTAGAATTCGCCAGTGAGCGTCTGGGCCTGGAGCTGTCTTTGTGGGGAGGCTGTTAATTACAGATTCAGTTTCTTTAATGGACATAGTGCTCTTTTCCTGGATGTTGCCGCCTCCATTGTGCCGATCTTCGGGACCCCCAGCAGAACTTGAGTTTCTGTCGCCGTACATCTTTGCCAACACTAGGTTCTACACATTTATAAATGTGTGCACGTTGTATTTTCTTAAAGTAAATCGAAAAGGTGCCAGGCAACGGCCCTGGGCAGGTGTGTCCCGGGTGGGGTGGACCCCTCCTGCTGGAGGCGGGCTGCGAGAAGGTCGCTTCCCATCGTGACCCTGTGTGGGACCCGGCCTCTGACCCAGCCTGCTGGGGCGGCTCCGAGCCAGGCACTCTCCCTTCGGAGCCTCAGCCAGTTCTGTTTCTGGAGACCGAGATTTACGACACCTTCAGGGCACCTCCCTCCTGGCGGTGCTTCAGTTGTGCAAACGTATAGCCGTATAGCCGAGGCCTCAGGGGAACCGGCTCCCCTCCCCGCACTGGCCTGTCCCTGTCTCCCAATCTTGCAGTGAGGGAGCCGCTCCTCCTCCCACACCTGGTCTCCCCCAAATCTGAGAGACTGAGGCTGCTCTGTGTCTGGAGATTTGCATGTTCTAGTGGAGAATGTGTATATAAGTGTGTGTCTATGTGTGTGCCTCAGTGCGTGTGTATGTGTGTGTGTCTGCAACTCTGTGTGTCTGTGTGTGTGTGTGTCTGCGTGTGTGTCTGTGTGTCTCTGTATGTGTACCTGTGTCTGTGTGTGTGACTGTGTGTGTGTGTGTCTGTGTCTTTGTGCCTGTGTGTCTCTGTGTGTATGTGACTATGTCTGTGTGTCTCTGTGTGTTTTTGTGTCTGTATCTGCGTGTGTGTGTGTGTGTGTCTGTATCTGCCTCTGTGTGTGTCTGTGTGTGTGTGTGGAAGGCCCGGGGTGCCCACCTCCCTCTCCAGGTCTTGGAGGAGACGCTCTGGAGCATCGGAGCGGTGAGGTCTTCAAGGGCCCACAGTGAGGGGCTGCCGGGCGACTGGGAAGGCCCTGGGTGCTCAGAGGCTCCAGAATCGGCATGGGAACAGGTGTCTCTCTGCTGCCCCCAACCCCACAGATCCAGCTCCCGGGCTGGGGGAGGGGACACAGGGTCACGGACGACGCAACGACAAAGGGCTCAGGCTTCGGATCCATCAGTGACAAGGGACTGTGAGACTGCAAAGGGCCGCTGCCTTTGGGAGGGGGGGGTGCAGGTTTGCACATCCCGACACTTGAGCTTTGAGGCAGAAGTGCGGGCTCTCGTCCCTGCCCGGGTGAGGACCTCCAAGGCAGCCCCCACCCCCTACCCCGCCACCATCCCTCCCCTCGGCCACCCCGCCTCAGGCTCGAAGCAGGTGTTCTGGGAGGTCACAAGGGACCGGCTGGGGCAGTTTGGGCTGGGGCAGTTGTTTGGGCCTCGCCTGTGTCCACCTTCCCCGGCTCCTCCCTTCCTGACCCCCCTGCCCCACCAGCTCCCAATTTTGTTGTTTTTATTACAAAAGAAACCCCTGCAGGTGGCCCACATGGCCCTTCGGCCTCCTCAGTCCCCCCTCCCAAGGTTGCCAAGGTCGGGCTGGATGCTGGCCCCAGCGCCTGGCCTCCCCTCTCCCCTCCGAGGCCCCTGACAACCACGAGTCCCTGTCCAGGCGGCCCCAGAACTCCTTCTTGAGTTGCCCCGGCCCGTCACCTCTCTCTGGCCACCATAATGGCCTCTTCGGCCTGCTGGACACCATGGCTGCTCCCCTCTGGCCTTCATCTGGGGCCCCGAGGTAAACCGAGGCTCCAGTGCCCACTGCATGCAGGGACTGTGCCTGGACCCCACGCCCAGCTGGTGGTGTGCCCGGAGGTGTTGGGGAGGCCGGGATGAAGAGAGGCCAGGCCCCCGTGACCTTGCCAGCCAGTCATCCTGAAATCTAGGTCGGGGGCTCCTAGGAGCTGTCCCCACTCGTCGTCCCTCTCCCCAGTGTTCACCTGGCCCCCCTGTGGCCAGGAACTGGGCTAGCCCTCACCCACATATCCTCTTTGAATCCTCCCAAAAGTGGGTGTTCAGGGGGTATCTGGCCCATTTCAGAGAAGATAAACTGAGGCAGAAAGAGGTTGAACAGCTCGAGTTTGCCCAGGGACCCTCAGCTGAGCCAGGGCAATGGGAACCCAGTGAGCCTGACCCACTGGGACACTGGACCCAGAGACCAGTCTCTGGATGGCCAGGGTCCCCCCCTCCATTTTGGGGATGGGGAGCCCGAGGCTCCGGAGGTGAAGAGGCCTGTCCAGGGTTGCCCTCAGTCCCCTAGACTCCGTCCCTGGGCAAGGGCCCTCGCCCCGGCTTGCGTGAGGCAGGACCAGGCCAAAGGGAGTGGCGTCCTCCCCCCACAGCCATTGTTCTCCTCAAAGTGACCACCATCCTCTGGGAGGGGCGCCTGGGTCCCAGCCTCCATCTTGCCAGCTGCCTCCTGCCCTGAGCCACCGTCAAGGTCATTAGGCTCTGCAAAGTCACATTAGGTGGCATCCAACGTGGCCCGATTAAATCAGGCCACTTAGAGGGATGGTGATGGAGGGAAGGGGCCCCGGGCTGCCAGCCCTGGATGGGGCCAGGCTCCAGTCAGCAACAAAGCAGGGGCGGTGGGGGCCGGGGGACAGGTGGGCAGGGGCACAGCAAGCTGTTGCTTATCCAGGTGGTGCCTGGGCACAGAAAAGGCAGCCGGGCAGGCGGCCCCTAGCCCAGGAGCTCAGGGTGTGGTGGGGACAGACAAGCCACAGTCCCCGGTTTGGGTCATCAGGGCTGGGATGCCGAGCACAGGTGAGGTGGGACTGGAGGAGCCATGGCCCTGGGATCCAGCAAGGTGATCTGCTCCAAGTGGGGCGGGGGCTTACAAGGAGGCCGGAAAAGATCAAGAGGGGTCCCGGAGGCCCCGGGGCCTGGGTGGGGACCGGGGAAGCCACTAAGAGGGTTAAGCCTGGAACTGTGCTGTGAGTTGGCCTCGCTCAGAGCCACAAGCACATACAGATCCTTCTTGCTTCTTCCCACCACATCATGTTGCTTATTACCTTCAGTGGCTCCCCAGTGCCCCCAGGACTGAGTCCCCTCCTAGAGGGGCACAGATGGCCCACAGGCTGGTCCTGGCCTTCCTCGATGGCCCTTGCTCCCATTATTGTCCTGCTCACTCCTTCAGCCAGCCCCAGAGCAGGTGACTGCGCTGTTCCATCTGTGCTGGTGATCTGTGGAAAAATCTGTGGCTTCTCTGAATGACGGCCTCAACCCACAGAGAGGTGGGAATTGGTGGGACCTGGGGCAAGGAAGCTGGGGCTCATTCACCGCTTTTATTGGGTTGCTGGTGATGGAGTGGTGACAGCTGTTCACCTGGCATGGACTGGCCTGGGACACAGGTGGGCAGGGACACATCAGCCAAGCCTTGTCTCCAGCATTTGAGAGATACGGTGGCGAGACTAATTTTCAGGCTCGGGCATCAGCTGGCCTGAAGCCTTGAAGAAAGCTCAGGACAATCAGGGTCTGCAGTGAGATCCAGAAAGCCCCCTCCTACGAACTGAATTGTGTCCGCAGCAAATTTGTATGTTGTAGTCCTAACCCCCAGTACCTCTGGATGTGACTGTATTTGGAGAGGGCGTCTTTAGAGTTAATTAAGGTAAGATGAGTTCATTAGGGTGGGCCCTGATCCAATCTGACCCGTGTCCTTAGGAGAAGGGTGATCAGGACGCAGACATGCACAGCAGGATGACCTTTCGAGGACCTGGGGAGAAGACGGCATCTGCAAGCCAAGAGAGGCCTCGGAGGGAACCAACGCCGCTGCCCCCGAGTGTCAGCACCAGACTCCAGAGCTGTGAGAATAAGCATCTGCTGTTTAGGCTGCCCCGTCTGTGGCACCTTGCTGTGGCAGCCGCAGGACGCACACAGTCACCGCAGCAGCGTTTAGAGTGTCATTTCCTAAAGCAGAGAGCAGATTGTGCCAAAAATCAGGCCCGAGATTAGATCACAGGGTGCTGGAGCCGCAAAGGAGGAGACGCTCATGCCTTAGTGCATCTTCTGTGCTAGAGTCAGGGCCCTGATAGCAAAGCGCGGACCCCCCGACCCAGAGGGGACATCTGCGGGAAGCGCCAGAGACCCAGGAACCCTCCAGGCAGGCAGACGAGGCCACGAGCCCTCGCTGGAGGACCAACCTCCCGTTCCCCAGGCCACGCAGAGGCCTCTCCTGAGGCAGGCGTCCCTCTCAGATCTGCCCGCCTCCCCTCCAGCTTCTGACCAGAACGAGGGCGAGGCTCCCGGACCTGGGTGTGGAAGTCCCATGCCCGCCATGGGCGGAGACGAATTATTCTCCAGGGAGCTGCCGCTGGGCAGGTGCGTACCAGCAGGACCCCGGAGCACGCGTGGAAGTGGATATGGAGGATGCTGGAGGGGAGGGGGGATTAGGCTGGAGGGGGGGGTTTATTGATCCGGGGCACTTTCCAGACCCTGGTGAGGACGCCTGCTGTCGGGCCTAGTGTGCTGCGGAGCGGCTCCTTGAAGCTTGGGGCTGGCAGTGGCTGGCAGTAAATAAGACGGAGCTGCCTTGGCAAAGAATTGAGGAAGAGGCGAGAAGACGCAGAGCCGAGAGGGCTAGGGTGGGGTTATTTTGCAAGATCAGAGAAGCTGCAGCTGGCAAGTTGCCCTGGGAGGGCCCAGTGGACAATAAGGAGTGCACTGTGAGAGGCCGTGGGCATCAAGGAGAAGTTCTGGGTCCTCTGTAGGCCCAGGTGGAGGGAGGATATCCCGCTAGAGCCAGTTCCCTCGTGTCTGTGGGAGGAAGGACCCCGAATGGCAGAGGTGCGGTGGGTGTGCCGGCAGAGCAGGCAGTAAGGTGGGGATGGCCCCCAGGGAGCCCCGCCCCTCGGGAGTCTAGGACATGGTGTCCTAGCAGAGTACGTTAGCTGTCTACTGCTGCGTAACAAATTACCCCCATACTTAGCAGTTTAAAACAGCAAACATTGATTATCGCACAGTTTCTATGGGTCAGGAATCTGGGTCAAGGTGCCGGCCAGGGCTAAGGGCATCTCAAGGCTTGGCTGCCGGGGACCCCCTTCCACACTCACCCACATGGCTGTCCTAGGCCTCTGGTCCCTGCCCGCTGCTGGCTGGAGACGATGGTTCCTTTCCTGGGGGGCTCTCCGTCAGGTGGCCAGCAAAACAGCAGCCAGCTTCCCTCAGAGCATGCAGAGAAGGGCAGAGTAAGATGGAAGCCACAGTCTTTATAACCCATCTTGGAGGGATGTCCCTTCACTTTTGCCACTTTCTCTTCATCAGAGACAAATCAGTAAGTCCAGTCTGTGCTCAAAGGGAGAGGACTTCACAAGTGCATGGGTGCCGGGGGTCCGTGGGGCAGCTTAGAGGCTCCACCCCAGGGAGCGATGGGTGGGCAGCCAGTGAGGGTACTGCTTGAGCTGTGTCTCCCAAAAAGATCAAGAGTGTGACCCCTCTGGGGCTGGCCCAGTGGCATAGTGGTTCAGTTTGCACACTCCACTTTGGCAGCTTGGGGTTTGCAGGTTCGGATGCTGGGTGTGGACCTACACACCACTCAACGAGCCATGCTGTGGCAGTGTGCCACATACAAAGTAGAGGAAGATGGGCACAGATGTTAGCTCAGGACCAATCTTCCTCACCAGAAAAAAAAGAGAGAGAGAATGGGTGACCCGTCACTGCTATTCCAGACCCTAGCCTGATCTCCAGTAACGGCACACCGGAGTGAGGAGACCACTCAGATCTTTCCAGGGCTGTAGATAAGGGTCTGAGCTGACCCTGATACCAAGACACCCAAGGTTCCACGGGGCTTCCCTGTTGGCTGGGGGATTACAGAGGCAGAGATGGTGTCATTTTCAAAGACTTAAGACACTGACTCCTCAAAAAGTTAAGCATAAAATTGTGTGATCCAGCAACCCTGCTCCTGGGTGTCTACCCAGAAAGACTGAAAGCAGAGACTCAAATAGAGACTTGCACGCGCCCAGTCACAGCAGCACTGCTCACAACAGGCAAAGGCGAAAACAACCCCAGTGCCATCGACGGATGCTGGCTAAACAAAATGTGGTCTATTCACACAACGGAATATTATTCTGCCTTAAAAAGGAAGGAAATTCTGACACGTGCTACAACATGGATGAACCTTGATGACATTATGGTTCGTGGAATAATCCAGTCACAAAAGGACCAAATACTGTATGATTCCACTCACATGAGGGACCCAGGGGAGTCACATTCACGGAGACAGAAAGGAGAGCGGTGGGTGCCAGGGCCTGGGGGAGGGGGAGGGGAGGTGTTTCATGGGGACAGTGGGTCAGTTTGGGAAGATGGAAAGGCTTCTAGAGATGCATGGGTGATGGCTGCACAACAACGTGGACGCACTTGATGTCACTGAACTGCCCACTGAGAAATGGTAAATTTTACTTTATTATATATTATTTATTATATTTATTATATATTTATATTACTATATTATTTATTATATTTTATCGTATCTTACCACAATAAAAACTTTTTAAAAAAAGACTTCAGCTGTAGGGCTGATGGCGCCCGTCACAGCCATTTAATCCGCGGGCTGCCTGCCACAGACGCCAGCCGAATCGTGGACCACCGGCGGCTCAGCGAAGCGGGAGCCCAGAGCGGAGGAGCAGACTCAGCAGCACAGCCTTGGGCTGCAATATGCAGGTGTGGACATTCACTGCCTTGCCCTGCGGCCATGTTACTGCTTCTGCTGTCACCAACAATCTGGAAACGTGCCACATCAGTGAAGGTATTTCTGGCTGTGAGTCGGAAACTCAGCTGAAACTGGTTGGAAGGATAAATGGATCAGAATACTAAATTTAGGGTCCAGCTTCAGGAGAGGCTTGACCAGGGCTCTGACTCCACCCCTCTGGGATTGCCTGTTCTGCCCGCCTCTATGTGTTGGCTTCATCCTTACGCTGTTGCACCAGTCTTGTTAGCTGCACGCCACATGCACACGCAGAAGGTGTAAGTGACCTGGAGTGGGTGACTCTTGGGGGACCAAGCTGCTCTTCCAGGTGCCTGGTCCCATGCTGCTTTCATTCCGCCTCATCCCGAGGAAGGAGCTATAGCAGCTGCTTGGCCAGAGCCCAGGCCGCCCTGGAAACACCCTTCGGCTCAGAGGGTGGGCCTGCGCCTGCCCTGAGTCACACTGGGAACTCACGTAGGGAAAGCTCAGCCTCACAGGAATAGACAGTGGGCCCTGGAGTCCTGCTTGACCCTGACCCGGGCCCTGTGGGTCCCTCAGGAGGGGGCGGCCTGCAGAGCCCACAGTCACCAGGGCTCCAGGGACCACAGGAGTCTGGGGCTGAGCCTGGGCACTGGGCCCAGTTGTGGGAGGTGGGACCCCCCTAGGGTGTGGGGTACCCGCAGAGATCTACTCACCGCCCCCCGTCACCCCTGCGGCCAGGTGTGGCCCCTGCAGTGGCCCTGGGTGGCAGTGCCGGCAATGGTGGCTGGTCCTCCAATTCCCCTCGTGGGGCAATCTCAGCGTTGGGGTGCTGGGGAGGAGGGAGCCCCAGGGGGTCCTGGGCTTCCTGGCAACCCTCATGAGGCCTAGAGCTGTCACCTAAGAATAAAGCCACACCCAGTTGGCTCCCCCGGGGACAGGGGAGGACCCAGTCGCAGGCAGGGCAGGAGGGGTGGGTTGGAAGCTGAAGGCGGTGGTGCAGAGACCCAGGGGGGCCACGCTGGAAACCTGGCCAGGCCGCTCTCAGCACCCCTCCTGCCCTGCGCCCAGCCCCCGAGGCCTGGGTAGGAGCGTCCCTGAGGCCCTCCTCTCCCTCGAGCCCTCCCACGTCCCGCCCAAGCCTCAGGACCACACTCCGGAAATCGTTCACCAAAGGCAGCTGCACACTCTGCCCCTCGCTCCGCCAGGGCCTCTCCCCGACTGTCCCCGGCGGGAGGCTGGACAGACAGAACTCCTGGCTGGACAGACCGGCCCCGTCCTTTACCCCCAGTGTGCGCTCAGACCGAATGAAATGGCTGCGCTCTGTGCTCTGTCAGTCTGCTCCTCTCGGGCCCATCACCTGTCACTGCTGTGACCCCTCGCCGCGCCCCTGCACCCTGCCCGCCGCCTCCTCTGGCCGGTGGCCCTCCATCGCTCGGGCTCCGGTGGCCACATCCTCTCGGCGCTGTCCGCCTGCACCCGCCTCGGGGGCTGCCCTGTGCAGGGGCTGGTGAAGCTGGCGGCCCGCGGCCCCAGGGACCGCCCGCGCCCTCCCCGGCTGCCTGGGCTCCGGGAGCTGCGGCCGGGGCAGGAGGAACCCCAAGCCCCGGGGTTCCTCCTCTGCCGCGTCTCAGACCGGATCCGGGCCCGGAGCTTTGCAGGCGTGTTCTCCAGACCATTGTTGTTCCGGCCAAACCTGGAAAACATTTCACCGACTTTTTCTTTGTTCGCTCCCCGTTCACCCTGGAAGGCCAGGTCCTCGCCAGCCCAGCCCAGAGTCCGGCAGCACCGCCCCGGCCCACCCTTCTCACCCACCCGCCCTGCCGCCCCAGCCCTCCTGGCTGGCACTGTCACGTGGCTGCCACCCAGCGGCCACTCCGGGAGTGACGAGCCTTTCCTAAGGCTGCTGGCCTGCTAGGCGACCCACCCACCCTGGCGGCTTCTCCCCTCCATACTCCCCTCACCTGCTCACTCATTCATTCGTTCACTTAGCAAACACAGTGAGCTCCGCCAAGCCAGGCCTGGGGACGCCACTTGGCTAGAGGGACACAGCCAGAGAAAACACCCCCAGCCCTGCTCCTCATGGGGCCAGCTTTCCCACAGGGACCCAGACAAGACACATATAATTTTAAAACGACTGGGCAGTTGGCAGGTTTTTGGGACAGCGGAAGGAGGGGTTATTTCTGTCCCAGTCTCACGGATCCTCCTTGCCACCCACATTCTGGGCCGCCAAGACCTTACTTCTTCAGGGTGGTGGACTCCCCAGAGCGAGTCACCAGTGGACTGTGGCTGTCCCCTCGGGGGTCACCCCCTCCCCTAGGCCCTCCATTCTTAACACAGCTGCAAGGACTGTCCTTTTATCCTTGCACCTTTATCGAGACATAGTTCAAATACCGTATAACTCACTCATTGAAGTGCACAGTCCTGTGGATTTTAGCATTTTTTTTATTTTAAAATTTTTTTTTGAGGAAGATCAACCCTGAGCTATCATCTGCTGCCAATCCTCCTCTTTTTGCTGAGGAAGACTGGCCCTGAGCTAACATCTGTGCCCATCTTCCTCTACTTTATATGTGGGATGCCTACCATAGCATGGCGTGCCAAGCGGTGCCACGTCCGCACCCGGGGTCTGAACTGGCGAACCTCGGGCCGCCAAAGTGGGACGTGCGCACGTAACTGGCTGTTGTGAGTTAGGGCTGCTATGAATCCCAGCGTACAGCTTTTTGTGTGGACACGTTTTATTTCTCTTGGGTATAAACCTAGGAGAGAAATCGCCGGGTCAGATGTTAACTGTGTTCAATCGTCTGAGGAACTGCCTCCAAGCGGAATCCTGTCAGTACCCACACCCGACCAGTCACGGCCTCAGGGAGACCCACTGACGCCTCCTGCCCGGGCAGCCCCGCCCCCACCGGGGGCCTCTGCCCGCTGGCCTCCGCACTGGGCCACCTTTTCTGCCGGGAGCCCTCCTGCCTTCCTCCTGCCCTGCCTTCAGACCTTGGCCCAGGCAGGCTCCCTCACTCCCTTCCTGAGTGGCTCCCGGGGTGTTTGTGCGATCAGAGGCCAGGTCTGAGGCCCCAGGAGGGCGAGTACTCTGTGTTTTAAAGCGCATAATAGATGGTTCAGATGGTTCGGTGAAAGAACAAGTCCTTTGAGCAGGAAAGGATCCGGAGCTCTTTAAATTTCTAAAGGGGGTTGAGATGGGCAGAGCTCTCTTTTGCCGCTTTTCTGTTACCAGCACCTTGGTTTTCCTTTGGGGACTCTCTCCTGACTCCTAGGCTAGGGGAAGCTGGGAACCCAGGCGTGGCCGCTGGCCTGTGCTGGGCAGCTGAAGTTGACTCAGGAAGGCAAATGGTTCAGGTGGGGTCAGTGAGAGGTCATCCAGGTCTTTGCTACCCCCTCTCCACGGGCAATCCGAGCTGGTCAATGTGGCCAGGATTTAAGGAGAAGTTGCCTGGGAATGAAGCCATTTGGAAGAAAGCTGTGCTGAGACAGGAAAAGAGAAATGGGTGAAGCACCTGGATCGAGCCATGCTGGAAGCCCAACACCAAGCTTTTGCAGATATATGAGCCAACACATCTCCTCTTGCACAAGTCAGTTTGAACTGTTTCTGTACCATGTAATCGAGGACACCTGGTTAATGCAGGGTCTGTGGCCCACAAAAGATGAATGATCTTAGCCCATTTTTCTATCAGGTTGCTCTTTTCCTAGTATGGTAATTTGTAGGAGCAATTAGTACGTTAGGAACTTTTTATCACATACTTTGCAAATGTTTTCTCTGGTCTGGTATTCGCGTGCGTGTTTGTGTGTGTATTTGTTTACAGAATTTTGGGCCATGCATAATTTAAGAAATTGTAATATTATCGAATGTCTATCTTTCTTCCTGTAATTTATGGGATTTAATTTTTTTCTATCTTTTTAGGGAGATGCCCTTTATCAGATCAAGGAATTGCTCTTCTACCCCTATCTTACTAAGAGATTATGTAAAAATCACAAATGAGGGGCCGGCCCGCGACCAAGTCGTTAAGTCTGCACGCTGGGTGCAGACGCGGCACCGCTTGTCAGGCCATGCTGAGGTGGCATCCCACAGGCCACAGCTAGAAGCACCCACAACTAAAAATACACAACTATGTACCAGAGGGCATAATGAGTATTAAATTGTATCAAGTGCTCTTTCTGCAGCTGTTGAAATGATTGCGGATTTTTTCCCCTCCTTTAATGTGTGATGGGGCATACATTCATCAGTTTCCTGACATTAAAATCCTGCTACAAGGGGCTGGCCCAGTGGCGCAGTGGTTAAGTTTGCATGCTCCGCTTTGGTGGCCTGGGGTTCACCGGTTCAGACCTCAGGTGTGGACCTATGTACCGCTTGTCAAGCCATGCTGTGGCAGGCGTCCCACTTATAAAATAGAGGAAGATGGGCACAGATGTTAGCTCAGGGCTAATCTTCCTCAAAAAAAAAAAACAATCCTGCTATAAGCTCAAAGTGGCCACAAGGTCTCCTGATGTCAGTTTATTAACAGTTTATTTAGGCTTTCGGCAACTACAGCCTTGAATTAGATGAGTCTATTAACTTTCATTTTGGAGTGGAGATCATGCTAGCTGTGAGGGTTTTAAGATAGGGATTTCTCTGTCCCATGAACGTTTAGTAAAACTTCACCTGTGAAACCAGGTGTGAATTTTGGTAAGAAATAATGTGGATGTAAACAAAGACTGCCTGCGTGAGGACCGGCAGAGGCGGTGTACTCAGGGCTTCCGAGCAGGGAGACGGAGGAGGGCGACAGCGTCACGGTGAGGAAGGGCGGGCTCAGGTGTGCCCCAGGAGAGGCTGGGGAAACTGCAGGCGGCTAACTAGAGGGGGTGCAACCTATGCCATGGGTTAGCGGGGCATGCCTGACCTTCTCTGGTTGGCCGAGTCCCAAGTGGAGGCGGAAATTAGGGAAGCTGGCAGCTGTTGACCGAGTCCTGGCCGTTTGGGGCGGGTCGCTGCACAGGCTGCTGGCCAGAGTCCCGTTGTCATATGTAGCCATTGTCCGGTCGTATATTCAGTCTCTCTCTATTCTTCTAGAACATTATCCGCTTCATCTTACCTTTCAAATGGATTGGCATCAAGTTGTTTGTAATATTCCCTTATAATTTTAGCCTCTAATATTGGTTTTGTCTGTTCTCTCACTCACATCTCCTCTCTTTTTTCTTGGCTGGTCATTTGCATATTTGATGCGTCTTTTTACAGAACCAGTTTTGAGTCTTGTGCATCAGGTTCTGTTTCATTAGCGTCTGTTCTCGTCTTTAGCATTTCCTCCCTCCGTCTCCCCTGGGTTCGCTCTGTTCTGTTTGTAGCTGCTGTGTCAAATGCTTAGCGACGTTTTCAGCCCTTTCGGCTCCGCAATGAACGCGTTTCAGGCCGCGGTCTGCCCTCTCCCCGGTGCTTCTGCTGCGTCCACAAACGCGGGCCGTGTGCTTTCACCTCCGGTCAGTTCTCAACTTTTCATGTTTTCAGTTGTGATTGTCTCTTGGGCAGCTGAATTACTTAGAAGTGTACATTTTAGTTTCTAAGCACATGGAATTCTTTTTTTAAAAAACAATAACTTTCTTTTTATACTGAAAAGTTTACTTCGAGGAGGACTTTTTCCTTTTGTAGATTCCTTGAGATTTTCTGCATAGACGGTCATGTCGTCTGCAGATTGAGGCAGTTTTATTTCCTCCTTTCCACGTGTGCCTGTTGTGTATTTTCTTGCCCTCTTGCGCTGGCTAGCACGTCCAAGACCACATTGAATAGGGGTGGTGAGAGGGACGTCCCTGCCTTGCTCTGATCTCGAGTGCAATGTTAGCGACAGGCTTCTGTAGATGTTCTTTATCCTGTGGAGGAAGTTCCCCTCCATTCCAGTTTTCTGAGTTTTCTTTTTTTTTAATCATAAATAGGTGTTGAATTTTGTCAAATGCTTTTTCTTTCTCTGTCGATAGGATCGTGTGATTTTTCTTCTTTAGCCAATGGATTACATTGATTTTTCAAATACTGAACCAGCCTTGGATCCCTGGAATAAGCCCCACTTGGTTATGTGTATAATTCTTCTCATATGTTGCCAAACTCTATTTGCTAATATTTTGTGAAGAATTTTTGCAACTATATTTATGAGGGACGTTTGTCTGTAGTTTTCTTATTTTGTGTTCTCTTGGCCTGCTTATGGCATCTGGGCAATACTAGCCTCATAAAGGAATTGGCACGTGTCACCTCCTATTTCCTGGAAGAGAGTGTGCAAAATTCTCCTTTAAACGTGAGGTAGAATTCTCCAGGGAAACCATCCAGCCTGGAGATTTCTTTCTTTGGGAGTTTTAAAATTCTGACTTTGACGTCCTCACTAGTCCAGGCTGGTCAGGGGTCTAGTTCACGGAGGAGGGTGGGGGTAGCGCGTGCGTCTCCACAGTCGCCCCACTTCATCTAAGGGGACAAATGTATGTGTGTAGAGCTGTTCGTCACATTCTCGCCACAGCCTTTGGTGACTGCAGGGTCTGTAATATCATCTGCTGTTGTCTGTCTTGCTAGAAGTTTGTCATTTTATTGATCTTTTCAAAAAAAGAAGTGCTTTTTGTTTCTTTGATTTTCTCTATTATTAGTCTGTTTAAAATTTCATTGATTCGGGGCTGGCCCGGTGGTGCAGTGGTTAAGTGCTCACCTTCTGCTTTTGGGGGCCCAGGGTTCGCTGGTTCAGATCCCGGGTGTGGACATGGCACCGCTTGGCAAGCCATGCTGTGGCAGGCGTCCCACATATAAAGTAGAGGAAGATGGGCATGGATGTTAGCTCAGGGCCAGTCTTCCTCAAAAGAAAAATTTCATTTGTTCCTGCTCTCTAATTTCCTCTCCTTCTGCTTGCTGAGGGTTTATTTTTGCTCTTCTTTTTCCAGTTCTTAAGGTGGAATCTGATATTTTTTATTTGACAGCTTCCTTCTTTTCTTTCTTTCTTTCTTTTTTTTTGTGAGGCAGATTGGCCCTGAGCTAGCATCTGTTGGCCATCTTCCTCTGATTCATGAGGGATACCACCACAGCGTGGCTTGAACAGCTCTAGGTTCCTGCCCGGGATCCGAACCTGCAAACCCCTGGCCGCTGAAACAGAACACACGAACTTAACCACTATGCCATGGGCCGGCCCCCGTCTTTCCTAATATAAGTACTTAATGCTATAAATTCCCCCAGTCCTGCGTTTGTGGAAGCCCGACTTCTGTGCTGCACTTTCACTTTCACTCGTGTCCGTGTTTTTGTGTTTCCCTTGCCCGTCCTCTTTGGACGCTTGGCTGACTTTGAAGTCTGTTGTTTAGTTTCCAAGTGTCTGATTTTCTTGTTATCTGTCTGCTGTTGACTGCTAGTTCAACTCCTTTATGGTTAGAGACACAATTTGTATGATTTCAAATCTTTTAAATTGTCAAGGCTTGTTTTGTGCTGTGGAAGTCCCGGGGGCACCTGAGTGGAAGCGCGCACTGTAGCCGCCGAAGCAGAGAGCGGGATCTTAACCACTCGGCCACTGGGCCGGCCTTCGGATTTGTCTTATTTTAAAAAATAACTCTTCAGATAGTTCTTGAGTAAAAGAGCAAATTAAAAATTTTAAACAATCAATAATGAGAGAACACTATTGCTGCCCAACTTGTGGAACAGAGCCCAGGGCAGCCTCAGAGGAGGAACTTCACGGCCGTAAATGCACAGCTTAGAAAACGTGAGTGGCTGCTAATCAATCGAGTGATTAAAAGGATAATAAGGGAATATTACAAGCAACTCTTTGCCAGTATCTTAGACAAATTGTTGGAAAAACACAAACTACCCAAAGCTCCTGAGGAAGTGGGAAGCTGAGGAGCCCACAAGTAGTGGAGAAGTGGAACCGTGGGTTAGAACCCCCCACGCGGAAAATGAAGTGATACATACACTGAAACAAAGAGTTTGCCAGGGTTATGTTTTTAAAAACTCAAGAATAAGAAAACAACCCAATTGTAAAAAATGGTCAAAGCATTTGAACAGACACCGTCCTAAAGAAGCTGTATAGACAGCAAATAGGTGAGCACTCAGCACTCTTAGTCATTAGGAAAATGCGAGTGAAACTACAGTGACCGACCACCACACGCCGGCTAAAGTGGCCAAAATTACTGACTGACTCCGCCAAGCGCTGGTGAGATGTGGAGCAATTGCAATTCTCACCTACTACTAGCAGGAAAGTAAAATGGTGCAAACACTTGGGAAAACAGCCTGACAATTTCTTAATGGTATTTACCAAGAGAAATGAAAATATATATCTGTAGAGACTTGTACACAATTTTCATAGCAGCTTCACTTCTAATAGCCAAAAACTGGAAACAACCCATCAACAGGTGAACAGACAAGCAAACTGTGTTCTATCCCTCCATGCAACAGAATAGCACTCAGGCGTAAAATGTGATGGCCAACCTGGATGCATCTCAAAATAGTTATGGTGAGTGAAGGAGCTAGACAAGAAAAGAGTGCATATTACATGATTCCATTTATATAAAATCATAAGACCTATTGTAATGAAAGTCCGTCAGTGGTTGTCCAGGGATGGGCAGGGCGAGGATAGGGGCGGCCGGAAATTGGGGGTGATGGACATGTTTCCCCACTTGATTGGGGTGATGGTAACACGGGTGTATGTCAGTGTCCAAACTTGCAAAATTGTGTACCACAAATGTATGCAGTTCATGGTATGTCAATTAACCCTCAAAGAAACTGTTAAAAAAAAAACCCTCAAGGGGCCAGCCCCGTGGCCGAGTGGTTGGGTTCCCACGCTCTGCTTCGGTGGCCCAGGATTTCGCTGGTTCGGATCCTGGGCACGGACATGGCACCGCTCATCAAGCCACGCTGAGGTGGCGTCCCACATAGCAAAGCCAGAAGGACCTACAACTAGAATATACAACTACGTACTGGGGGGCTTTGGGGAGAAGAAGAAGGAAAAAAAAAAGGAGATTGGCAACAGATGTTAGCTCAGGTGCCAATCTTTAAAAAAAAGAAAACTCCAGTGTGAATTCACCTTCTTTTCAGTTTGTGCAGAGGTGATCCGGTGGTTTAAAGGGAGGGTGAGGGAGCAAGGAGGGGATGACTCAGCAGAGTCAGGGAGCGAACAATTCCAAAAAGCGGGAAGGGGCTGGTCCATGTGACACCCACCTGGGTTATCAACTGGCGCTTAGCAAAGTTCCACTCCTGCTCTGGCACAGAGGCTGGGAGACGGGCCTTGTCCTCAGGTGTTGGCCAAAACAGTGAATTCTCCTGGCAGCCTTGAGCTTTCCCAGGCAGGTACTTTAAGGAGGGCTGGGGTCATCCTGGGGGCGTGGAAACCTTAAGCTGTTAGAAACCACGTTAGTGTTTGTTCCAGTCTTTATAGGCCTAATCGAGAAGCAGGCTCAGAGGAACCTGGCTAGCGTTTGATCAAGGAGAGAAAATCATTGTCACCACATACCCCACATACCATACAATCCACCTGTTTAAAGTGTACAATTCATTGGTTTTTAGTATATTCACAGTGTTGTGCAACCATCATTGTAATAAATTTTGGAACATTTTCGTCACCTCAAAAGGAAACCTCATCCCCATTAGCTGTCACTCCCTACTTCCCCATCCCCCGGCTGCTGCCGCCACTGACCTGCGTCCATTTCTGAGGATTCGCCTCTTTGGGACCGTTTATACAAATGGAATCATGCACTATGTGGTCTTTTGTTTCTGTCTTTTTTCACTCAGCATAATTTTTTCAAGGTTCATCTACGCTGTATGTGCATCACTATTTCATTTCTTTTTATGGCCAAATAATATTGCATCATACAAATACACCACATTTTGGTTATCCATTCACCAGGTGATGGACACTGGGTTGTTTCTACTTTTTGGTTATTATGAATAATGCTGCTCTGAACATTTGTGTGTGGGTTTCTTTGTGGACATATGCTTCTTAGCCCCTGTAGCAATTGGCCCAAATGTGATCAATTACTGCCAGCTTCCCTCATTTCTGCTTCTGCTTGGAACTCAGGGCCAACCAGAGAAAGCCTTTTATGCTCCCTAACCAATCACACAAGTTGCCAACCTCTAGTTAGTTGCCCACAGCTCCCCACACCAACAGCCTCCACTCGGAACACACCTGAGCCCCCTTTTCTTCATTCCTGTCCCCCTCTGCATCCTTTGAGTCTCTGCCAAAATGCACATGAGAGTGGCTGCTCCCCGATCGAACAAACTCTGAGTACACAGCCTCTGCTTATTCTCATTTGGGTAGTTTTTGTTCATTTCTGCAAGTTTTGTAGTTTTAGCTCTGACATTTGGGTTTATAATCCATTTCAGTTAAATTTTGAGTATGTGTATGGTGAGGGTCCAGCTTCACTCTTTGCACGTGGATGTCCAATTGTCCAGCAAAGACGGTCCCTTCCCCATTGACCTGTCTTGAAACCCTGGTTGACATTTCCTGACAACAAATACAAATTGTGTGGCTTTTTGTAAACTATAGTCTTAAGGAAAAAAGGCTGAGATTGACTCTTGAGACGCTGGTGTGTGTTCTCCCGCCCAAGTGTGAAATTAATAGGCTTGACTCTTTGGGGTCAGATGACCTGCAATTGGGTTACTGAAACCCCAGGACTGAGGCGGGTGCTGGCCCACTGATAGCTCACGCTCTCAGGCTGGTTTTGATCCCACAACAAGGAATGGGGGGCCCTGGAATGAAAACTCCCTGGGAGAAAGCCGAGCCCTCGCCACCGCCCCCAGACCGTTCTGCTGCCCTGGGTCCACCTCCATTTTCGCTCCGTGCGCCTGTCCCAGGAAGCCACGGGCTCTCTGGAGGGCGGATGGGCGGGCGCTTTGCCGAGTGTCCCTCCCATTCAGCCTTCTGCATCCTGCCCTGCAGTGATCTCCTGCCAGGCCTGTCCCTGCCAAACCAGATGGGGCACTTTCTCCCCTCCAGCCCTGGTCCAGGGCGGCATTGCATAAACAGGCCGCGCAGGGGGGAAGCTGGTGAAATGCCAACCTCTGGGTTTGCCCCGGGCACATTCCATATCCCGTAAGACCATGCCGGTGCTCCAAGTCAGAGCAGTGTCCACGAGAGAGAACGTGGCCCGAGTGGCCAAAGTTTCTGGAATTTGCTGCCTTTTCAACTCACCTGAGGTCCGAGAGAAGCAGCAGGCTTCCCCACGACCATGTTCACTCACCCTCACGCCTCCTCGCCCCAAATGCCTCGGGGTGTTTCCAGCCCAGGCATACAGGGCTCTGTGCAGGCACAGGCTCTGCCCGGATGGTTCTTCAACCGCACAGAGCCAGGCCCATCCCCAGTGTGTCAGAGCAGCAGCAGGGCTCCCGGTGCACCCCACAGCACTCCCCCAACCAGGGCCCCCCTGGCATCCCGGATCCTGGGAGTCGGGCTCTATCCTCTGTGCGTTTCCAGGCCGATGGCTGCTTCCTGCCGACCTCCAACCCCCGGCCAGACCCTGAGACTCCAGGCGCCATGTTTGTTGCCCAGAAACAGGACTGGAATCCAGATCTATCTGCTGGTTTTAGGAAATTTAGGGACAGAGTAAGGGGACAAATCTGAAAGGCCGAGGACCCGGCTTATCCTGCAGAGGACCTGCAGAGAAAGGACGGGGAGGGAGGGGGACGCTGGGAACCCAGACACTGAGCTGGAGCCCTCAGCTAGACTCTGATTCAAGTAGAACTGACTCTTAACAGCATGTACATGGTGATCCGGGAAACCTGAGTGACCGCTAGGATTTTTTACATAGAATGAACTACTACTGGAGTTGTTAAAATTTTCTGAAAGACTATTTTTACAGACATGTGCTGAAGTATTTATCCACAAACGTCTGGGATTTGCTTCCAAACAATCTCGTGTTTGGAACTGTTTCCAATTCCAGAACTGAGGGCCTGGGGGAGTCCACCGCCGAAGCTGGGGCGGGCACATGGGTGCCAGCTTGTTTTTCTTTAAATAACAGCTTTATTTAGATATAGTGTTTTTTAGTACATTCACAGAGCTGTGCAACTGACACCACTATCTAAAATCCTATTTTTCACACCCCTGAAATGCTCCAGGATAGTCTCCTTGCTCCAGGAGTACAGCATCAGAGGTTCTGAGGTCTGAAGGAGCCCCAAAGACTGTCTGTCTGTCTGTCCAGCCGAGCCCTGGCAGCTTTCACGCATGTGAAAAGGCCTCAGGGCAGCACCCACGCCGCCTCCCGCCCCAGCCTCAGTCTGTCTGTCTGAGGGTCAGCAGTCCAGAGAACCAGGGTCTCCATGGCCCCTTCTGGGCTTGCTGGACAACAGACCAGCACCCAAGAACCCAGGCTCTGACTCAAGGGGCACCTCCCGCCCCCAGGAGAGGGGAGCCTCTGGGGAGGCTGGCCAGCCTGGCCCGGAACTCTCAAACCTGGGGGTCTTGCAGCACCCAGGTGTGTGCTGAGAAGGGGTGGCACTGTTGGGCCCACGGTGACCTGGATCCAGGAACTCAGCCCACCCAGCCCCCAGCCTCACCTTTCCCTTCCCCTCCCCCTGCACTGGTTTTGGGCTGCTCCCACCCTAGCACCCTCCACTTCCTCTGCCCACAGGCCAGAGCAATGCATCCAGCCAGGGCTGCTGCTGCTTTCTCCCTCTGGGCCCTGCCCCCCTAAACCAGAGAGCCCTCCGAGGAGGGTGCAGAGGTGCTCTCACTGCCCCTGGACAGTGAGGCAGCTTGCAGACCAGTGAGCAGCCTGGATGCAGGGACCAGACAGAGCAGTTCACCGTCCTTTATTAGCATCCCTGCAGAGCAATGTGGGCCTGCAGCCCTTTGCTGGGGCGGGGGCACAGTGCCCAGGGGACCCGGGGAGGCAGGCGGACGCAGCCCCCAGCCTGGTTTGTGGGGGGGCAGGCTGCTTTCACAGCGGAATCCAGTTGTTTTGGCTGATCAGCTGCTGGGGGCCTTGCAGGTGACCGCCGTCTACACAGAGAAGCCCCCAAGGACACACCACAGCCCACCTCTGAGGAGCAGGAGGGGAGGGCGTGGACGGCGTGAGGGACACTGCACACTCCCTGAAGACAGCAGCAGCCTCTTGGTGCTGAAAGGTTTTGGTGAAACTAATTGTTAAAGCAACTGGGGGTTGGCTGGACGTGGGAGGCATGGGGCAGGGGGTGGGGGGGTGGGGACTAGGCCTGCCACCAGGGGCGCCCACAGGTCACACACTCTGACCCTTGCTCCTGGGCACTCATTCTGCTCCTGTGTCATTTGTTCACTGGCCCAGGAGGTGTGGGGGGCACAGCTACTTCTGAGAACATCATGAACGCTATGGTCCCTCTCCTTGGATAAAAGTGCACGTGCACACAACTTGGTGGGCGACCCCCAACTCTGCCATCCAGGTCCCTGATGGAAGCTGCTGGAAGACGGTGCTGTGGGCCCTGGGCAGCTGCACATGAAGGGAAGAAACCTCCAGGGCCAGAGGAGAAGGGGCAGGGGACCCCAGACCCCAGAAAGCCTAGACAGCCTGGCCCCCGAGTGAGTCATCAGAGCACAAGGGGGGGCAGCTGGGATACCAGGTGGGCAGAGCGTGGGGCGGGCAGGTGGGGGCTGGAGGGACGAAGGTCAGTGGAATGAGCTCTGGCCCGGGCAGGCTGGGTGAGGGCAGGAGCTGGCCGGGGAGGTCCTGGGCCAGAGGCGGGTGGGGGCCGGAGGTGGGCTCCGGGCAGCCTTCAGCCCCAAGACCCTCCCAGACTCCAGAAGAACCTGGCGCTGGGGCCAGGCGTGGCCCAACCCGCTCCCATGGCCCCGTCAGGATGGTACTTTGATGCCAAAGTGTTTTCGAAGCTGTTCCAGAAACACGAATGTGAGCACAGTGTGGGGCATGAGGCGGATGGCGGCAGGCAGGAGGCCCTGGAGGGAGAAAGGAGAAAGGGGAAGTGCAAAGGGCCGGGAGGGACCCCCAGCCCCACTCCGCCCTGTCCAGCCCCTGCCCAACCTTGTAAAAGGCCAGCGGGCCGAGCTTCGCTGTCTCCACGGCGCAGTGGAAAACACCCTGCAGAAGACACAAGGTGAAGCCATAAAAGAAACGCTGCTTCCCACTCGAAAGGCACAAATTAAAACACTCCTGTTCAGCACCAGCCGGAAGTCCCGCACACTGACATGTGGTGTGACCTCAACGGCACTGCAGACTGGCCTGCAGACTGGCCGGGCACGTTCAAAGGTGAACACAAGAAGCTGCCCTGCCTGCTGATGCGCAAAACCAGAAGCCGCCAAGGCGCACCCCATGGGCAGGCTGACCACCAGGCGCGTCGGGGCGGTCAGAGGCCGGGCTGGGGAGAAGACGAGGGGCAGAAGACACTGTGCATGACGGCGGGAGCCCCAGGCTGCCAACTTTAAAAAGGCAACTTGCCGAATTTCACTGACCACAGCAAACTGCTGCCTCCCTTAACATGTCAAAGAATCTGATTTAACACACCCAAGGCCAAGGGCTGCTCCGAGGCCGGATGGGGGCGGCAAGTGGGAGGGATGAAGTCATGGGCTGGAGGGGGTCACCCACATCCCAAGAGGAGGACGTGAGCTCACCCGGCCACAGAGCCCGGGAGCAGCAGGCTGGGCCCCCGCTCCCCACTCCCAGGCCTGTGCTCTCAAGGGCACTGGCGTCTGCGGCGCCCACTCACTCGATACTCGCCCTTGGAATTCATCAGGCGGGTCTTCAGCACATCCAGGGGCTGGCACAGGAACGTGGCACATCCACCCTGGGTGGGGTGGGGAGGCTGTCACCAGCGGGCCTGCCAAGCAAGGCGTGTGGGTACCCTCACCTCCTCCCCACAGGCCTGCTGTGGAAAGAGCCCCTGGCATCCTGGACCCCCCAGGAGGCATCCCATAGTAAGGTGCAGAGGGCTGCAGGACCCAGGGCCGCCCGGGGACACCAGGAGCTGTCCAGGCCCAGGTACCGGGTGACCCATCAGGCTCCTCCCTGGGGCCCTGGTGCCCCCTTATGCAGCCAAGAGCACCCACCAGACCCCCCAAAACCTCCTTCCTCTGAGCCCCTGCCTCCTCTGTGCACCCTCAGCCCCTGCCACGCCCCACACTCACTGCGATGAAGCTGGCGACAAAGTGCGTGACGATGCCGTCAGACAAGTACCCCGTGCTGAGAACCAGCTGCTTAGCTTGGTCATAGCAGGACAGCTGCAGGGGTGGCAGGAAGGTTAGGCCTCAGGACGTCCCCCAGCTCCGGAGAACGTAGACAGGGGCCTACAATGACACCATCTGGATTGACCAAGCACCTGCTCTGCAGGTCACCTACATGGTCACTGGGCCTGGGTGGACAGGTGAGGCCCAGACATGGAGGGGCCTGCCCAAGGTCATATACCTGACCCACCTGTGCCCACCTCCTCAGCCCCTACCTGTGGTCCGTGCCCACTGCCTTTCTCAGTGGCCTCTCGAGGGCTGAGCTAGGCCCCCCAGATGCTGCCCGAAGAGGCCCACCCTGGGCAGAAGCCCTACCTGGCCCACGGTGACAAACACCCCTCGACTGGAGGCCATGGTCGCACCTGAGAACAGCTTCTTCAGACCCTCTGCCAGAGAAGGAGCGAGGTGGGGCGCTCGGCCAAAACCCTTCCGGGCCCCCCAGCCCCTGCACGGTGCTCCCTGCCCCCTGACCTCTGCAGGCCCCAGGACCCCCAGCAAAGGGCCTGTTCCTCTCACCTTCACGGGCCACGCGGTACAGGCCGTCCAGGGCATGGGCGTAGCTGCCGGGGGACACAGAACGGGCCCACGTGAGGCTCTCCCTGACCACCGGCTCCCATGGGAGGGTCCTCCCCAGGCCCCCATCCCAGGCCCGAGGCTCTCCAAGAAGGATCCCCGGGGCCAGGCGACAAGGCCTCTGCCAACAGCTCAGAGCAGCCTCCCCCGCAAGGGACCTCAGTGCCCGAGGATCCCCCAGAGTCCCACAAGAAAACACATGGGTGCCCAGCCCTTTGGGGGGCTGCCAGCCTGGAGGCTGGTCCTGTTTGTGGCCTGTTACGGAGCGTGGGGGGATGGGACGCCCTGCCTGGTCCCCTCCCACCTGTTCACTTGGTCCGCCTGCCCACGGCTTTCTCTTTGGCCAGAGAGGGGACAACGGACTCCTGTGGAGCCACGTGTCACGCCTGAACTGACCGATACCGGCACCTGGAGTTTAAGTGCAACGTCAGTCTGAACACAGCCTTGGAGTCGATATCGTCTAAGGCTTTGTGAAGAACGGCATTTTTATCATAAAAAACAAATCCCAGCTCCCAAACCCTTTTAAAGGCCCAAACTCAACTCTCTAACCCTCTTCTACGTGAACATGTGCAAGGTGCAGGAGGAGGGCAGGAGAGAGACGCCGCCGCAGTCCCCCCCGGAGGGAAGAAGCCCGAGGCCCCCTCATGATTCCAGGACAGATGTGCAGTGTTTCCAAAATCCATCAGCTGCCTGTGCTGCACTCCAGGTGACCCCAGAGGCATGTGGCCCATTGGAGTCCCAGCCGGGTCCCAGCAGAGCTGCTCAGGGGTCTTCCTGGCCTGGGCCCCCCACACTCCCATACCCCCCAAGGGCAGAACTCAGCCCCGCTACTCACTTTCGGCGCTGGTTCTTGGGCAGCTTCATGTCATTCTGCATCCTGAAACAACCACGCTGGCTCAGGGGGCCGGCAGGGGGCAAGACATGCCCACACAGACCCCCGCAGGCATTGAGGGCTCGCTCTGGCAGAGAGCAGCTGGCCCCACCGCAGCCTCAGCGGCACAGCTCCCAACACCCAGGACTCCAACGCCTGAGGCTTGTTCCAGGCTGAAAACACTGCAGACCCCAGTGAGCAAGCCCCGGCCCTGTCAGGGGACAGGAAAGAGCCTGACCTTGGGGGCAACCGCACTGACCTGACGTTGACCATATCCGCAGGAGTCCCCACAAAGCCTCCGATGCAACCTGGGGTGACAGACCCCAGAGCCAACATGTGATGACCGGTGGTGCCCACCCCCACTCGCCCACCTGCCCCAACTTGGCCGGCTACTCACCACTGATGGAGCCCAGCAACACCTTCTTATAGAAGGGTGGGGGCCCCTGGCTGCCTGCGGTCACATGGTCCCGCACGGTCTCATAGATGGCGAACCGAGTCAGGGAGTAGGTCATCTGGGGGAGAAGGGGCGCAGCTCAGAGGGGGCAGGTGGGGGGACCATGCTGGGCATGCCCTGCACCCCTTGGCCCCGCTCGCCCCAGCCTTCCTGGTGCATGGTCATCACTGCGTGGACTACAGGGACACCAAGGGACCTTCCCAGGGCCACACAGCCAGCAAGTGGCTGAGCCAATTTGCAAACCCAGGGCTGGCTGAATCCAGAGCCCTGAACTCTCCTCTCTCCCTTCCCAGGCCTCACTTTCCGCATCTGTAAGTAGAGGTCTTGGACCAGCTGTGGGAGCAGGGCTGACCCCATGGAAGGCAGAAGCACATCCCACACCGCCATGCCCTGTGCAGACACAGGGGTCTCTGGCTCCCCAAGCCTGTGGTTCCTTCCTCCTAAGCAGCCTTGAAAAGGAGGAGAAAGCAGCTTCGATGCCCAAAGGGCACCCACAGTGGGTAGGCGATGCGGCCTCATCTGAGCCCAGGCCTGGGGGATGCCAGCCTGCTTGGGCTCAGGGCGTGGGGTCTGGGACCAGGACCTGGGGAAGCAGCACCTAATGAGTGGGGGTGGCCTTGGAAGGCACGAGAGCCCTGGCTGTGAGTTGCACCGCCCAGCGCCCTGGGAGGTGGGAGCCCCAGAGGCACCTGTCTACACAGGGAGGCGCTCAGGCCGTTGTAGAGCGCCAGAACGCCGTCGGAGCGCACCACCTGCAGCGCCATGCCCGTCATCCGCATCTTCACCTCCTGCTGTGTCTGCAGGTGCACCTGTGGGGGGGTCACACCTGCTCAGAGCTGTGCCCCGGGGCCCACCCAGGCCAGCTCTGCTCTGAGCCCTTTCCTACAATCTAGGTCTTTATACTCCTGCAATGACCCTGTGGGCCAAGTACTGTCACCACCCCGGTGAGAGACGGGAGCAGAGACTCAGGGAGGCAGAGGCCTCCTAAGGGCACCCAGTGAGGGTGGAGCTGGGACTCAAGGAGCACAGGAGACTCGGAAGAGGTGGGTGGGAATTCAGAGGGGCAAGAGGGAAGGGCACTCCTGGGAGAGCCACCAGATGGGCCACCTCAGTCTGTCCCTGCACAACCCACCCTGCCCAGCCCGTCACATCCTGGCTGGGCCCGCTTGGGCAGGTTACTGATCTCCTGTGCCTCAGTTTCCCTTGGTGTGCTGTGAGGACTAAGGAGTTCAGTGGGTACACCTCCCCCACCTGGCCTCATCCCTACCTAAGGGGCTCGGGGTGGTGGGGCAGCAAAGGTGGGTGGAGATGGAGAGGGGACTCATGCTCAGCAAGGTGACATGAGTGCTGTCCTCCTGCTGTGTGAGCCAAGCTGGACAGGACAGAGGGCCCTGGGCCTGGGGGCAGAGTGCAGGCAGCAGCCCCCATCTAGGCAAGAAGCGACTGTGAAAACCAAGCCAGGACGTAGGGCGAAATGAGAGATCAAGGAGCTTTAAGACAACCTTTCCAATGACCATGCCGGGAGGTAAAAACTCAGGCCAAGGCCTCCCTTTGTTTTTTTTGAGGAAGATTAGCCCTGAGCTAACATCTGCTGCCAATCCTCCTTTTTTTTTTTTTTTTTTTTTTGTTGAGGAAGACTGGCCCTGAGCTAACATCCGTGCCTATCTTCTTTCACCTTGCATGTGAGACACCTACCACGGCATGGCTTTGCCAAGTCGTGCCATGTCCGCACCCGAGATCTGAACTGGCAAACCCCGGGCCGCTGACACAGAATGTGCGCACCTAACCGCTATGTCACCAGGCCAGCCCCCAAAGCCTCTCTTTGAGGCTGGCCTCCACGGCTGCCAGCACTGCGCTCTGAAGCCCAGCACACGGTCATGTGTTCCCTGGGCCAGAGGACGGCCTGCCTCCTCTGACCCTCTCCTGGCAGCATTCCGCAGCAAAACAGCACCTGGGGGATGGGACAAAGGGCAGTGATGCCCAAAGGGGCCTTGAACAATGAAGTGACTCCAGTCAGGCCAGGGAGGGCTCCCACAGCCCCTGGAGGCCGTGCCCAACCCTGGTCAGAAACAGTGAGGCTAACCTTCCGGGGCCCCACTGAGGTGGGGGGTGGGCGCAGGGAACAGTGTGGGCACGTGGAAGGTAAAATAACACAGCCGGGGGAGGGGCTTCTCTTTCCTCAAACCAAAAAGGACCTTCCTGTTCACTCAGCCCCGCTCTCTGCGGTCAGAGCACCCTCCAGGCCCGGCCTTGCTCCGTCTCAGGCCTGGCCTCTCCCAGGACAGCCAGGCCTGAGGCCAATGAGGCTACAGCTACAGCCCTCCCACATCTGCTAACCCTGCCTTGACCGGTGGCGAGCATTTTTACACCAGAGAAGCCAATCCCCTCCTTTCAGGAAAAGGGCTGCTGAAAAAGATGCCCTCGGGCAGAGAGGCCTGGCCAGGCTCCAGGTCAGCCCAGGCCAAGGGTGCCAAGCCCTCCCAGGGGGCCGGTGTGAGACCAGGCTGCTCTGGGTGTGTGTAAAGAAGGGGGGCCAGGTGGCTGCCATTTGCCCACAGCGTCCCCTTCCCCCCAGGAGCCCAGGCCCCTTCGGGACTGTGTTTTGAGCCTCGGGCCCTTTGTTCTTTGTGGTGAGAAAAGGTCAGAAAACAGGCCCACTGGGCGGGCCCTGGGAGACAAGGGAAGCTCTGTGTTACTCTGCCCCATAAGCATTTTTTAAAAAAATGCAAGAGTGAATACCTCTGGCTCAGAGAAACACTCCCTCTCACAGGGCAGGACCTGCAGGCACACAGGGCCCATAGCTCCCAAGCGCCCACCAAGCCCAGGAGGAGGCAGCCCAAAGCAGGCGTGCCTGGGTCACCCCACTCGCCCAGGCCACATCCCTCATCTGTCTCCTTGTGTGCTGGGCACCCACTAGGCAGGGGGTGGCTCGGCCCATGCTCTGGGTCTTCTAGAGCCCCTGCACGTCTCTAAGTGCCAACACCTGTGCACCCACAGAACCACCCCCTCAACTTGTAACACGCAGAAGGAGCACCCTCAAAAGTGCAAAAGTTCCAGGGGAAATTGGCTCAGAGAGACCAAGGTCACACAGGTAGGAAAGCGCAGAGCTGGGGCTGAAACACGGCCCGCCAACAACCGGGAGCGGGCTGGAACGTGGGGCACCCGGGGTCGGCAGTGCCCCTGGAACCTCTCCCCAACCCCCTCCACGCAGGGTCTCCGGGCGGGGGCAGCGGGCCGATGCCCCGCAGGCCACGGGCAAGGCGGCCCTAGGTCCGAGCCCTCCCAGCAGAGCAGGCCGAGGCTGGTCAGTGCCGACGGGCGCGCTAGTCGCCGGGTGCCCGGGACGGGGGCCTGGGCGGGCGCAGGGCCGGGTCCCCTCGCGCCCCGCTGCCCGCCCCGGCCCCGGCCCGGCCGCGCGCCGCCCTCACCTTGAGCAGGTCCAGCGGGTGCGTGCAGCAGGCGGCCCCGCACGAGGCCAGCCCCCCGAAGTACCAGCGCGACACGCGCGCCTCCGCCGCCATGGCACGGCCGCGGACGCCGAGGAGCGCCAGCTGCCCCAGCCGCCGCCGACCCGACCCCACCCCGCCTCCGGCGCCGGTTGCAACCCCAGGCCCCGACCCCGGGTCCGGCCCCCGACACAACGCCGCCACCCCCGCGCCGCGTTCAAAGCGCCGCCCGCGCCCGCGCCCCGAGCAGCCAATGCGCGCGCGCGGAGACCAGGGGGCGGGGCACACGAGATCCCGCCCCGGGCCCAGGGGCGGGCCCCGCGCCTTAAAGTGGTCGCCGCCGGGCACGCGATCCGGAAGGGCCCCACCGAGCTGCCTCCGGGGCTCTACGGGTGCACGCCGCGCCAACCGCAGGGAGCCTGCTGGTTGGGCCTCCCCCACTCCCCTGGGAACATGGCGCCCCTCCCAATCCTGCGCTGGCCCGTCCCCAAGGCCAGGGCACGTCTCCGAAGGTCACGGACGAGTAATGGTCCGGGCGCTCTGCCAGCCCCCACCGCTCCCGGAGGCCAGGCTCCTGCAAACTCCCGGCCCCAGCCATGGCCCTGAACTTGAGCCCCAGGTCCCTGCCACGCCGCGCAGGCCTCGGGGTCTGCCTAGAGACACGTGCGGCTGCCAAGAAGTAGCAGGAAACCTCCTTGGGCCAGCGTGAACATGACAGGAAAGTAGGGCAAAAAGCAATTCGGAGAGACTGGCCTCCCCTCCCCGCAGAGCCCCCACCCCGCCTGGAGCTCCCAGGAAGTCCAGCCCCAGGCGGCCACCTTGGAGGAGGCCCAGGAGGCGGGGTTCTGGGCCGTGGAGGCTCAGGGTCCCAGGAAGTGCGATGGGCAGGCTGCCAGCAGCTGCCTCACCCCAGCAGGAGACGCCCACCTGTGCGTAGGTTGTAACGCTCATCCCACCTCCCAGCAAACAACAGGAAGTGCAGGAGTGCCGCCTGCCCAGAAGCACACCTGCGGGGCAAAGTGAAATCCGAGTCCCCAGGGCTTCTGAGGGCAGGGCCCTTCTGATCTCAGAGGCCGAGGCAGAGGCAGAGACCCCCTCCCCAGGGAAGAACGCATGTCCTGCAATCCCAGCTTGGCCACTTCAGCCCCCAACCAGAAGGGAGAAGGGTGAGGGGCACTGGGGAAATAACTCCTGGTCCCCTGAACCCACCAAGCACCCTGAATAACAAGTCCTGGCATCTGGGCACCTAGCGATTCTCTAGCTGTGTCGGAGCCTAAGTGCACCAGCAAGCCCCACCATCGACTGGCCTAAAGCAGCCGCTTGGAGACCAAGGAGACTGTCTTCTAGAACCCCAGGAGTCCTCTGACCCGTGAGGTCATCGGCTTGGGAAGTGAACAGCTGGCCACAGAGATGGTGTCCAGACAGAGTGCAGTGTCCGCCACGAGGGCAGCATGCCTTATCGGAAAGGGGGGAGGGCATGATTGAGAAAGATGGCAGACGCAAACCAGATGGAAACACGACGGTGGGGGAGGGGCCACAGGCATTCTCTGGAGAAAATTAGAGAGGATGGGAGATGCACTAATGTTCCAAGGAAATGTGAAAATGTCAGTGTCACTGAACGAGATGGCTTTCACAGCCAAATACACAACAGACAGAGTAGCATTTTGTTGAAAAAACCAGAGCTAACAGACCCAACTGTTACTATGCAGGAGTGGCCTCTTTGTCCAGGGTCCCATGGGAAGTAGCATCATCAGAGCCCTCTCCCTCTCCAAGACTGGGTCTCATTCAGAGTAAACAAGATGTCCTAGCCTGTGACCGGCCACGGGCACCATCATTGGCTCCTGACTACAAACAACTCAGTGAAGCAGAGGTGGCAGCAACCCCCGGGGGTCCCAAGTCTGTGTCACAGCCCAGGAAGCAGAGGGCCAAGCCCAGCGTTGGGGCTGCCTCCTCACCCAGGTCATCAGCAAGACAGGGTCCTAAACCTGCTGCTCCAGGGAAACCCCAGTGCTCGCTCTGCACAGAATGAGGACTGTCCCTAACAGGGAAAGGGCAGGGCCCAGAGGCTTAAAGCAGGAACTGAAGAGAGATTTTAATAAAACTGGAGAGCAGCAGTGCAGTGAAATGCATGAGCTCCCGTGAGAACTGGAAATGCTGTGAAACAGTCAGAAATGTGGGAGGAATCTTGGAAAACAAAATGCACCAAGACTGGAACACCCTTTTTAAAAAACGTGGATTTTGCAAACTATGGGCCGGGGAACTGAAGGATTCCCCAGCCAAATTCTCAAATGGATCACGAAGACATGTGCCTGAGCCAGAGTGGGTGACGGGGAGGCCCTGAAGAACAGGGCTGCCTGGCCAGGCCTCTTGGGTGGGCAGTGATGGGGATTTTTAGGCTGCTTAATTTTAAAATGGCTTATGATGAGGATTTTTAGGCTGGTTAGTTTTAAAACTACAGATGAGATTCAGGCTCCAAGGAGTGGAATTTGTTTGCCCCTTTGTTGGGAAACATTTACATTTCTAAGGGAAACCTCTATCTGTGAAGATGCCTCCCTCTCTGTGCCAGGAAGAGGGGGGGATGGTCTTATCTCTAGAGGCTCTTGGTCAATGCCAGAGGCAAGAACTTAAGTTGGTTGCTGTCTGGCAATCTCATGTAACTGGTTTAGGGTGGTGGCGTCTAACCTTTCTAACCTTTACTTAATCCGATTTGATTCTTGTCTAAAAGTCATGGGATCACCCAATGACCAGACCCCACCCGCACTGATACCATTTTAACTTTTTTTTCATGTTCTTTCCTTTGTCTTGTAAAGAGATGAATCATATACCTATGCCTTATAAAATTAGCCCTAACCCTCAACTCGGGGCAGCAGCAGGAGCTCTGACTGCCCGTGGGTCCTGTCCCCACGCACCAGCTCTGCCTGCCGATGGGTCCTGTCCCCATGCCAGCGGGGGCAGCAGCAGCAGCTCTGCCTGCCCATGGGCTCTGTCCCCATGCCAGCGGGGGCAGCAGAAGCGGCAGCAGCAGGAGCTCTGACTGCCCGTGGGTCCTGTCCCCACGCACCAGCTCTGCCTGCCCATGGGTCCTGTCCCCATGCCAGCGGGGGCAGCAGCAGCAGCTCTGCCTGCCCATGGGCTCTGTCCCCATACCAGCGGGGGCAGCAGAAGCTCTGACTGCCCATGGGTCCTGTCCCCATGCTATTCCACACTATTTTCTAAATAAAAGAGCACTACTGCCAGATCTTGAGAGTCTAAGAAATCTTTCTTTCGACTCCTCGGCTCACCGACCCCGCATCAGGCAGGACCTGGTGTCTGTTCTGTGGCATCTGCACATTTCCTCATGGTACCTGGGCAGGGAGGATGGAGCTGTGTGGGTGGCCTGGCAGGCACCAGGGTCCCTGGAATGTGGGGTCTGTGGGGGCAGGAGGCCTGAGTCAGCTCCCAATCTCCCTCTGCTGTGTCCTCTGTGACCATTTCATCATCCTGGACAGAGACACACAATACTAATTTCTACCAGGATCTGATGGGGTCTGGTAAGATCTTGTGACTCAGGACGCACAGTGGACCCACCTCCCAGTGCTGAACCTAAGGGCCAAGGCCAAGGGGGCTGCAGAGACCCAGGCAACCCCCAGGGACACACCCCACCTATTCCTGGATCTGAGACACTTTTTTATGGGCCACCTGCAGGCCAGAGCAGATCAAGGGGAGCTGTGGGGGCCAGGACCCCCAGTAGGAGGCCTGGGCCAGGGAGCTACCTGGGAAGAAAAGACCCAGGGTCTTCACAGTGCCTTTAGGTATCTGACTGTGAGGTCAGGTGGAGGGTACCCGATGGACACTGTCCGATTGCTGTCCTAGCCTGGTGTAAGCGAGGTGGATGAGGTTGGTCTTGATGAGGATTTTAGGCTGGTTACTTTTAAAACTGCAGATGAGAAGGGGGCTCTGAGGAATGGAATTTGCTTGCCCTTTGATAAGACATTTGCATTTGTGAAGGAAGTCTCCATCTGTGGGGGTTGTCTCCCTCTGCACCAGGAGGAAGGGGGGATGGCCTTATCTCTGGAAATTCTTAATGGGGAAGGCAAGAACTTAAGTTGTTTACTGTCTGGCAACCTCAAGTAACTGACACCCCCCCTCCCCCAACATCCTCCTTTGTCTTTAGCTGAAGATAATATTTAAGCTGTGGCTTCTGCCATTTACTCAATCTGGTTTGATTCTTATCTAAAAGTTATAGGACCACCCAATAACCAGACCCTAACCGCACTGATACCATTTTAACAACTCTTTTTACATATTCTTTCCTTTGTCTTGTAAAGAGATAACTCACATGCCTATGCCTTAAATTTAGCCCTACTCTCCACCCATGCCAGCAGCTCCTCCTGCCCATGGGTCCTGTCCCCACGCTATTTCACACAATTCTCTAAATAAAAGAGCACTACTGCCAGACCTTGAGAGTCCAAGAAATCTTTCTTTCGACTCCTCGGCTCACGGACCCCGCATCAGGTCTGATGGCCCCCGAGGTGCAGACCACCCCACCTTTGAGCAGCCTCTCCCAGCAAGTCCAGGATGGTGCAGAGGGCCCCATCATCCCAGGGTGGGGAGTCCTAATCATGACCCTGGCACCCTCAGAAAGACAAAGGAGCTCAGAGCACAAGCCGACTTTCCAGGTCACTGGTGGAGGGGCCTGTGACCCCAAAGGCCTGGCCTGGGGGCTGTTTCTGAGCTTGGACCACTCCCATCTCCCCTGGGAAAAGGCAGCCGGGTCAGCAGGCCACACTCAGGCCAAGTGGCCCAGCAATCACCTCTGCTGAGGGAGGGCACACCCAGAGATCTGCTGATGGCACAGGCCACATGATGGACCATGGGGCCCTCCAGGTCAGGGAGCATGTCCTCTCGGAGGGCCCTTAGATCATGTGAGGGGTGCTGAGTGAGCCCACCTGGGAGCCTGCCAGTTCCCTGGGCCTGTCCTGGGTCCCACCCAGAGAGCAGCACTCCCAGACACACAGTGCCCCTTCTGGTCCCACGGAGCTGAGGTTGCAAGTCCTTCTTCCAACGGGGCCAAGGGAGGGGTGCAGGGACAGGATCTGGAGATCAATGCTGGAGGATGTGGGCCCTCCTGGGTCACAGGAATCTTGCCTCCCAACAGTGGGTGCTCAAAATGCCCTGCAGCCTCCTGCCCTCCTGCCCAAGGCCAGGAGAAGAAATCCACTGCCCCCCTCCCAGGCTCTGCTGAGATGGAGCCTGCCCCTAGAGAAGGAAGCCAAGGGTCCTCAGAGCAAGACCCCAGGGTCACCTTCACTCAGCATGCACTGGGTGGGGCCTGAAGCCCCGGGTGGCCAGCACCATCTGTAAACGCCACACCCTGGCACCAGGCCACCTCCCTCCCAGCTCCATGGGGCCCAGCCCCCTTCTAAAGGGTCCATGGGAACAGTAGCTGACATTCCCAAATGCTGCCGCGTGGCAAAGCGCGCCCCCGCCCACCACTGGCCAAGCAGCCTCCCGCAGGCCTGCTCTGTCGTTTTGTACACCCCTCACCTCCCATTTGCCCGCCCAGGCTGGAGACTGCAGCGCTCACTCCAAGACTTCCTGTTTCCGAGGCCGGCACATAACGTATTACTGTTAGACCACCGATGTTTAAAACCAGGACATTTCACAAATGCCCCACACCCAGCTCCCAGGTGAAGATCTGGTATCAGCCATGCAGCAACGGCTGCCCCCAGGCAGGACGGGGGCTGCCCAGAAGCCCCACCACGCTGCCTGTAGGACACCGCCTGCTGTGGGGTCTCAGAGGACATGCCCTGCAGATGGAGCACCCAGATGATGAGGTGATGATCGCCTGCAGACTCACACATCCTACACTGGCACAACCGACACATCACTCCACACACGGCGCCTGAACAATGTATTTCTCTCAGCAGCCACCAGGGGGGCGCGCGTTAACTCCAGTATGTTCTAGAGTTGTCTCCCTGGTGCTCGCATAGGCAGCTGTGGCCCCTCCCTCTCCATCTGAGTAAGTCCATCCGTCTGTCCCAAACCGGAGTTGGCCATGTGGTGCCGGTCCGCAGTTCAGCTCTGGGCCGGTCCCATCAGCTGCCCCTGGGTGCTGGGGTGGAGCGGGCGGGGCCTCGCCCAGGTCCCAGGGAGCTGTGTCCACAAGTCCTCTGAGCTGGTCTACTCCAGAACCACGGTGCCACCCACTGCCTCCAGGGCCGCCTTGATCTTCTCGGCCTCAGCCTTGGCGACGTTGGCTTTGATTTCCTGGGGCAGGGATTCCACCAGCTTCTTTGCCTGTCAGAGAGCAAAGTCAGACCCTGGGCCTGGGCTGCCACAAACCAAACCCGCCCCAGAGGTGCTGGCACCAGCCGGGAAGACCGTGCGGTGCACGGAGCCACACCTGGACGAGATTTATGCCCTGGACGTAGTTCTTGATTTCCTTGATCAGCTTCACTTTGTCCACGGGCTTTGCTTCCGTCAGGCGGACGGTGAAATGTGTCTGTTCTTTCTGTTTGGGGATGTCTTCCTCTGCTGCCTGGCGGGGGGGGGGAGAGAAAGTGGGCAGCCAAGTGGGAAACGATGGGGTGAAGCTGGCACATTCGCTCCTGGAGCACCCCATTCTGTAGCCCCAAGCCTGCGATTCCAGCAGAAGGCCTCACCGGGCCAGGCAGGCTCAGGCTGCCCGACTGGAGCACCCCATTCTGTAGCCCCAAGCCTGCGATTCCAGCAGAAGGCCTCACCGGGCCAGGCAGGCTCAGGCTGCCCGACTGGAGCACCCCATTCTGTAGCCCCAAGCCTGCGATTCCAGCAGAAGGCCTCACCGGGCCAGGCAGGCTCAGGCTGCCCGACTGGAGCACCCCATTCTGTAGCCCCAAGCCTGCGATTCCAGCAGAAGGCCTCACCGGGCCAGGCAGGCTCAGGCTGCCCGACTGGAGCACCCCATTCTGTAGCCCCAAGCCTGCGATTCCAGCAGAAGGCCTCACTGGGCCAGGCAGGCTCAGGCTGCCCGACCGGTCCACTCCTTAGGCTCCCAGTGCCCTCCCTCGCTCACGCGCTCCAGGAGTCAGGGCGGGCTCCGTCACCCAGAAACACTCCCATCTCTGCAGAGGCTGCTCGGAAACTGCCTCCTGGCCCTTGCCCCCCAAAACTCGAGCTCCCTCACCCCTTAAAAATTGTGACTGATAACGACAGGAAAGAGTAACAACAAAAGTAACCTGCAGATAAAATCACATTACAGTAAAGCAGGGCCATTCCAGTCCTCAGCCAAACCCCAGGTGAACTATGGACGGCAAATTCACAACCAGCTTCAGCTCCATCTTCACCAAGTGACCAACAATGGGATGCCTGGGAGTGCCGGAGCTCCTCCCAGAGCAGGCCCACAGGGCTCACAGCCTGAGGCACTCTTGGTTTGGATCTGCTGCCTAATTATTAATAGCACCCTCTTCATTCTCTAAAGCGTTTCAATTTAGACAACAAATCACATGGCATGGTAATTCTATTTCTCCTTGCCCCAAATGTTCAGCCCGAATCTGTTCAGCCTGTGAAGCCACCTTCCAGTTCATGGGGTGCGGGGGGTGGATGACGTCGGTGGAACCATGACACACATCTGGAAGGTGGAATGCTCTACTGACTGGGTTTCCTCAGTAGGTGACAGCGAGAGGAAGTGGGCTTAGGGCAACGATCCAGATTTTAAGAGGCTTAAGAGACCCAATGACCAAATGCAGCACACAAACCTTGTTTGGATTTGGGTAAACCAACTGTTACAAAGAAGTCTGAGACTACTGGCAAAAGTGGAATAGAACGGCATAAGAAATCGCTGCTCATTATGTCTGTTGTGCAAATGGCTCATGGCCCCGTAACAAAATATCTGTTTTTAGTGATGTGTGTTGGAATGCACAAAAAGGAAAGTTCAGATCAGAAATTAAACTTCAAGGAACAGGGGCAGCAAATGTGGTAAAACCTTAGTAATTACTGAACCTGAGTAACAGGTATACAGGTAATCGTGTTCTTTATTATGTCTACTTGTAGATGAGTCTGAGACTTTTCCTAACAAAAATTGCAACCCCCTCTCCCCCCCATTAGCATGTGGCTTCCAGTCTGCCGGTTTCCTCAGAGACACAAACCTGCCCCAGTAAGCCGGAGAATGGAGCTGCTCATCACCTCCCCCACTCTCTGCTCCAGCCCGGGACACGCCTCATGGCCCTTGTGCCTGCCGTCCCTCTGCCAGGAATGCCCAGCTCTCTTCCTCAGCTCAAGCCTTCCCTCAGAGTGTCACCTCCTTGATGTGGCCTTCCTTGAAACTGTAGCCCTCCCCTGCCCTTCTGCTGCTTCTTTACCTTTTTCCCATAGCACTTACAATGTTCCACATAATTATTAATTATGTTCAACATAATTTCTTTCTTTTTCCGTTCACTTGGCTCATCCTGTTTCCCTCCACTAGAAATGTGGTCTCCATGTGGGCAGGGAGCTGCACATCCTTGGTGGGAGGAGCTCCCAGGGGACAACAGGGGAGCCCACACCAGAAGCACACACATTTCCAGGGGGTGTTGATGGATGTAGGACCGAGAGAAGGAACAAGAGAAATCTGGCCACGCAATGTGAAACAAGATGGGAACCAAGCACCAAAGAAAGACGTTTTGCACAGGACCCAGCCCAGGCTCACCTCAGGGGCCGCTGCTGCAGCAGGGGCAGCCCCAGGCATCATGCCACCCACTGGCATGAGTCCGACATCCTGGATCTTCAACGTTTTCTACACGGACAGAGGAGAGCAGTTTCAGCAGCTGACCATCACACCCAACACACCCAGGGACCACACTTTTGACAATTTACCAAACTTCCCAAATATACCAAAAACAAGCCCCAGACCTCACTGCCCAAACCCGGGCCTGTAATACCTTCAGGAGTTCGTTGAGGTCTGAGATCTCCAGGAGTGTGAGGCTGGCAATGTCCTGCACCAGCTGCTGGATCTTGGGGGGGTACTCCTTGGGGGCGTTATCCAGGGGTGCACCAGCAAGGGCCTCCCCCCGGCGATGGCTGCTACATCTCATCAGCCGAATGGCACACACACGCAGCACCTGTTGCCTAGCCCCCCATTCATACAGAGCCATCAGCCTGGAATGGCACAGGTGGGTGACACAGATCGGACAGGTAGGTGCCATGGGTTCAGGTCCCAACCTAAGGTTCTCAGACTGGAGGCTCCACGTGGATAACAAGGGGAATTCTCAGCTACCTTATGTTTTTCAAAGAGCATTAGAAATCCACACAATTATTTGCAAACAGCTACCAACAAGGTTGTTTCCCGTTTGAATGAACTGTATCAGCCCATGGAGGTAACATAATTGCTTAAATGCATTTTGTTGCACAAAACCTTTCACAACCTGGGGCCCTTGGCGGCAGAAGGCGGGATCTACTGACGGGAGTCCTACCACGTCACCGGGCTGAAGGGGGGAACTGAAGCCCTGAGGCACGGACTCGTCCAAGGTCATCGGGCCCTCCCGGACACTCTCTGCGGCACGCGCGATTAGGGTGTCGGCACGCGGGGGCCCTCGGCCTCCCACCCACACCAGGACCCGCCGAGTCGGGGGTGGCGCCCGCCGCCCACGGACACCGCCCCAACCTGCACCTTCAGTGCCTGGCCGAGGGCCCCCACTCTGCCGCCCGCCCGGCCCTCGGCAGCCCATGATACCTGGCGGGCCGGAGCGAGGCGCCCCGAAGCCGGAGACATGGCCCCCACAGGGGGCGAGCAGCCGCCGGCAGCATCGGTCCGCAGGCGGGAAGGTCACACGCGGCTCCTGAGGGGAGGGACGCTCTAGCCGCCGGGGTCGTCGAGCATACGAGCTGGGGAGGACGCTCTAGCCTCCGGGGCCGCCGAGCATACGAGTTGGGGGTGGTGACGCTCTAGCCGCGCCTTGCGCCAGCCTCCTCTCGCTTCTCCAGATTACCCACAAGGCGGCGGGCCGCGCAGGCGCAGAGCGTCGTTGGTGGCGGCGGCCCGTGGCGGGGACTAGGGAGCAGACGGTGACCTGCTCCTGTCCTCGCCCGGTGGGGCGAACGGAAGCCAGAGAAGACCGAGGCGCCAGGCTCCATCCGGGTCGGGGAGGCGGGTCTGGCCCCCGGGCGGTCGGCCAGGGAGGACTGGCCGGGACCCCGCCGCAGTCTGGCGTCCGCTGCAGCAGCTCTCGGCCCGAGACGTTTGCTCTGCCGCAGGGCGGGCACGGGGGTCCCGAACGCCCTTCGCAGAGGTCCGCGCTAGGGGCCCCGCCGGCCCCGCCGCCCGCGGTCATCTAGCGCGGGGAGCTTCCGCTGCCCTCGGGCAGCCTTCCCCTTGGGCTCCTCCTCTACGGGAGCACGTGTGCCTCTTCGTCCATGCGGTGCCGGGAGCGAGGCCGCGTCCTGGGCCCGCGCGAGTCTCGGGACTCCGCCTACAGCGTTTGCTTGGATTGTGATCGAGTCGGGAAGGGGACGAGTGACGGGGTCCTGGGCAGAAGGGATAACAGTTCACCTCGGAGGAGAGTATTTGTAAGCCCTGGTTCTGTCTCCAACTGCCCCAATCCTCTGCACTCCTGCCAGCCTCTCCGTCCATCTCCCAAACATCCAGCACGTGGGGTGTCCCCAGCTCCTCAGCCGGCATTTGCCGTGAGGGTCCTGAGCTGTTGCTCTTTATATGCAGCAAGTGGCGTCTCTTCTCCCAGCTGTCCCAGACACCACAAATGATTTTCTAAGAACCAAGGTTGGAGGAGAGCCCCGACTTAAGTCAAACTGAGAAGGGCTGCCCTCTGCCCAGCACCTCCTGTTATCCTGGCGCTGCCTTTGACCTGAGCTCAGGTAGCCTCTCTGTGCCTGTTACACTAGTCTTCCTTCACAGAAGAGCTAATGCTGGGCTCACCTCAGAGGTTTGGGTATGTAAGGTGCGTGAAATGTTCTGAACTCTGGACGCAAGGGGCTGTGAGTCTATCATCTTAAACGTTGTCTTCCAGACTACAGTTCTAACTGGATTGTCAGTCACATGGGAGCCATGGGCCCTGTGAGTCTCTCCCAGGAGTGTCAGGGGAGATGCGGGTGGAGCAGGGCTGGGGGGGAGGACTGTTGCTCAGCTCCCCCTGAGGGCACAGCTCTGAGGTGCTCAGTCTCAGGAAGGGAGATAGATCTGCATCTGTGGCCAGAGCAGGACCAGACCAGGGTCCACCTGTGGGGACCGCCTGTGGAGCTGGGCCTGTGGCAGGAGACAGGCTGGGTATAGTGCTACACCTACATGCCCTTGTCCAGACCCGCTGCCCACCACCTTCCCCTGAGCAGACACTTGGACACCTGTTGAAGGACATTTTATTATCACTGTTCCATTCCGTCTACTTGGGGCACTGGATGAGATGACAGCTCAGAAGCAGAGAAGCTGGAGACAAGCCCCCACCCTTCCTGTGAGGGCCAAGGGCACCCCTGCTGACAGCCCAGGGGCCATGCTGGAGGGCTCCGGGGAGCACGAACATTAGTCACAGACCACCAGCCCCGTGGTCTCACAGGTGGGGATGGGAGGGCACGGGCTGCACGGGGCAGAGGGACCTGACCCACTGGGCTAGGGGCTTCCTCTCAGAGAAGGTCCTTCCCTCCCAGCCTCCTCCCTGAGGCCCCCGCCTTGGGGAAAGAAGTCAGAGACCAACTAGGGAGACAAGGACGAGGATGGGGCCGGGGGGATGAAGAGCCAGCAGGCAAGGACAGAAAAAGGGAGGAGGGCCAGGGTGAAGGGCCCCCCTCTGCTCACATGGAGCAGGGACACTACACGGTGTAAGAGGAAAGAGGAGAGGGTGCGGCTAGTTAGACACGGAGGCGACAGTTTTGGAGAACTGCGGTGTTACTCTGCATAGCAAGCTCCCGGCCCAGGGTCAGTCGAATGAGATGAGCTGGGCTTCGCTGCCCTGTGCCGGCGGCCCCTGTGCAGGTGGCTGCTGGGCCACGGGGGGCTGCTGCTGTGGAGGGCCGCCCGAGGGTGCCATCTGGGGTGGGGACACAGGCCATTGGTCCTCCCTCCCCAGGCCCCAGCCTCCCCACCCTCTAATGGCTTCTCTAGAACACCCTGTCCTGGCCTCATCCCCAGTACTCAGTCCCATCAAGCCCAGTCTGGGCCGCGGCAAAGGAGGCCTCCCGACTCCCTCCCTCCAGCCTACTCTGGGCTCCCTGTCCTCTTCCTGTCCCTAGCAGAGCACAGACTCCAGGAGTTCCGAACCAATGTCTACAGGGTTGAGCCGACATGGCCTTGGGCTTGTAAGTAATACAGTGGTTTTGATACCTACAGGTGTTCTCTGTGTGTGTTTCCATCCTACTTTTCTCTGACGAGAAGCAGTCCTGGCCTGCACTGTCCATTCGTCCCAGAACAGCCCACCCTGAGGAGGGCCTGGAGCACAAGCCTGTCTCCCCTGTGAGCTGGCTTACAGGACAGCCCTCACTGGGTCATGACCCACAGTGGCAGCCCTGGGAGAGGCTCACCTGCTGGTACATGGGCTGCTGCCCTGAGATGTAGGGCTGCTGTGGGGGTGGCAGAGGGGCATCTTGGCTGGGGAGGGTGGTCATGAGATTCTGTGAAGAATAAAACGAACCCTGACATTGAGAAAAGAGCTGGGTAACCACACAAATGGGCTGGTTTCTGACCTGGAAAAATCAGATGCTGACCAGCCAGGAGAACCCAGTGGAGGGGATAGGGTGGGGAGCAGAAGGGTGTAGCCTGCTCAGTCTCCCCAAGCCTCTCGCCAAGGGACCCCGCCCCTCCCCTGTCTGGACACCCCTAGTCTCTCACCTGCATGCTGTAAGGCTGGTAGCCCATGGACACCGACTGGCTCCCCATGTAACCCATGGTGCCGGACTGCGGAGGCTGGGAGATGGCTGGGAGGCTCTGCGGAGCCTGGGAAGCCACGTTCTATGGACGGAAGGAAGGGGTGAGATGGGAGAAGGGCTGGGGCCGGGTGCCCCAGAGCAGAGGCCTCACTGGGGGAGGGGAGCAGCCTCGCCCACCTACCTGATAGCCCTGTGTAGGAGTGGGCTGGTAGGACGAGTAGGCTGGGCTGGCGGTGGGCCCAGCAGGGCCCTGGGGGGCGGCCTGTGCGCCAGAGGCCCCTGCTGGGTATATGTAGGCACTCACCATGCTGGGATCTGTGGAGGAAAAAGAAGAATGAGGTTGAGACCCTGGAGGGTCGGGGCCAGGAAGGAGAGGGTGGAGGATGGCGAGGGTGGAGGATGGCGAGGGTGGAGGATGGCGAGGGGAGTTGCTTCTCTTGAGTTTTCCTTTTTGTTGTCACTTTTGGAACTAAGTTCATGTTTCACAGTCTCACAAAAGGAAAATAAATGAAATCAATTGGAATGAGAAAGAAACCCTTAAATTGAACGAATCAGAAAAAATGAACCAAACTGAATTCCAAACAGGTAACATGATGACACCGAAGGGAGTAGAGAGACTAACCCTAGTAACAGAGTCTGGACTCTGCCCTCAGGCTAAAGACACAGGACCCCCAGCAAACAGTAAACCTGGTCAGGGCACCTTTCCCGGAGGCCTGGGTCAGTGTTCCTAAAGCTGCTTTCTGTGTGTCCTGGGAATGAACAGGATGCGAACAGGAAGAGAAGGGGCAGACTCACTGTCAGAGGAGGGAGTCACAACACGGAAAGGGCAGGAAGCCCTGATGCTGTTGGAGGTGAAGGCATCGGAGTAAACTCATGTTTCTTACACATACAGATAAAGGGGTGGGTGTATCCACACGCATATATGCACGTATGCTGGGCGTGTGTCCACACGTTGCCCAGCCCTGTCTGCTGAGAGGGTCTGGAGGCACTGAGCACACGTAAACCTAGACCTCGGCGTCCAAACGCCATCCTCCACTAAAAGGAACCAGGCTCCTGGGAGAAATAGCTGCTTCCAGCGCCGAGAAAGGACAAGATGACCACAGAAGATCTAGTTGTTCCAGAAAGCAAGCACCCACACAGCAGCAGGACGTGTCAGGATGGCAGAGGAACCGGCCAGAGGGCTCCCCGAGTCCCACCTGGGACAATCGGAGCATCCAAATAAACAGTGAGAATAAAGGATTATCACCTTTGACTAGAACGAGTCTGCACTAAGAATGACAAATGAATAAACAGGAGAAAAGAAGAGGGCATCCTTACGGTGGCAAGACAACTAAGGAATGCGGGAGCAACGGAGTCAGTCACTACTGGCAAACATGACAGGTTCAGGTAAAAATTAGCAAAAAACACTAAATCTAGTGGGTGAAAATTTAAAGAGAACAGGATATTTGCAAGTCTTATGTCCCCACAAAACACTTGTTGACTACCAAGGGAAAAAGAGTCGCTTTACAGTGAGGAAACCCGGCGGCCCCCCACACCACATGACCAGAGCTACCACCACCAGTGATGGGACAAAGCGGCTTGCTGTGCCTCCCACAGAACACCACGTGCTCCCGTGATAGCTGCCAAAACATAGCCCTGGAATGTCACACCGATGGAAGACCACACAAACCCAAACGGCTGGTCTGCAAGACGGAGGGTCAGTGCTCTTTGAGAAGTCAATGTCATGAATCACAAAGGCAGACCGAGGAGCATTCTAGCCTAAAGGAGATAGGCAGGGTGGCTGAATACAACCCATATCGTGGGGTTTCCTATTGGCACAAAGGGTGTTACTGGGACAATGTGGGAGCACAAACACGGCTGTGGATGAGGTCAGGCCCTGGCCTCAGTGGCTCCTGGTCGGTCTGGTACCTGTGCCCAGGCTGTGAGGAGTGTCCTGGTTTAGGAAATGTATGCTGAAGCCTCTAGGAGAGGGCGTCACGCCTGCTGCGCTCTAAAACAGGTCAGGGAAGAAAGCATGTGCATGTGTGCGTGTCTGTGCACGTGAAGAGAGAGAACAAACGTGGTCAAATATTAACATCTGGGGAACTGAAAAAATTCTTTGTACCATTCTCCTAACTTTTCTGTAAATCTGCAATTACGCCAAAATAAAGATCAAAGAAGAAAAAGATAAAGGTGTGGGGCTTGTCTTAGCTGGTCAGCACCTCCACCCACCCCCATTACCTGCTCCGGCCCCAGGCATGCTGGGGTAGGGGCCGCTGGCGGCCGGGGCCGGCTGGCTCATGTACACCGTGTGCATGGGGGAGCCTTCCACCGAGCCTGCTGGGCTGAAGGTGCTGGGGAAGCTTGTTGGGCCTGAGGGCTGATACAGCACGCCCCCGGCTGCAGGCATGGCCTGGAGCTGGGGACAAAGAGACGGCTGTCAGAGCCAGTTCTCAGTTGCCGGAGTCCTAGGGGAGTGAGAC